GGCCCTTGATTTGTTTTATGTCCTTCGGGCCTGTGTGGAGTCAGGCAGGTGCTCTATAACCCCTATTTGTGTATCTTCTTTAGAGAAATTTCTGTTCAAATCCTTTACCCAATAAAAATGAAGTCACTTTGTTTTTTTTTTAAATTGCATGTTATTTTGCTTTGTTTTCTTAAATTCTAGAAGAATGTAATACAGGATTCTGGTGGTAAAGGAAAAGTCCCTAATGGAGTAGGGACTTTATATAGTTTATAGCTTTTCCTTGAAGTTTTTAATGATTGTTATATGATTTCTAATTTTTGGCTAAGTGATAAGGTGCACAGCCTTGTAAAAACAGATTTATATTTTCAGGGGGTGATTAATATCCATGGTTTAAAAAAAATTGTCCAGGAGCCAGAGAGATAGCATACAGATTACAGTGCTTGCCTTGCATGCATCCTGCCCTTGCACTGGCCTTTCCTTCCTTGCACTGGCTAGGGCTCACTCCTTTGCATGGAGCTAGGAATAGACTGTGAGCCCCTCTGGGTGTGGTGGATTCCCCATCTCCCTACAAGCTTGATTGTGGTGCTCACCGGGGCCCCTCTCCAGACTGGGCTTGCACACTTAGCTTTGGGATTTCCTTGGGGTTGTGCACTTTAATCTGGTGCTTGCTCATGGACTTGCAGGGGTTGACACATGGTTCTTCAGCTCTGTATTTGCACACTTCTATTTGTAGTGCTCTCAGGCCACTCTCATGGCCATGAGGCTTGCACATCCAAGCTGTGGTTATCATGCACCTGCATGCCACAGCTGCACTCTGTTTTGGCACCCGGAGTTCCAGACAGCAGAGTAGCAGGGACCAGCCTCCAGAGTCTGTAAACACTCCACGGGGTGATCAGTGGCCTGGGGGGCCCTTTTGGCAACTCTTGGCTCAGTGTGGTGTTGCCAGGGCTGTGCAGTCAGGCATGAGCAGGCCACTCTTCTAGTGCAAGAGCTTCTTTATTTTGGGGTGTTACCATTCCCATTACTAGGGAGATTGAATATTCATACCTGTTCAGTTTTAGATGGTGTCCTTTAATCATCCTTACTGTGCTGAGAATTTCAAAGCATGATGATCAGGATCATAGTTAGAAATCTGTTTCTTGTCTTCACAAGTACCTTTAAAACCTGAATTTCTAGTTTTGAAATTTTCTTAGTAACTTTAAGAGTTTGTATCATTGTCAACCTAGACTTTATAAGTACTTAAATGATTCAGGCTATTTAATATATCTGATTTTATGGGGTAGGTTTTCTTTCTTTCTTTCTTTCTTTCTTTCTTTCTTTCTTTCTTTCTTTCTTTTTTGCTGAGGGAGATTTAGGTTATACCAGCAGAGCTCAGGGATAACTCCTAACTCTGCTCAGACATAATTCACCGTGATGCTCAAGGGACTGTATGTGGTGCAGGAGACCAAAGCTGGTCAGGTGAGGGAAGTGCCTTAACCGTGTACTATCTCTCTGGCTCTTGATTTGTGTTATGTCCTTTCAAATTTGCTACTGTGGTAAAATATACACCAGTGTGACAATTTCAAGCATTTTAAGGATATAATATGGTATTCTTAAGATACTTACCTATTGCTTACTATTAACACCACTGTTGCCAGAAAACTTTCTCATCATGTAGTGAAACTCTGTGCCCTTTAATAATTCATTTCTTCTCATACCCCACCTAGTCCTTGAAAACCAGTATTCTGCTTTTTGTTGCCATGACTGTTCTTATACTTCCCAAATCATAGCATGTTTATTTTTATTGTCTGCATTACTTCATTTAGTGTGATGTTTTTCCATGTCTTTCAGATCCTCCCATGTTGTAGCATGTGTCACAATTTCCTTCCTCTTTAAGGCTGGGTATTTGTCCGTCATTTGTCTGTAATACATTGTATTGGACATTTTAGTTGTTTCCAGCTTTGGGCCATTTAGAATTATGCTGCTCTGAGCATTGTTGGTATAAACATACCTGTTTTGAATCTCTGATTTAACTTTTTTTTTTTGTTTATCCAGAAGTAGTAAATTATTTGGGCAGATGGTCATTCTGTTTATTCTTTTTTTCTTGTCTTTTTTGCCTCTCAATGCATGGGGGCCACTCCCTGTGATTCTCAGACAGCCGAGCTGGCAGCTCAATGCGGAAGGCTCAAGAATGTGATGCTGCTTAGCTCTGGTGCCTCAGTGATTACCAGGGCCACCCAGGCAGTGCTTAGGGACCTCCAGGGCTGCATCCAGTGATGCTTGGGGACCATTTCCCAAGTGCCAAGTACTAAACCAGGGTCAGCCACATTCAAGGCCTTAAGCCCTATATAACCTCTCTGGTTCTTGTTTAATTTCTGAGCCAATTTTGTTTTGAATTTTATTGAATCTTAGTGTATCCCATTGATTTTACACATGTGAAGAGACATTAAAAGGTAGGATTTTTGGGTCTGGAGTGATAGTATAGTGAGTAGGTGCTTACCTTGTACTTGGCCAACCTGGGTTTGACCTCCATCATTCCATATGGTCTCCTGAACACTGCCAGGAGTGATCTTTGAACGTAGAACCAGGAGTAACTCCTGAGCACTGCCTGGTGTGCCCAAACAAAAACAAAAGAATAGGAGGAGGAGTCTTGCATATGAGCACAGCTGGGTGTATGCTGAAGATCACACACTTTGTTGTGTCAGGATGTCTCAGGCAGAGCTGCTGAGAGCTGCAGAGACCACCCTTTGCATATGAAGGTGGCACTGGGGATCAAACTCAATTTCCTGCTCACAAGGCAGGCACTCTTGTCACAGAGCCACCCCCTGTGCCCCTTAAACACAATTTTTATTTTCTTTTTCATTTGTGAGGGTTTTGGTAATGCTGGTTGGCCACCAGAACTGTACCTGGCAGTGTTGGGGTCCATATAGTGAGGAAGGAATTGAACTCAGAGCCTCGAATCTCCTTGCCTTGATCAGATTGTTAAAAGAAGAGTACAGGGTATTTCTTCTCCCTTTTTTACAAGATTGAGTTCAGTGTAAAATCCATGTGAGAAGACAAATTACTCTGGGCATGCCAGGCTACAGAGCTTGATGTTACTGGAAAATGCTTCAGCTGAGATAGTTGGATAATTGTTCAGCTATTAAACAATCTCTTCCTAGAAGCCCTCTGTGTGATCTTGCCAGACAAAATGATTGTTTCTCCTGCATGCTTCCTTCCTCACCAACATTGTATTCCTGCCTGTCTCAACTAGATTGTGAACTTCTTTGGGCACAGATGTCATCTCTTGCCTGTATTTTAAGCACCTGGCATGTTTGCTTTTATGCAGTAGACCCTTTTCAACAGTGGATCTCTAAGTGTGAATTTGGGCACAACCTGGGGACCTAATACTGTTTTCAGAGGAGAGATCTGAATCAGAGTTTGGACCTGGCAGAGAATAGAGGAAACCACTGTAAGAGAGAAACCAGGAGACGATTTTTTAAGTTTCATGTGGTACATAAGCTATTTCCTGTCTCATTTCCTTGGTATTTGGCCCATAGCCTGAAATTCTTCTGTTTATTTAGCAGACACTGAGGCATGAAAGTGTGGAGTGACAGAAACATGGAACTGAAAGTTCCATAGTCACTGCATAGAGTAGCACACTAAAAAGAGAAGGGGTAAAAACATTCAGAGAGGGTGAATTTTGGCCCCCTTAAACGGAAGGCAGAATACCTCCTGCTAGGCAGAGTTTTTGTGAAAGGAGTCTTAGCTCCTTAGCACAGTAGAGCTCAGGAATGGAGGGAAATGGGATGCCCTAAGGAGGCGATTAATGCGCTCCTGATTCTGCTTTTCTTTCTCTCTCTTCTCTGTGTCTTTCTCTCTCTTCTCTGGGGTGTTCTGTGGAATATTTGCTTTACACATAAGAAATAGGGAGCTAACCCAAGCACAAAAATTTCTAAGTCTACAACTGTACCTCATAGTGTTACACCAATAATAATAATAATAATAGTAATAATAATAATAATAATAATAAAGAAATAGGGAGCTAGATATGCATTCCACACAGAAGAATGATCACTTTGAAATTCAGGCTAGCATCATGCAGCTGTGTAGAAGATGACTTCTTGGTCAGATTCTAGAGGAACATAAGGATTTGGAAGCAGTTGCAGTCTCCAGAGAAAAGAGTTTCTGTTGTGTGATTCTATTTATATGTACTGTCTAGAACAGGTCATCTGCAATGCTTTCCACTCATTCCCTTTTTTCACCTAAGAAAGTTTTTTTACCACCCTGGTTATATAGATCTTTAAGATAGTTACACAAATAAGATATTTACTGGTAGCCATACGGAATCTTATTTTAAAGAGAAAGTTTTAAAAAGTTACGTGACCCAGGATAATGACCCCCAGTTTAAGAAGCTAGGGTCTAGAATAGGTAATTTTGTAGAGATAGGAAATAGATGATAATGAGGAGTCACTAGTAGTTACAGATTTTTGGATGTGATGAAAATATTATTGAATTAGTATTGGCAGTTGTAAAATCTTGTGAATATACTAAACGTGTAACTGAATTGTGTACTTCTACATGGTGAATTTGATGGTATGTGACTTATAACTCAAGTTAGTGGAATATGAAGACTCCATGAGACATGTAGAAACAGAATAAAGAAAGCTGGGATGGTTTGAGAGAAACAGCGGTAGAGAATTGGTATTATCTGGAGAGTGAATATTGGTAATATCCAAAATGGAATAGAGACTTTTGAAGTTTCTAATTTGTATGATTGAATTGAAATAAGGGAAAGTGAGCTTGGCAAGGTAAAATTAATCTAGTGAGTGAACTATTTTGACAGTGCTCAAGGCAGGTAGGCAGAGATGAAAGTGCAGGTTTCCAGAGACAGTCTCGGGCTCCAGAAGGGGACAGAGTTGACTAGAGAGGATGTTCAGAGTCATTGGTAGATGTATCCTGCTTGCCCTTTGACGGGAAGGTAATGTCTCACCTTCTTGTTCTCAAAGCTAGAGGTTGTTGCTATGGTGTTAATAAAGGTGAATCTCTCTGTTACTTTTCAGGCAGAGGCCAGGCTGGCAGCAAAACGGGCTGCCCGGGCAGAAGCAAGAGATATACGCATGAGAGAACTGGAACGACAACAAAAAGAGGTAATTTCGGACAATAATTCTAATAATCTTAAAAAAAATCAGTACTTGGCTTTTTCCCTTTGAAGTACTGGGATGGAACAATGTGATCTGCATACAGGTCACTCTGTCAGAAAATTAAATTCAATTTTTGTTATAAATAATAAATACAGACATATATAACTCCCACTGTGTGTATAATTGTAGCATTATAAATCCGGTCACAGTCCTCCCGTGACCGTTATTCATTGATTTGCACGAGCGGGCCCAGTAACATCTCCATTGGAGACTTTGTTGTTACTGTGTCTGGCATATCGAATACGTCACGGGGAGCTTGCCAGGCTCTGCTGTGCGGGCGAGATCCTCTCGGTAGCTTGCCAGGCTCTCCGAGAGGGGCGGAGGAATCGAACTCGGGTCGGCCATGTTGGCCGCTTGTAAGGCGAACGCCCTACCACTGTGCTATCGCTCCAGCCCAGCATTATAAATATTTATTGTAAAGTAAGCTAGAGATAATAGTTATTTACAGTAGGCCTAGTCTAAAATTTGGAATGATTACAGTATTATTAGCTATAAAGAACTATAGTCATTTGACTATAAATTTTAAGCAAATTCATTTAATGGAGGAAATGCTAATGTAAGGAAGGAAAACAACTAAGTGATGGAATTTAAACTTTGTTACAAAAACTGTTATCTAGAGGATCAAAAGCTATAAAGTGATAACTATCAATACTTAGTCTATGGTGAACTTATAATTGGTTTATTCTCTCTTTCTGTCTCGTGCTCTTTCTCTTTCTATTTCTCTCTCTATTTCTCTCTCTCTCTCTCTCTCTCTCTCTCTCTCTCCCCGGCTTTTTGGGTCATACCTGGCAATGCTCAAGGGTTCTTCCTGGCTCTGCACACAAGAATTACTCCTGGCTGTGCTCAGGGGTCCATATGGGATGCTGGAAATTGAACCCATGCAAGGCAAATGCCCTTCCTGCTGTACTATTGCTTTGTCCCCTTTATTTTCCTCTTTACTTTTCTGTAGTTCGTACACTTCAATATGCTTTCATCAGAAAATAAAAAATTTAGTTGGTATATAGTAATTGTGCTATGTTAAAATGTGGAATGTGCTAAAATTGAAGAAATATTTTAAAAAAATCTAATAGTATTAAGGAAATGAATTACATATTTATGTATTTTATTATTTATTATAATCATTTATCATAATCATAATTACATGATATGCATTGTAATTATATAAGTATTATTATGTTTATCATTACTTACTATTTATATATTATTACATATTAATATGGGTCTGGAGCGATAGCACAGCAGGTAGGGCGTTCGCCTTACAAGCGGCCAACATGGCCGACCCGAGTTCGATTCCTCCGCCCCTCTCGGAGAGCCCAGCAAGCTACCGAGAGTATTCGATATGCCAAACACAGTAACAACAAAGTCTCCAATGGAGACGTTACTGGGCCCGCTCGAGCAAATCGACGATCAACGGGAGGGCCTTTACCTTTACCTTTTTACATATTAATATAATTGGTATTAGGTTTGCAGTATCCCACAACAAATATTTTTGATGTCATATTATGAAAGCAAAAGCTTACAAAATAATATTAAACACAATATCTTAATATTGGCGGTAAAATTTCTATTAATGATAAAAGAAATTTATAGAGTACATATTTTCCTTGTGAGTTCACAAATACATGAGTGAGGGGTAGCCCTAAAGTCCCAGCTCAAAACAACTCTAAACATTTTATGTATTGCTGAGTTTTAAAATTTTGTTTATAGTTAGAAATACTAAATACAGTTTTTGGTTTGAAATGATAAAAAGTTGTCGTATGTTTCATTATTTGAAAGATAAGCTTTTATACTCCTAAAATTTCAGGAAATTGAGATGGTTAATGTCTATTCATGGTCCTCTGCACTATAGAAAACTCTATATTTCCTTATTGCTGGAAATTTTTAGTTTAGTAATTGTATTTTTTAACATTTATCGTACTTTGGGTCAATGATCATTGTTCTTCAGGGCAATGCATATGTCGATACTTTCTGAGAATGTAGTATATTGGTACCTGCTCAGCTTATGGAACTTTTGCATTTGTAGCACTCTCATCATTCCTTTGACCGGAAATGGGGACAGATTCACAAATGGCTGGTAGGCTAGGATTGCCTGTCCTGCATGTTGTGATCACTGCCTAAAATAATGCATTCTTGCAGTAAAGCATTTACTAATAGTTTGCAAAATGGGAGTGTTTGGCATGTTTGAACCTAACGGTCAGTGTCTCTAGTATCCCAGACATGTATTTGAATTCCCACCATTTTTTGTTGTAGTATCCAGCCTCATACTGATTAATGCTCCTGGCCAAGAAAGATTTGAGTAACTGAATGTGTTTTCTTCCTCATTTGTCTGTGCTCCCATTTTCCCCCTTCTCCATCTTTGTCCCTCTTAATTTCATCCTCCATTTTTACTGAAGCACCATGATGTATAATACCATTAGTGAGAGAGTTTCATGCACATAAGATTTCAACAATACACTACCAACAGTGTTGCTTTAAAAAAAAAAGGTTTTTCTGACATTGGAGGAAAGGAATATTTTTTGTTACAACTGATACCTAAGAGCAGTTTGCTGATTTTTTTTTTTTTTGCATTGCCCCTGGTGCTATTAATCAAGAAGCTAGATGATGGTTTAAAAATATATATCATTGTCACTGCCCTCTCATTGTTCATCGATTTGCTCGAGCGGGCCCAGTAACATTGTGACTTGTTACTGTGTTTGGCATATCGAATGCGTCATGGGGAGCTTGCCAGGCTTTGCTGTGCGAGCGACATACTCTCGGTAGCTTGCCCGGCTCTCCTAGAAGGGCTGAGGAATCAAACTCGTGTCGGCCAGGTTGGCCATGTGCAAGGCGAATGCCCTACCTGCTGTGCTATCGCTCCAGCCCAGAAATATATACATATATATATAAATATTATAAATAAGGAGCGATAGCACAGCGGGTAGGGCGTTCGCCTTACAAGCGGCCAACATGGCCGACCCGAGTTCGATTCCTCCGCCCCTCTCGGAGAGCCCGGCAAGCTACCGAGAGTATTCGATATGCCAGACACAGTAACAACAAAGTCTCCAATGGAGACGTTACTGGGCCCGCTCGAGCAAATCGACGATCAACGGGAGGGCCTTTACCTTTACCTTATAAATTCTAGTCTAGAAATGGGCTGGAACGATAGATAGCATAGTGGGTAGGGCGTTTACCTTGCACGTGGCCGACCCGGGCCAACCCGGGTTCGATTCCTCCGCCTCTCTCAGAGAGCTGAGCAAGCTACCGAGAGTATCGCGCCCACAGGGCAAAACCTGGCAAGCTACCTGTGACATATTTGACGTGCCAAAAACTGTAACAAGTCTCACAATAGAGACGTTACTGCTGCCCGCTTGAGCAAATTGATAAACAACAGGAGGACAGTGCGACAGGACAGTTTAGAAATATCTGCAAAATTAGGCTTTTGTTCTTCCAGGGAAGGGAAAATCTCTGAGTAAAAACGAGGTTCCCTTGTCATTTTTCTTCCTAGTCTTACTCTAATTAGTGTAGGGTTAGCCAGTGTGGATTGTATCTCCATGACTCTGTCTTTTGAGGTCTGAATGTTGATTACTGAATGCTTTATGATTTAGATTAGTCTTTCTATGCTACAATGTACTATGAAAATGAAGGGATCATATTAAATGGTTTCTAATGAACCCTGTTTCTTAAAAATTATTCTATGGTTGATATGCTGGGGGTTTTTTTTTTTGTTTGTTTATTTTTCCTAAATGAGAGTTACAAGGATTTCCTGTTTTTTGTTCTGGGGCCACACCCAAGCAGTGCTTGGGGAATACTCCTGGCAGTGTTTGGGGACACGTGGTGCTGGGGACTCAATCTGGGCCTTCCACATGCAAAGCTTGCACTAATTCTGTTGAATTACCTTTCTGGCCATAGAATTTCCTTGCATTTCTCTCATATTTGCCACTTTGAAAATGTACTCAAGAAAAGGGAGTAGATAAAAACTAGCCACTCATCACATACAAATTATTTTGGGAGAGGGTAGGGAGTGGGTCATACCTGCTAGTGCTTCAGGTCTGCGCCTGTCTCTTTGCTTAGGAGCCACTACTGACAGTGCTGGGGGACCATTGGCAGTTCTGGGGATTGAACAGTGGTTGGCCTCATAAAAGGCAAGTGCCTTACTGTATTCTCTCTCAAGCCCCATAACAGTTTTTTTTTACAACCGTGAATGGGGATGAATTTTAACTAGGATTACTAGTCTGTTGATGTATGCAATTATTGAATCGGGGTCAGGAAGAGCGTTTAGAGTGTTGGAGTGTGCGCTTGACCTACACAGGTCCCTGAGTTTGGTTTCAGGCACCTCATGGCCTCTCCTCCCAACACCACAGGGAGGTCTTGCCCAAATCAAATAATTTAATTATAGATTTGAAACTGACATATACATTACATTACCCCTTCCCCTCTCTCTATATATACTATATATATGTATGTATATATGTACACACATATATATTTACATATATCTCAATCTAAAAAGACTGTTGTTATATCTGTCTTTTGGCATACTCTTAGTGAAATTGCATTTTGTGGCCTTTTTGGTTTAATAAAAATTTGATTTGAGCTTGCTTTACTGTCTGTATGATTGGCTTTAGCCATGTGTGGCTAATTAGATTTATATTTAAGTAGATTTAGATGAAAAAGTGAAACATTTTATTCCTCAGTTGTATTTTATTATTTCAAGTGCTTAGTAGTACACATTGCTAGTGCTAGCACATTGGAACAAACATTTCCCCCCAATAAGCCCTGAGTACCACTAGGTATAACCCCAAAAAGGTTTTTTTTTAAAGCCCTTGTGTGGAATGAAAAGAATGGCATTTCCCCCCAATTTTTGTAGTAGCTTTATAATTACCAAAACTTGGAAGCAATCAGAAAATCTTTCAGCTGGTTAATGGCTAAATAAGCAGTGGTACACCCAGATAGTGAAATAGTATTCAGTGCTAAAATGAATTCTCAAACCATTAAAAGATATGAATGGGCTTTAATTACGTAGTAAAAATGGCAACTCTGTGATACTTTGGAAAAGGCAAAACTATACCTTCATTTAAATAAAACATTTTTTTTCACACGGGCAAGACTCAGGGCTTACTTCTGGCTCTGTGCTTAGGGAGCCCTCTTGGGGACCATATGTAGTGTCAAGGTGATCTGCATGCAAGGCACACCTTATCCACTGCATTCTCTTTCCAGCCCAAAAGTCAAAACTATGAAGACAGTAAAAAAAGTAGAGGTAGGGGTGAAAAGATAGGGAAGAATGGGAAGATACAAATGCAGGCGCTCTTTTGGCCCAGACAGTTATGTTGAATAGTGCTGGTTTATGGTGATGTTCATGCCAGTAGAACGCACTGCAATCTCTCAGTTTTGACTAGCTGACCACACTAGTGCTGAGCGTTACCTGAAGTTTTTATTAGTCAGTGTTGCATTTCAGTACTGACTTAAGATATTTTTATTTAGAATTCTTTTAATAGACATAATTGAAAAGAAATATGAATTTGTCTGTTTTTTTATTTTTATTTTAAATGGGATTTGCTTTTTAGAATTAGATTTAAAAATTGCTCCTGTGGGACCGGAGCCATAGTACAGTGGTTGGGGCGCTTGCCTTGCGTGCAGCTGACCAGGGTTCGATCCCCGGCGTCCCATATGATTCCCCAAGCACCGCCAGGAGTAATTCCTGAGCGCATAGCCAAGAATAAGCCCTGAGTATCACTAGGTATAACCCCAAAAGGGTTTTTTTTGTTTGTTTGTTTTAAAAAAAAGCCCTTGTGTGGAATGAAAAGAATGACTAGAATGAAGGAAAGATTGATCATTAAGCGACACATGTCACTCGAACCCAAATTATACTGGAAAGAGACTTGTAGAATTAAACTTCTGGGTGGCAACAAGTCTCTTTCCTACCTGGCTAGAATTGGTTACCACTTAATAAACTTCGCTTACTTTTTTTGGCCATCATGAATGTCATCAAAATTCTGTGGTTATGATCCGATAGCCAAAGAAAAAGAAGACATTTACTTGGCTTCTTAGTGACTAAATATGTCTATTACATAACAAAAAAGTAAATCAGTGCTAAATTCAGGAATTAGGCATTTGAATTATATTGATGCTTATAAGGAGACTGCTGAACATGTTTGATCATATATGCCTGTATACACAGAGATGACAACCAGCGTGTTTCAGAATAAAAATAAAAGTTGATCAAAACCAGGTGTGAAATTGTGGTTTCAGTTGAACCACTGAATGGTCAGGCATAGTACATCTATTTATTTCACCAGCATAATGATCATGCTATATTGCCATGGGGTATTAAGGTGTTGATTCATTTATTACCATGTTATTTATTCAATGCCCCATGGTAATAACACGTTATAGAATAACCATGGGGTATTGAAGTGTTGATTCATTTTGGAAACAATAGTGTTGATTAGCTGTGAGCACACTTGGCAGTTGTAGATTCTTAGTGCAAATTACTTGAACACTTTGGACTTTGATATTGTAGAAAGATAAGAAGTTCCTTACTGTTTCAGTTGATTAGGTTCTAGGGATGGGTTATTTGTTTCCTGTGACTCAGGGCTTAATGCTTCAGTGCTAACAGCTGATGTGGAAAAGTTTTGAATTGCGTTTAATTAGTAAACTATTAAACTTTGGGCAAAAATGTATCTACGTATATGTGTATATGCTTGCATTGTATGCATATATATAAAAGAATCACTTTAAGACTGCATAACTCTTGAGATAACTTTCCCCAATTCAGTTTTTTCTAGTTATAAATAGTTTTTCACGTTAATACTACATAACTAGAGGCCAGTTCAATTAGTTCTTTTCTGGTTTGAGTGGTTATTTAAATAAGAGAAATAAAGTCTTTGCAATAAGCTCTAAATTATAATCCCAATATTTAAAAAATAATAGTCTTAAACTATATGTAATAAGGTATTTTATTTTGCTTGCACAGACATTCACAATGAATGTTTAATCTATGTTTAATAATTTAATTTAATAATTTAAACATAGATTAATGTCTGTTTTTAATGCTGAGCTCAGTTTCTATTGGATTATAGTTGTTTATTTTTATATTGAGCTCTTGATCATACACAGATAACATTCTGAAGTGGTGTCAAACATACATATGGTGTCAAAATGAAGACATGGTTATTTCACGTAGCATGTGGCTGACACAAACTCAACCTTTCAAGCTCTGCTGTCCACGTCTGCCTGTAGGAAAGGCACTGCTGCGCTCTTGGCTGAGTGTTTGGCCTGATGGTTCTGATGGATTAGCCTCTGTTAAGTGATTGACTTTCCATGTACTTTCTCTTTCTCAGGAAGATTCCGAAAGGGCCAGGTTTTCTCATCGATCTGGTCATCGTCGTTCTTACCTGGTTTGTAAGAAATTAAAAACAAAACGTTTCCCTAATACTTTTCCTGATTAAGTTGATATAGTCACTCATAAACTTTTACTGTCTTTATTTTTATCAGGGAGTTGAGGATGCATTGAACATTCGAAGCCTTGGCAGTCACAGGGTTGGTATTTAAAGTTGTTTACAATAGCAAAGCTTCTGTGTTTGAGCTCTCACAGCATTGCCTAAATAATCTGACGATAGTCCTACATAGTCCTTTGCCTTTTAAAAACATTAACTATTGGCAAAGTCTTTTCATTGGAAAATGATGCTTTATCCAAATTGTTGCTATAAATGAATCAGTTGCAAAATCATGAATATATTTTTATCTTTATTTATATCTATTCTTCTATAGAAGGAACTTTAATTTTGGAAAATTACCACAATAATAATTAAGATTGATTTTATAGAATTACTTGTGCATTGTCTTAACTTTCAGACTTTTGCTACTTTGCTATTCTTAAAAAAATTGATTATTTACTAATGAGGAATAGCTTTGGGGCTCTGGGTAACTAGTTATAAATTTTAGTACGTGGGAAAATTGAGCTGCTGATTTGAAACATTCCCAACTTACCATATTTATTGGAATTAACATGCTGCAGCATTTTGATAAACATATTATACTTTGTCTGAGGTTTTTTCCGTAACTGTTATAAATCTAACCAAGACAGGAACATTCTTAAAGTATTTTGTTACCTTGTGGGAATGCTTTTAGTTTGTTCACTGATGATATTGTATATTTATATCCAGGTTTTTTATAGTAAAGTGATGTTTCATACTAAGGTCTATATTTGTTAATTTTCCCAAATCTGATTTTCTTCTTGTCTTTGTTATGATGTATAAAAACACAATACAATTAAGAGTTTTGATATAATAGTTTCCGAATATGTTTATGTATTCTTAAATAATTCTTTACTCTGTAGTTCTTATTAGTGATTGTGATCTACTGTCTTTCTAGGGTAAATAATAAACTTTGTTGTTAGTTACCTAAATATTTTTGTTAATTTCAGAAGTTGAGTTTTGTATGAATATTGATAAACCTTTACAGATTAGCATGATTTTTTAAAAAATTTTTTAATAGTGAGACATCATGAGGTACAGTTGCAGACCCACACATTTTTATGCTTGGGTTTCAATTATACAATGATCAAATACCCATAGATTAGCATGGTTTTATAGGAGAAAAACTTTAAGGTAATAGATTCCTCATTTTTCTACCTGATTATTAAATCTGAAAAGAATCATAGCAAAAATTTTAACAGTTGGGTTTTGAGGTCTATGACTGAAAAGAATCTTCTTTCTTCTTCTAAAAAGTTTGCTTTTTTCCTTTTTCTTTCTATTTGGGTGGGGGTGGGGAAGGGGAATGTTGGACCATACCTAGTGATACCTAAGGGTTCTGGCGGTGGGCGAACCCAGGTTGTCCACTTGCAAGGCAGTGCCCTACCCACCCTACCCGCTGTACTCTCTCTCTGCTCCTTAGCTTCTCCTTTTCATTACAATGTTAGTAATGGAAAGTTGTATACAGTGTTATCAAATTGGTTATTTCTAAGTTTTATGTGGTTTCAGGGAAGCAGTTTTATATTTGTTTAACCTGGCAGCAAAAGCCTCTAAGTTTGGCTTTAGGGCTTTTGAAACAAATCTGTGGGGGTGGGGACAGAGACATAATATAGTCATCAAGGCACTTTCCTTGCATGTGGCTGACTTGGAGTCGATCTCTGACTCAATCCCTGGCACCCCATATATGAATATCCCATATTGATATACATAGGAATATTTATGCAAACAAAAGAGAAGCAATACACAGCTAGTAAGGAATTGACCCAGTGTGACATGTTTGATTTTCTTTTTAATGAAACATCTATCATTATATAAATTTAAGATATAATTAGATTAAAAAATTTTAGTATTTGTGGAAAGTAATTGGGTAATTCTAAATATGTTTAATGTGAGAAAAAAATAAAGTTTCCAATATTATATATATTAAAATGAGACATTAGGGCTAGAGAGGTAGTGGAGGGGTTAAGGCACTTCCATGGCAGGGTTGAAGCTGACCCTGCTTCTATCTCTGGCACCACATATGATCTCCTAAGCACTGCCAGGAGTGATCCCTGAGAGCCTCTGGTGTGGTCCCAAAAGAAAACAAGCAGAACAACATTAACAACAAAAAACTTAGTGTGTGGAGTTAAAAATTGATAAAAATCTTATACCTTAGAGGATGCTTGAGTACTTTACTAGTTGGGACTGCGTACCCAGTACACTGTTGTAAGGATGAAAGCTCACTAATGACACTGAAAAAGAAATTGTTTTTCCTTGTTCTTTTTTGGTTTTTGGGCCATACTGGTGGTGTACAGGGGCAACTCCTGGCTTGTTGCTTGGAAGTCACACCTAAAGGTTCATAGGGGACCTTGTTGTGCCAGGGCTGGAACCCAGGCCTTCCAGGTACAAAGCCTGCTGGCTTGCCCTTTGAACTCTCTTCCTGGCCCAGGTTTTTATTTTTCCTTCAGTGTGATAATAGTGGAGCTCTAAGTTTTAATCAGATTATTTTCTTTTTAAGATATCTTTACCATCTACATTAAACTGAATAAACAACTTTTGTTCCCCAAAAAAGTGCTCTAGAATGTTAGTGAAAATTTTATTGTGGTCTGCTATGTGATTTTAGGTTTTTGATATCTCCCTACCATTTTTAGAAAGTATTATGATCTGTATAGTTAAAAAGGCTGACACTTTTGGACCTTGAATTTGATGTCTGATCACCTGTGTGGGAGGCAGGCATATTTGTGGTTTTATTTTGCATTCTTAGAACTTTGATCTTTTCTTTTGTCATTAAATCTTCAGGTAATACCTTCTTTTTTTTTTTTAATCTTTTCAGGTAATACCTTCTTAAAAGGTTGGCTTGTCAGAAGCTATTTGAACTGGAAATGGTGTCAGTGCCACAGACACTTTTAATTCAATTTAAAAAGTAAAGGTAGTTCAAAACTGTGAGTGGTAGGTCAGGGGACTTAGGATTTAAATCAGAACCCTCAGCTTAGAATAGAATAGTCTGTTTCAGTCTTGAAACAGCAGCAGGGATGCATTGCTGTTTCTACTGAAGCCTGTTAACTGTTGTTGGTATGAGTTCCTGTTAATATAGCAGTGTCCCTAAAGTTACTTTAATTTAAATGTGCTTGCAGTTTGTCTTTTGTCATTTACTATCACACTTTTTAATTTCATTGAAGACTCCATCAAAGGACATAACTGGGACACATTGGAGCAGAGCCTGTATACCCAAAAGGAAAGACAGCATGGTGTGTAGCCCAGGATAATGTGCCGTGTTAGTTTTATGTATTCATTGTTGATGCCAAGACTTCTGAGACCTGAGGAGTAGATGAGTTCTAATAGAAAAGAACACTTGCTGACCTTTTGTTTTCAAATGAAAACTCTGGCATGGTTGTGATGAACAGCTTTTTTTTTTTTTTTGGATTGGATGTAGGAGCAAATTTGAAAATGTTTTAGCCTTATATTTTATATTTTCTTGTATTTTACATTTTCTTATATTTTATATTTTCAGTTCTCCATCTGATGAATTGATCCCCCTTCCCTTCTTTTTCTTTTCCATGCTCTGCTGTGCTCAGGGACTGTTCTTGGCTCTGTGCTCAGGAGTGATCCCTGGCAATACTCAGGGAACCACATATGGAGCTGGCCTCTGCAGGGAAGGCACCATCTCTGCAGCCACCTGTAAGACAAGTGCCTCACTCTGACTGTCTCTCCAGGCCCAGTTAAACAACTTAGATAACCCCTGTCACTTTTTGTTTACCTAATTGTTTTTGTTTACCTATTTCTTGGACAGCCATTGGGCTCTTTAGGTTATGGATTTTCCTACCAGAGAGATTGAGCAATATCTTCAAACCAGCTGAATTGTGCACTATATTTTGGAAAAGAAAATTGAAAAAGCCCATTTCAATTTTAAAGACTACATTTGTAATAGAAAGGAAAGGAAGAAATAAGATATAACTATTATCTTCCATGAGGTTATCTGTTTGGGAGGAGTTTATATATTAGAATGTGTGGCTTGGATGACATTAAATTTTGGACATGGGTGTTCTAAGAACAAGATTTTTTTGTTAATGGAAAAAAGAAATTTTTTATGGAGAAAGAATCTTCTCAGGAAACTCAGCATTCAGTGACATTTTACTATTGTACTTCACTTACATAATAAACATGTTCAGCATTTTGGAAAATTTTAGATAAACTTTTTTTTTATACACATGTTACGTTCTTTGTACTTGCCTTTTTGATTAGAAAACATAAGAAATGCATTCTTATAGTCCTTGAGGAAGGAAGTTTATCAGGTGTGTGTACACAAGTATATCCAAAGAAGCTCCCCCTATTTTGATGTTGCACTTGTTTTTTTTTTGTTGATTTTATTAATCATATGCTCTTGCCTCATTGTCTGCCTGTGCCTTGCTTTTGCCATATTTTGACAATGGGAAATGATGGTGACAGTCATAACAGTAAGAAAATGAGATACTTTGATTCAGAATGCTTAATTCTTACATTTACAGGTTTGTTGGGGTGGGTATGGATGGGGGTGGGTTTTGTGCTATAGTGTTCTGAAATTAAATATTATGTCATTTTTGATTTTAGATTCTGTATTTAAAGAGGATATGCAGTTTCAAATAAACTAGGAAAGATTAGGGGAGAATGTTCTTTAGTTCATATAATGGCCTTTTTGTCTAGTAATTTGTTCTTTTAAAATAATGTTAATTTTTAATAACTTTGCAAATGCTACTTTTTCCCCAATTTTATATTTCTGATTTTGGAAGTGTAACCAACTTTAGTGTTTTTCTCTGAAATCCAGTATGATGCTCTCAAGGATAGATCTTCAAGACTTTCATCATTAGTATGTAGCGCATGACTTTGTGTTAAATGTAGTTTCACTTTATAAAATGCCCGATAATGCTAATCATAGATTATGACTAACTCTCACAGGTTTGTTTGATTTGGGGAAAACATATTGCTAACAAAGTAAGAATGATTGTTTTACCACCGTGGCACAATTTAACATCTCAGTTATTTTCTTCTCTTAGACTTTTAGGATCAAAAAAATAAAAACATTTGCTTCTCCATTCAGGATTACATTTGTAGTAATATCTTTTCTTAAAACTTGGGCCACTCATTTACTGCCTCATCACTGCCCTGGAAGCTTGATTCCAATAGTGTTTTGTTCTGGTACAAAATGCATTATAGCAGCACAGACCAGCTGTGCTTCACATCATGTATCACTGTTTATTCATATGAGGTCGTGTGACAGAAGCACTCAGCAGTGATGGGTGACACCGGAAGTACTCATTATCTCTGCTCTTTTTTTATTGATTTTTTTTTTAACAGCATGTCAGTATGGCCTAGGAAGCTATGGCATGCATTTTCCTTGGATTAATCTATAGATTGGCTGAATTTCTAGATTTATGTAGGCATTTCATAAAATGTTCAAGGTACTATAATAAAGGAGCAGTTACATATTTAAAAATATTTTGGGGGTTCGCAGTGGTTGGAAGGAGTCCCTGAGGAATGGTGGAAGGAAGTGGACACTGGTGGAGGGTATGGTACTGGAATGTTTTATGTAGGGAACCCTATCGTTAACACTATTGTAAATCATAGTGCTTCAAAAATACTTCTTTTAAATGTTCATAACCATCAGTTTGGTTACTGGCTGTGCATATGTCAGTATATTTGACTGAAGCAAACATTTGTTTTGTGTTTTGGGCCATATCTGGCAGTGCTCAGGGGTTACTCCTGACTTCACACTCAGAAATTACTCCTGGCAGTTCTTGGGGGACCATACAGGAAGCTGGGGATCTAACTTGGGTCAGCCGCATGCAAAGCAAATACCCTACCTGCTGTGCTCACTCTGGTCTGGAACAGACTGTTATTAGGATACATCAAGCTGTACCTCCTCATTTCTGGCAAGTGGTGCATACATTGATTGGATTTCTTATCTATTGGTTGTCTTATTGATTTGTTGTCTTTTATTCTGTCATACACACTTGGTTTTGTACTTTTGGGAGAAGTTAAGTCTTTAGACAGTAATGCCTTCCAAAGACTCACACATAGGTTATTGCCTAATAATGCTTCTACCCTGAGGAGTTTTCCATGCTGATGGTTCTCTTCCAGTACAGCACATGCCATGGGTTCTAGCTTGGGTCTGGGACAGTGAAATGCCATATTATTTGCTGTCTCAACTATATTTTGGTCAATCCAAAGGTAAGCAACATCACTCTAGAAAGGGATATAGGCTTCGTAGAGAAGATCCGTGCTAGAAACATTATGTATCTAAAACAGTTGTCAATAACTTTGTGAATCACAATTCTTTAATAAAAGTTAAAAAATTTTAAAAGATATAAGGACTTAAATGAGGTGCGGGAGGGGAGGTTCTCATGAACACATTGCCTGACTCTTAGTCCTAATTGCTTTTCTTCACCTGACTAGCCACTGAGCTGCATGGCACAGGGAAAGAAGGGGGCATGAGGTTGTGTATGGAGTAAACGTCTGTCTTCATTAGGGATATGCATGCAGTGAGTCAGTGACTAACAGGAAGCAGATCGTGTGTAGACAACACTTTCTTATATGAACCTTTCCATGGGCAATTTTAAAAAATTATTTAACATTTTTACTATACGATCATAAAGTTAACTTCAAATACTTGCTTCTAGAATTATTCTAATAGCTACTCTCCTGGAATGAAGAAGAGATCTTCTGGTTCTCATAAGGATCCACTGGTTAGTTCTGTTGTGTCTCATCTGACAGTATCTTGTGCCATTGCAAAATTCGACTGACTGCTCTTAGGGAACTGCCTTGGTGTGCTCTTTAGGAATATTAAAACTTGATAATGTAGCTGTCAGACCCTTAATTGAAAAATATTTTTTAATGATTTAATATCAAGTTTTTTTTATGCTCACCTGTGGGACTAGAATGAGTTAGAAAGGTGTCATAATAGTTTCATTAACAAAACATCTTCAGGACAGGGTGAGAAAGCTCAGTGGGCTGGAGTACATGCTTTGTCTGAAGCAGGACCCTGGGTTTCTATCCCAGCACTGCCTGCTCCTTTCAAGCACTGCTAAGCATTAAGTTGAGATCAGTTTCTGACCACTACTCGTTGTGACCCCAAACCAAAAGCCAGCCAAAAACATCCCTTGCCAAAAAGAAAAGCAACCCTAAAAAAGATGCCCCACAGTATTTTCATATATGAATGCCTGTGGAATGTATCTCAGGACGAGATTTGGAACACACTCTATTCTGGAATGCCGTCACTCCTTACTCTGCCTGAGTTTTTAATAAATGTCTTCTACTTTGTTGGCACCTCTCTCTACTCCACTATGTTTCCTGAGTAAACCAATCAGAAAAAAAATTACCCAAAATTCTTGAATATGATACTCTTTTTCAAATTTGAATTACTTTAGCTGTCTTATTAATTCACAAATAGGCTTCATCTTCAGAGTTTGTAGATCAAATTTTGGAAAATTTTTTTTTGTTAGAAAAAAAGTATATTAAGACAAAGATTCCATGCTATTTTGCAGAAACTCTTTAACTTATGTGTAATTAAACTTCCTGTGCTCTTTGAACACTTCCCTTTCTAAACAGCGTGTGTGTGTGTGTGTGTGTGTGTGTGTGATGTGTCTAAAATGCTTATTTTTGGGGGTGCTAGGAATAAGAATACCTCTTTTCTGTTAGATTGGCACTAACAGACATGTAGTCTAAAAGTCCTTGAGTTCTTGGTAGGAATTCTGTTTGCTAGCTGAAGAGAGAGGCTCTGGGGGAGGGAGAGTTAAGAGTTCCGGGAGTATTGAGTCAGGGTGCCTCTCTGAGGGTGTGGTACCATGAAGGCTGGGTGGGGAGTGGCAGGGGTGGAGAAGGTGAGGGAGGAACCCTTCACAGTGGAGAAGCCCTTCAGTGAGCCACTGCCTACATTGTTTCCTTAGCCCTGAGCAAACAAGGCACTAGAGAAGTTGGAAAAGGAATTTCATGCGCAATTTTCTCCCCCTCAAGTAATCACAGTGTATGTGACTGTTCATTTCAGTTTTGCTTTCTTCTGTGCATTGAAAATGAACCTGCTGTGGCCATTTAAAATCAAATCACATTTACTTTCTGTTTATTTTCTTTTTGGTCATTTACTGGTTTATTTTTGACAAATAATGGTAGTAGGAGATGTTTTGGAAAAAATGACTATCTTAATAGATTTTGTTACATTGCCAAATGGATTATAAAAGTGGCATTTACGTAGTTGTCCTGGATTTTTCAAGAACATTTCTAAGTATGAAATGAGAACATATCACTTATTATCTTTACTTCATTTTGATTGAAAATTAAGAAAATTATTTTTAACTTACTTTTTTATTGAGGTCTCAGTGTTTATAATACTACTGAAATAATTGCTTTTTTTATTTCCAATTGTTCTGCTACCCCAGTCACTCCACCAGTACATTGAAGATTTTATTTTATTTTTTAAACTTATTACAGTTAAGGTAATTTTTGTACAGTGGTGTTCACATTTGTGGGGGTTTTTTTTGTTTGCTTGTTTTGCTTTTTGGGTCACACCTGGCGATGCTCAGGGGTTACTCTGGGTCTGCAGTCAGGAATTACTCCTGACGGTGCTTGGGGGACCTATATGGGATGCTGGGAATCGAACCTGGGTTGGCCGCGTGCAAAGCAAACGTCCTACCTGCTGTGCTATCTCTCCAGCCCCATATTTGTGGTTTTGACTTTCACAGTTACCTCTCCTATAAGTTTTGTTTATAAATGATCAGATGCTCTTTAATAAATTGACTTTGGTTGCTACCTTTTCAGACTTATTCTAAGTAAAAAAATAGACTTTAAATACATAAAAGGATATTGACTGAAACTATACTTTTTCTTTTCCTTAAGTATATTTAGTTTTTTTAATAGATGCAGTGATGCTCAGGGCTATTCCTGGTTCTGTGCTCAGGGTCATTTTTGGCAGTGCTCGGTGGAATCATAATTGGTGCCTGGAATCTGACCGGGGTTGCCTGTATCCTAGGCAAGAGCCTTAACTCTTTTATTATTAAAACAATAGCAGCAACCACAACAGCAAACCACAGTACTCACAGTTTTTTGTTTCATTTTGGCAGTGTTCAGGGATTTCTTCTGCCTCTGCACTAAGGAATCACTCCTTGTGGTGCTTGGGGGAACGTCTGGTGTGCCATGGATTAAACTCAGTTCAGCAGTGTGCAAGGCAAGCACCCTATCTGCTGCAACTTCTCTCTCTGGTTTCTGTACTCTGGGATTTTAAACAATTAGTATGATTTGGTTTCAGATCAGTTTTTAATATTAATCCTTTTTGAGAGACTTGAAATAATAGTTTTTACTTTTACTTAATATGGTGCTTAAAAGTCAGTGTTTTGGGGAAAAAAGGGGTTTAGCAATATCAGATTTTGCCTTTTTGTGCTAGTAGTTCAATAGTATTTCATCTAGAAAACTGTTTGATTTTGCTTTTTTCAGAGTGGACTCTACTTTGACCAGAGAAACTATAGCAGTCTTAGACATAGCAAACCCACCTCTGCCTACTACACTCGGGTTTGTCTGATGTGTTTCTTATTTTGTGTGTTTTATCCAACTTTAACACATTTCTAACCCTCTTTTTCACATTTTGATTAGTTAGGACTAATGACTGTGAATGTACTAATGCATGGTAACAGAATTTCTATATTCTTTGTGAGTAATCTTTAAATAGTGAGAACTGTTTTACTGCAGTGTTTCTAAATAAATACCATTAAGATATGTTTAATGAAAAATTACAACATACGGAGTTTTGTAGTAATCCTGTATGTGCCTCCTTCCAATGCCCCCTCCCAATATTTTCTCTATCTTAGTGGTATTATTGAGTGATAATACAGCAGGTCCTGCATGCAGCTGATCTGGAATTGATACCTGGCACTCCATGTGGTCCCCAAAACCTGCCGGGAGTGACCCCTTAGCACAGAGCCCTGACTAACCCCCAGGGACCTCTGGGTGTGGTGTAGCCTCCAAACCAAAAACCAAACCAAAATATACTGTTACCTGTCTTTTTGTTTCCCTATCCATCAGCCTATCTTTTGGAGGGGAATGCATTTTAGAATTAGTTGCTGCACTTGGTATAGATCATGTTGGATGATATTTTAATAAAAGCTTACAAGTGAAAAGCTAAATTTTAAATGGATAAGAAGAATGCAGATATCAAAAAAAAGAAGAATGCAGTTATGTATTTAGTATTAGAATCTCTTGGTTTAGTTTCTCCTTTGGCTTTTGACACATCATAAACTTAAAACACATTAGACACATGGCACACAGTACATTTAAAATAGTTCCATTTCCAAAATTTGTACATGTGAATTAGAAACTCTTAGTTTTCCCTGTCTGATTTGGGCTTGATGAAAAAGAACTAAAAATGGTGCCCTCATATGATTTTAGGAATAGATTTGCCGTATTTGTGGAAGATGTAGTGCTTTATTATTTTTCACTTTACTTTTTTTTTATTGAATCACTATGAGATAGACCCTTACAAAGCTGTTCATGATTAGATTTCAGTCATACAGTATTCCAACACCCATCCCTCCGCCAGAGTACATTTCCCAGCACCAGTGTCCCTAGGTTCCCTCCCACTCCCCCCACCCCAGATGCTGTGCTTTGTTAATGTGTGGAGTTATTATGACCGTTCTGTCTTGTCTGATTGAGGTTCTTTGTTTATGGCTTGTTTGGAAATATGATTTTTCTAATCTGGAAAAAGCGTGTGTCCAGTGGGTAACTTAAGAGTGTCCTTACCTGGCTCCACAATATAAGCTCACTGGGCCTGTCTCCCAGTATTGAACCTGTCTCAGGAGTAGCTGGTGACTGCGGCCACTATTTGCCCCACTCCCAGCTCCGTGACCCTTTTCCCCAGTGCTTTACTGGATTGCCATTTCATGTCTTGACCAGGGTGTTCTGAACCCAAAAGGACAGTAACAGATGGACAGTCAGCTGTTCTAATTGTTACTCTGTTTCATCCTTAAAATTGTACCCAGAAATGTTAGTGATGAAGGTTTTCTCACTGTGTGGCTGTGCTGCCTTTCAGCACTCAGGAATCCTTTGTGAGTTAATCTGTCATCTGCTCTGATTGGTGAGACCAGTTCTACATACCTTTGGCTTCATTGTCCTGTTTTTGTTTCTTAGCAGCCCTCTTCCTTGTGCAGCGACCCTCTGGCGACATATAAGATGAACAGGGTTAGTACTTTCTGAGAGGTGTGTTGCTGTCAGAGCTACCAGCTGCAATCCTTGGGGTTAAATTGGTGCTTTTTCCATAGGTTTCCCCTACTGCAGATTCTTCTCTGCTGAGAAGTGCCAGTCTGGTTTGTATCTTCCCCTTCTGGCCTGTGCACTCCCACTAATTCCAGGGTCATGGTGCTGACTCTGGCCTGACAATGCTCCCTTCCCAGTTGTCAGTGACACATGGCTACAATGCCATGTGTACTGCAGAGTGTGCTGCCTCTGTTAAAGTACGGCACTGTAGGGTAGTAAAAAGAAGTGTGTGCTTCCAGTGGCACATCCCTGCTGCTTTTTGGTCAGGTCTAGCTTAGAATTGATTTCCTGCAGAGAAGACAGATTTGCATGAGTCCTTGCCTGCTCATGAGAGATGGCTGCCTGCACCGACGGCTTATTATTGGGATCCGCACAAGTACTAGTTATCATGGAAGAGCTGATTAGAAAGCAGAAACAGCAGCTCTGTGTATTCTGGGTGTGAGTTGGTTGCTACAAGCTCTTATGCTCTGGCCTGTTCTAGAGAGCTGGAAACCCGGGGCTTGGGCAGATGCTTTCGTGCCTCATTCTGTTTCTTTGTTTTTGAGAGATTAGATTAATAAATGTTAGCCCTATCTGTAATGATTATGAAAGAAAGCTCTGCACGGGTGGTTTTGAGCTTGATTTAAAGATTTTGCATATAGATGTTTTGACCCCCCTTTAAGATCTTCCCTTGGAGGTTGTATACGCACACTGCTCTTCAGATTTTTTTTAGAACTGAGTACTGCAGAAAAGGTGTTCAGAGTAATGATGCTGAATACATAAATGGTGTTTTTTTGTTGTTCTTTAGGCATCATTGTATGATGGTGGATTGTATAGCCCTTATGGTTCTCGAACTGTAAGTCTAACCAGGGTGGGACTGGAGGTGAAGAGGGTTGATGTAGGAGGCGGTCACAATTTACTTAGAAAATCCGTTTAATCTGACATGTAATTACACCCCAACTGTGATTTATCAACTAGCCAATTGTGACTCTCACCCTAGTTGTGAGGACCAACCTGCTGAAAATTTCGTTTCAAGTGTCAAGGGAGCAGCTGTGGAGAAACCTTTCCTGTTTGCTTACTTTGGGCAGAGGATGAAAGTAGTGCTTCTCAGGACATCCCCTTTCTCTCCTCTCTCTCACCTGGAGCTAAGGGCTCTTTCGGATGGGAGTTATATATAATCACTTGAATAGTTATTTTCATTGATAGAGCAAGGGGCATAGTCAATCCAGGGTTAGTAATGTATTCCCAGTAGGTAAGTTAGCTCATGGTGTTATAAAACTTTTCTTCTTGGAAATGTTATAGCCATCTGAATACAGTTACCACTCATCAAGAGCAAGTTCATCCCGAAGCAGTCCTGTGGTGAGCCGTCTTGACTGCATGCTTTATTGAAAATTTAGGCTCTTCTTTTAATCTCTACTCACCCTTTAGAGTATTGAAGATTATGTGTGTTTCACGTTCTGTGCATGGATTTTTGGTTTTCCTTCAGTACACAAACTCAAATACTAATTTGCTTTAATTAGTTGTTTCTCTATGAATGTGACTTCTGCATATATTTTTCTTAAGTAATTCTGGAACCATTACCATTTGAATTTTTTAAATGAATTCTTGTTATTTGAACTGACTTGCCTTTTTTCAACAGTGAAATTCTCGGTATGAGTTAGCCACTCTGTTTCTTCTTTACATTTCTGGGTCCTGCTTTGAGCCATTTCACTGGCTTGCCAGGACTCCAGTCACTGAAGTGGAAGGAGAAGAAATTTTAAAAAGCCAACTTTTAATAAATGTTATGAAAAAGACTATCTGGGGGGAAATTCTAATCGCTGTGTGTGGTATCAAAAATTTCTGATTTGTGAATAATGCTAATTTTAGAAAAGCCCAAAGGAAAATTCCCTGACACCTCTTTCATTTTCAATCTTCATTCTCTTTATGTCCTTTCAGAAATATTTAGACTCACATACATTATCTTCTCAACTTTGTTTTTTGTTATGTTTTGTTTTTTGATTTTTGGGTCACACCCTGCAGTGCTCAAGGCTTATTCTTTCTGGTTCTGTGCTCAGGGATCACTTCTGGTGGTGCTTTGAAGACTATATGGGGTGCTGGAGATTAAGCTCAGGTTTCCCCCCACCCCCGTCTTGCTTCTTAGTATTTTTTCACAAATAAATAAATACAGATTTATTTCATTCTGTTTTTAATAATAGTTTTTAAAGATAAAAACCATATTACTTTCACTGCTTCTTGAAGTCTTTCATATTAGCACATACTTCTTTTTTTTTCCAGTTTGTGTATTTATTAGCTCTTGAATCTAGTCCACAAAGCTCTTTTAAACTTGAGTGTGAATAGTATACCAATCCTTCATAAATCTATTCAATTTCCTTCTAGTTTCTTTACTTTTTAAAATTTTTTAAGTTTTATTAGTGAGACACCATGAGGTACAGTTGTAGACTTACAATTTTTTTGTGCTTGGGTTTCAATTATACAATGATCAAATACCCATCCCTCCACCAGTGCCCATTTCCCACCACCACGGATCCCAGTATCCCTCCCACCCCCAACCCCCCATCCCACCCTTGCCTCTGTGGCAGGGCATTCCCTTTTGTTCTCTCCTTTTGGATGTTGTGGTTTGCAAAAGAGGCAATGGGTGACAATCATGTTTGGTCTATAGTCTCCTTTCAGCATGGTTCTCCCATCCTGGGAGTATCCTCCCAACACCCTTTATTTGGTGCTCCCTTCTCTATCTGAGCTTCCTTTTCCCCTAGCCTGTGTGGCTGGCCTCTAAGTCATGGAGCAAAATTCCTGGTACTAATCTCGGCCATTCTTGGGTGTTAGTCTCCTATTTTGTTACTTTATGTTCCCCAGATGAATGCAATCTTTCTATGTCTATCCCTCTCTTTCTGACTCATTTTGCATAACATGATACTTTCCATGTAGTACCACTTGTATGTAAATTTCATGACTTCATCTTTTCTAATAGCTACATAGTTCTCCATTGTGTAAATGTACCAAAGTTTCTTTAGCCATCATCTGTTCTCAGGCACTCAGGTTTTTTCCAGATTCTGGCTATTGTAAAGAGTGCTGCAATGAACAAACAAGTGCAAATGTCACTTCGACTATACTTTTTTTGCCTCTCTGGGATATATTCCCAGGGGTGGTATTGCTGGGTCAAATGGGAGCTGAATTTCTAATTTTTTGAGAATCGTCCATACTGTTTTCCAAAAGGGCTGAACCAGTGGGCATTCCCACCAGCAGTGAAGGAGGGTCCCTTTCTCGCCACATCTGCACCAGCACCGGTTGCTTTTGTTCTTTTGGATGTGGGCCAGTCTCTGTGGTGTGAAATGATATCTCATTGTGGTTTTGATCTGCATCTCCCTGATGATTAATGATGTGGAGCATTTTCTCATGTATCACATACTTCTTAATGACAATATAAGGTGCATTAGTACATTGACTGTATTTAGAAAATCGTTCTCCTAATAAACATTTAAGGTAGTCAGATTTACATTATAAATTGATCATCATGAAATTATCAGAGTATGTACATTTAAATTGATTCCTCTTGTCATATGCTCTCCAAAAAGACTATACTAATTTATATATCCAACCACAAACTATGATGATTTTAGAAATTACCTTATTCTTGACAGCATCAAAATTAGAGAAATTGTTAAAACAGTTTCAGTGGTAATGACAGGTTATTTTGTCACATGGAATAGGTGAGCTGTCTGGGCTTTCTGTTATGTGTGTTTACCTCAGTTCTGATATTTCAAGTAGTTTTTGGCAAGAATTCTGTTCCTATAATCAAAAACAACAACTGTATGTATATTACATAGGGATGTTTAGGCAGGTAAAGGCTTAACATATTCAGGAAGTTTAGAAGTTCTGCTTGGCAGTTCTTGATCCCAGAAGCAATATTAATGTCCCAAGTGTAATGGCTCCTTGCAGTCAAAGTTATGATGTATATGTTTTAGTCAAGTGTAGAACCATGTCCTTATGTGCTGACTGGATGTAATTTTAATTGCAAGTTGGTGTTAAACTTACTCTCTTAGTGATGCCAGAATGGTTTCTTAGTGATGTCAGAATGGAGATAAGTTACAAATACTGAATATGAGTCCTCCGCTTCTGGTGAAACAGGAAGAAAACCATAGGGTTCTGTTCAAAATATCTCTACTAGTTGCATAGCAATGAATAAAGAAAAATAAGAATCATCATTTTACTGTCCCTGCTGTGGTAGGAAATTTGGTCTTTGACTTATTTTACTTTAAGACCATTTATTCTCTCTCCCAAACTGAACACAATAAGTATACTTATTGATCCCTTGGATCTTATTGATCCCAAAGGACCTAGAGGTTTATAAAGCATAAAATCCTTAACTGATTTCAACTGTTTTAATCATGTCCCTTTCCTTTCTCGTCTTGTATAGCTTAAATAAACGATAAAATGCGATGTTACTTTTCTTGCACTTAGGGAATTCTCCTTCCATTTTTAGTGTCAGCTCATTATGCCTTGAAACAGCTTTTCTGTTTAATGGTGTGAATGCGTGCTGCCAATTACAAAGCTCACATAGAATATTAGCCAAACTTTAGCAGTGTGTTGCTACTTAGGTAAGACCTGTAGGGGGGCCACTTTTTTTCATGATTACTTTTAATGTCTGTAGTTCACCAGTGATGATACTTCGAGCATTGCATCTTCTGGTCGTGCCAGTCATGGGCGAAGGGAGAGTGTGGTGAGCATGGTCTGCATGCAGATATGTACAATATGCTTTGAAATTGCAGTAATTGAACATGAAATATGAAGTCTATGGAAAGTGAAATTTGTATTTGACATTGTGGCATCGTCCTCAAATTTAAATGATATGAATAGTTTGCTTTCAAAATCTATTCCTGAGAATACTGATTCTCTGAGATATATAAAATATCATTAATAATGCTTTTTCCTCCACAATTCTTATGTTCTAATTGAGTATTTGAATGATTTTAAGTTCTAGTTTTTCTTACTGTTTTATGCAAATGACTATACAGACTAAATTGTTTATGCAAATGTCTATATGATGAAATGTGTCCAGTTCACCAAAAACAAGTCTTTTGATCAAAATTCGTTCAAAATTAGTAAAGCTCAGGGATTGTGCCTTGTTTTATATTTAGTGGTTTTCTTTATTGTACTGTTATTTTGTTTTTGTTTTGTTTTGGGGCCTCACATGGAGATGCTCAGGGATTACTTCTGGTTTGTTCCTTAGGGGTGGGGGTGGGAGGAGTCACTGAGAGTTGCTTGAACCATGCAGTGATGCCAGGGGCTGAACCCAGGCTTCGTTCATGCAAAGTCTGCTCACTAGTCCTTTGAACTATCTCCTCAGCCCGTGCTTTACTTAAGCTTAACCAACGTCTGCACTTTCAATCTCTGAACTTTTTCAGAGTTGCTGATGGCAATGTGTTAAAATTATGAGCTTAAACTAACCTGTTAGGCCTGTAGAACCTGGTTGAGTATTTCTGGGAGTTGGCCCCTAGGTCCCTAGACTGACTCCCTTCCAAAATTATGGGCCTAGAATTCAGCTTGTGCAATAATTGTAGAGGCAACAGGTAGAATGTTTGAGGATGATTTGCAGGAAAACAAATCACATGATTTTAGATAAGTCTTTTGATGAAGCTCAAAATTTTATAGAAAGCTGATGATCTTTTTACTGTTTGTTCTTTCTGTGAAGCAAGATAGTTTTTACTGAATGATATTTGCTTAGAAAGATGTGAGGAGAGAGGAAGAGAGAGATATGCATTCAAGAAAGAACACAGGCTTCTCCAGTGTGGAAAAAGCAGAAGAGAGATAACACATTCAAGGGAGAACATAGACTGGAAAGAGCAAGCCCCCTTTTGCTGTTTTTAAGAATTACTTAGAAAAATGGTATATTGCTTAGAATTAGAATAAAAAGTCCTATGACTCAGTCTATAATATCTTCAAGAAAAATTTAATTTCTTTAATACAAGTCATGTTTTGTTTGAGATTGTAAATACAGAGTGTTCTTGGAGAAAGGGACTCGAAGGTTTTGTGAGATCTGTTGCCATAACTTAGTGATTTTTTTTTCAGGATAGTTTGTGTCCCATGACAACCCAGTTGTCGCAGATGCTTAGCTGAAGAATAAAGATTAATCCATAGCATTTGAAAACACCTTTTCTGGAATGCAGTGGAGTCAAAAAGGGACTTTAAAATGATGGTGTCTGGCCACGTGCCCCAGGAGCCTACCAACACCCTGGGCCAAGCATCCCTGCGGGAGCCCCTATAAAAAATGAAATGAAATGCTAGTGCCTGGACTTGAACCACTTCTATAGTCTTTTAGTTGTGTTAATTGTGGTCATTTCTCTTTTTGTTCAAAGGGAATAATAGTGATTATTTTTTAAAATAGCCTTAATATAAAGTTCTAAATTATTATATAGAAAATGACTTTCAAAATTCCAAGGCAGATAAAGCAGAGGTTAAGATGCTTGCATAGGAGTGTCTTCTGTGCTGGGACTCTGACTTGACTCCCTGGTACCTCATATGGGCCCCTGAGCACAGAATTCACTCTGAACACTGCTGGGTGTACTCCAAAAACAAAAGGAAAAGAAAGAAATTGCAAGACTTGAAGAGGAACAGAATTCAGGATTGAGGCTAGCGAGATGTTTCAGCTTGTAGGGCATTGGCCTTTCACATGGCCATTCTGGATTCAATCCCAGGACCACATGCTAGGAGTGACCCTTGAGCACAGAGTCAGGAGTGACCCTTAAGCACCACTCGGGGTGACCCCAAAACAAATAAAATAAAAATTCTGAGACAGCATTGCAAAACCTACAGTTTAACTTTTATATTTTAAACGTGTCTATATTAATAAAATATTCTGTCTCAAAAATTCTCAGATGGTTGTCGTTGATACAATACTAAGTGTACATAAATCTAAGTTGTATCACTCTTATTGTGACTAAAAATACTGTTGCTTGATGGGATTATCACTTAGCAAAACTTAGAAGTCTTCTTTTCCTCTGTTGATGGGCAACAGCTGAGATAAAGAATAGCTGATTCATGAAGTAAAATATGATCATTTATAAAGTCCTGATTATATGCATAACATTGTGTTAAGGTGGCAGGAAAAATACTTAGGCACCAGGTTTCTGATTTCATGGAGGTTATAGCCTATGAGAAATAGAAAATAAAACAGTAAAGAAAAGAGCAAAGAGAAGGCCACCCTACAGACGGTGAGGAGAAGTCGAGAGCACCACTGAGGTGACCCTGAGGGTGGGGGCCAGGGAACATTTCGCTGAGGGAAGTGACTTTTGAGCTGAGATGTAATGAAGAGGAGCTGGCTGCTTCCCAGGGCTCAAAGAGGAGCGTTTTAGGCAGCACTGGGGTCTGAGGTGGGGTAAGGAATGCTGTTTGAGGAACCAGAGTGGGCTAATCACCTTGGCCTGTAGTTCCTAATGTTGTGTAATACGAAAAGAGAATATGTTGGGTATTGGTTAAAAGGGGTAGTAAAAACCCTGCTTAACTGAGTTTATAGCTCTAATGAATTGTATGTTTTTGTGAACTCTGGTAGGGGTCTAGATAGCATCTTAGACACCCTAATAAGGAGGCATGTCATAAACCTGAGGGCTTTGCTGACTGCCAGGTAGTAGTTGGTCTCTATAATATGTAACTCTTACTAAGATAAAATATTTGGGAGGTATGGTACTGTTTAGGAATTCCTTTAATTTCTGTTTCACTATTGGAACTAGGTTAGTTGCAGTAGTTTCCTTATTTCTAATAATTTTCTTATTTGCTATGTCATGATAACTTTATTACTGACAGACATACAAGATTTTCTGCCAATATGCCAATGTTGTTACACTTTCCTTCTCTTCACCTTTAAAGTATCTCATTTTTTTCTGACCGAAAGGTGTCTGCGGCCGATTATTTCAGCCGCTCACATCGCCGGGGAAGCACAGTCTCCGAGCTGGATGATGCCAGTGTCCCCGACCTGACCTGTGTGAGTGTCCTGCATGGGGTGCTGATGGCGTCTCAGCCCTGTGACTCACAGCTGTTTGGAAATAGGAGCTCACTAACTTACTGAGTAGAAAGTACTTGAACATATGGCACAAAATACATTAGCTTATTTTGGGATGCATGTATTGCTGTGTGGATTAAAAAACAACTCCTTTTCTGTTGAAATTCATCACCTGTGTAGTCCATTAGAAGCTCTTGCAATTACCAATAGTTTGCCAATTCTGTTTCATCTCTTTCTTTCCCTTCTCCCCCTCCATAATTCTATTGCTTATCTCATCTCTCTCTCACTCACTCTCTCTCTCAGTATGCACCTATAAATGAGAACTTTTTCATAAAATTGATGAACAGTGGGAGGACAGTGCTACAGTGCTACTATACTATAACTAATAAAACTCTTAGAAAATCCCCTAAAGCCATATTTAAATATTAATTATTTAAATTATATTATTTAAATAATATAATTAAATATTTATGATTGATCTTAAATTATTTTCATGTTTTGTTTTGATGAATCTATAAAGTTCTAGGCAGACTATTTTTTTGTGCGGGGGGCCAGGGAATGGTGAACACCTGGTGGTGCTGGGGGACCTTGTATGCTGGTGGTGTGATAGTGCTGCAGGTAAGGTGTTTGCCTTGCATGCAGCACAACCCAGCTTCTATCCCTAGCAACTCATGGCGTCCCAGAAGCCCATTAGGAATGATCTCGGAGTACAGAGTCATCAGTAAGCCTTGGATGTTGTCCAATGTGCCCTTTCTCTCCCTTCTGCTCCCCCAAAAGAAAAGAAAAGATTGAAACCAACCCCAAATAAAATAAAAATCCCAGGCCTCTACATAGGAAGCATGTGCTCTACCCTGTTGTGTTATCTCCCTGGCCGAAAGTTCTAGGTAGACTTTAAGGGTTGAACAGTAAACCAAGCTTTTTAGTATCGGGTTATTGGGTTATGGCAATAGGTAAGACTCTGAACAAATGTCAAACATTTGGATTATGGCATTATTTTAAAGTGTTTAATAAAAATTATTATATAGTGAAGAAATAATTATATTGAGTGTGTCTCAGTTTAAATACATGAAATCAAATAAATCTCTGAATATCCCAAATCCTAGAGAGTCATTTCAAATGTGCTCTTGCAGTATTCCATTTGTGGCTCTCAGGCCAACTGAGTAAACGGCTGGATGCCCTTGCCTTGAGTTAGCTGAAGGAATCCTGCTTCACACAGAAGTGTGAGGAACTCCCATGTCTTTCTTCCACAGTATACTTTCCCTTTAATTTGCTTAGTGACCTGTTTTTTCGTAGCTATACACAATTTTGTTTCTGTGCATGCATGTCTTTCAGCCTTGAATTTTCTTTGAATTGTAATGTCTAAATTAGTATTCATGTTCCCCTTACATTTATTTCCTGGTAATTCATATTAATGAATTACATATAAGTAATGCCAATTACTCACTACATATAAGTGAGGGCAGTATTTTTTAATATCTCCCCTTTTAATTAAATATAAATGCTCCCTCCCCATGTATTTTGATTTATTTGTGTACTTAAAAATAAAAACTGCATGTATTTAAATCAGATAGCCTTATAATGTAGTGGAAGCTGTGCCAGTCTAGAGCCAGTGATTGGCACAGCTCATCAGCTACCTGTTCTACAACCTGTGAGCCAATCGTTTTTATATCTGTAAGTCCTTACTGTAGCAGCTGATTTGCTGCTTGGCAAAATCTGAAATAATTTGAATCCTGGATTCCTCACAAGAACATAATATTCTCTCAATATTACTTTTACTAAAGGATATACTGTAATTCAGATAACTGTAACGAAAGACTTTCCAGCTACAGAGGGTTGGGGGTTAGGAGTGACACTTTCAGAGAGTTAAATTAAAATCTGTACACTTGTGTAAATAACCCTGGTTAAAAATAAATACTTTTTAAAATTTTATTTTTAAAAAGTTAACAGTAATTGATTACATTCAGTATTTCAGCACCAGTCCCACCACTATTATACCTTCCCACCACCATTATTTCAAGTTTTTCCACCACCGCCCAAGCCTACCCCAAAGGCAGATGCTACATAATTTATTTTGTATTGCTTGTTGAATAATTGACTACAAATGACCCAAAGAGGTTTCCTTAGAAGAAAGTATGTGAAAATTTAACATGCTGTTAAAGTTTAAGTATTGTGTGCACATATATATATATATATATATATACACACACATATACATATATATATACACACGTGTGTGTGTGTGTGTATATATATATTTTTTAATCAAGATTGGTTGTCTTCTACCTTACACCCATCAAATGTGATGTGCTACTCTTGGTATATCAGTGGCATCATTGTGTAAAATGATGCATGGCCACAAAAGTGGCTGTGTGCTCCTGTAATTCTGAAATTTTTTCATAGGGTGCTAGAACTGGAGTTAAATTTTTTTTTGAACTGGATGATGCTTTGGGGGTCTGGAGGCATCTCTGCAGCATGCTGCTCTCTTCCAAGATACATTTGTGATTCTGGATCATGGCTGTTAATGCACTTAAATAGTGCCCAGAGGGAGTTCAGGGGCAAGGCTGCTAGGAAACTGGAGGCGCAGGGAGATGGGTGGTGGCACCCATTCCCAACTTAGGAAGCCTGGAGATTTCAGTCACAAGTTTTGCATACCTGAATTTTTCAGCAGATTCACTTTCATGCGTGGGGGGTTTGGGTCAGCCAGGAGCATGACAGCAATTGGGTTCTGGGGTTTGTGGCTGCTGGGATTCTTTTGGGGCAAGTGGAGGGACATACCTGCCCCACTCTGAGGTGCACCAGTGGAGAAGCATCTCTGCAGCATGCTGCTGTCTTCCAAGATTAATTTGTGAATCTGGATCATGGCCATTAATGCTCTTAAATGGTGCCCAGAGATAGGAAGATAAGTACTTTTAATTAAAATAATTAGAAATTTAAAAATTATATAAAATTATTAAAATTATTTTTACATTAAAATTATTTTTAAATTTTTAAAAATTATAAAATTAAAAAAATAAAAAAATATTTATTTATTTATTGCGGGGGCCATACCTATTGATGCTTAGGGTTACCCCTGACTCTGCTCTCAGGAATTACTCCTGGGTAGTGGGATGCTGGGGATCTAACTGGGTTCATCCACATGCAAGGCAGGCACCCTACTCACTGTACTCTCTCTGGCACCTCATCTGTATGGCTTCTTTCCTGATCTGTATGCTAAAATTCAGTTTTACTCTTAGACTGTTATGAATGGAACACCCATTCATTTTTGTTTTATTTGTAAAAATCATTCTCCTCTAGTTGGAGTTTTCTGTTTTTTTTTTTTCTTCAAGTTTTTGAATAGCATTGTTAAATCAGTATATATTTTAGAGTTAATAAAGTCATTGTGTGCTAAGGCCTGGTAATTTGGTACTTGGAGGTCGTCAGGGCTAAATCCAGGGGCTGATGTGGTTCTGGGCATCAAGCTTGGAGCCTTGAGCATGCCAAGCATGTGCTCCATCCCTTTGTGCTCTCCTCAGTATTTTCTCTATTAGTTTAATTTGCCTGTTTCATAGAATTGTAACCATACAGAAGTACAGTTTTTGTTTGCTGACTTTTTAATTTTATAAACATTTTTCTTCATGCATACTCACTTTCCCTGTGTCACTTATGTGTACGTTTTTTAAAAAGTGAACTGTTGCCATGGTGTTTGAAATTGGATCCTCAAACTCATCTTACTACTGAAAGCTTGTATAATGTCCTTTCCTGGTTTTATATCGTAATATATTAAAAAGAATTACATGTTTTTAAATATGTATACATATGTAAATAATTTAGAGAGAAATTACATTTACTTATGTGATTTTTTGCCACACCCAGCCATGCCCAGGACTTACTTCTGGTTCTCTGCTCAGGGATCACTCCTTACAGTGTTGGGGGGGGGGCATATATGGAGCCAGAGATCAAACCTGGGTTGGTCACATGCAAGGCAAATGCCTTGCCTGGCTTTCCTCTCTGTCTCCAAATTACATATTATTACGTTTGCAAGTCCTTTAGAATCTGGCAGACCCTTTGGGTTATCTTTATGAAAATCAGCTTGCAGCTCAGCTCTGTGGTATATTCTTGTCTCTCAGAGCATGGGCTTTTTCCAATACCAGATTACACCTATTTGTCTCAGTGTAAGCCAGCACATAATGTAGCACAGTTCTGAGAAGTGAGATGTAAAGATTCTGGCTTTTTGGGTCACACCCGGTGATGCTCAGGGTTGACTCTCTGGAATCACTCATGGCAGTGCTCAGGAGACCATATGGGATGCTGGGAATTGAACCTGGGTCAGCCGCATGCAAGGCAAACACCCTAACGCTGTACTATCGCTCCAGCCCTGAGATGTAAGGATTCTGGCCAGGTCACTGTATCCAAAATAACTGAACTGCGGCAATGCTGCTGTAGGCATTTTTTGCTGCCTTAACATTCTCTGGGGTTTGGCGCATGATCAGTTTGGAATGCGACATTTGGGATCCTTCACAACATAGTGAGAGCTATAGACTCACCTTGGCAGTGGACTAGTTCAGTGAAGCAGCTGCTGAAATGTAAGATTTTTCCACCTTGACTATTAAAAAATGGGTGGGCTTGGGGGGCATTTTTGTGAAAGGGAATAATGAGACAGGATTTCAAAGAGATCTTGGAGTGTTTAAGAATGCAGCTTGATTTTCTCTAACTTATTTGCAGAGAAGTGTTAAAAGATGCTCCAGCAAGTTAGGAAAGAGTCATTGGGTACAGTATTCCTTTCAGTGTGAATGATGATACATTGCATATTAGGAAGTGTATTTTACTAATATACATGCAGCACAAGACTGTACATTGTCGCATTAATGCCAGTGTTAGTAATTATTGCCATTGTTTGTTTTAAAATAATCTGAAAGTGGTTTTAAAAAATCAGTTGAACTAAAATAAATTTTTTGAGAGTAAGAAGTATTTATTCTATATCTTACTGATGTATTATTATAATAAAAGGTGTTTACTAACAAAATAAACATAAACAGAAAAACTTTCAAATATGAATAAGAGTGAAGAGAAATGAGTGGAGCCAGAAATATATTGTGCTTTAATAATTAACTGAGGAAGGTTTTTAAATCTCTTCTCTAGATTGATCTGGGAAGAATGGTTTACAAATTGGTTTCTGAGTATGTTTTTATTTAATTATGCCCTTGTATGACTTTTCCTCCTCCCCACATTGGTAATCGATACATTGAAACATGGGTACATAATCGGAACAAGGGATTAATATTCACAAAACTGATACTTAGTTCCAGCTTTGACATTTAATAGTAATTTATACTCTGGCAAAATCACTTCCTTAATTTCTCTTTCCTCAACTCTTAAGCAGAGTTTCACATTATACCTTTAAAGGTACCTTTCATCTTAAAATATTATTATTATTGTTATATTATTATTTGTTAATTTTTTTTTCATTGCATCTGGTGATGCTCAGGGATAACTCCTGACTCTGCACTCAGGAATTATTCCTGACAGTGCTCAGGGATTCTGGGAATCGAACCCAGGTGAGGCATGTTCAATGCAAGTGTCTTACCCATTGTACTGTCTCTTCAGCCCCTGATATAGTATTTGAAATAATTGTAGAGCCTATCAGCAGAAGTAAGTTAAGGTATGTCCAGATAATAGAATATTAAACTGTTGTTAAAATAAGTGAGGTAAGTCTAGAATACAGTTGGGGTATGAGTCATTTAGTAAATTTGGTCTTTTGATTTATCAGGTGTTAGTATTATGAAAACATAGTGAAAAAACATAATTTAAAGAAAGATTTTACAAGAAATAATTTAGTAAATATTGTGTGAAGTTGGAGAATGATAAATACCATGATGCAAAAATAAAGTTAATTTCCAAAACTTGGTAAGGTGGAAATAAAGATACAGAATGTGTTTGGACTGCTGCTATAGGGTTGACTTGTTCTTGAGAATAGGAAGCGAAGTATGTGTACACCCTTTGTACTGTTTGATTTTTTTTTTTGTCATCACATGCTCATGTATTGCTTTTATTTTTAATTTTTTAATTTTTGTAAGCTGGGAGGGAAATGTATAGACATACCTTCTACCCAGTCATCTTTTCCAGACCTTCTCTTAATGTGCCAGAGTCTAATTACCAGAAATATTGCTTATTTTTTAATTTTTTTTTTTTTAAAAAGCAAGGAGCTGAATTGTGCTACTGCAGAGCAAGTTTTGTGCTATTACATTTGTGTATTTTTGTCCAGTCGAACTCTTCTGGTTAAGTGTACTAGTCTTAACTCTGTGTCCCACATCCTAATAACTTTTGGCTTTTGGTTTCGTAAGACTTTCTTGTTGATGTGGGGGGGGGGAGGGTCGGTGGGGGGGCATTGTTGTTGTTATTATTTGCAATACTAAATTCTAAGTTCACGCATAGGTATTTTTTGTAATGTGTTTTAAAGAACCATGAAAAGAAAATCTATCTAAAAATTCTAAACCGTAAGTGAGGGCAGCTTATTCATGTCTTCCTTAGAATAAGAACGAAACTTAATGATATCTGCCCTATGTCTCGACTTTTATTTCCATTTCAGTATGTTTATTTTCAGGTTTCAGATGTCAGTTGAACTCAGAAAACTTAAATGATTTCACTTTGTTCTCTTAAAAAAAAAAATCAGTACCCTAAGCATTTTTCCTAATTTTTATCTTTTTTTTTCTAGTTGGATGAAAAATCTGATAAACAGTATGCCGAAAATTATACAAGGGTGAGTACATAAGTTTCTAAAGGAGTCAAGTTATCAAGCTCAACTAAACTTAAATGCCACTGCTGTTTTCATCCTTTATTTCACTACCAGTGAACTGATAGAACTACTCATTCATTCTTCATCTATTTCCTGTCTTGGATCCCCTAAATTCCTTTGAGCCTGAATCATGTGAAACACTGGAAGGGAGAAGACACTGCATTATATTTTGTTAAATGTCACCTCTTTTGCTTTTGGCTGCTCATTTGAGTTTCATCTCTCTAGAATTTGATTCTAAGAGGTCATTAAACACTTAAAATGGAACTGTCTTTATGATTGGGGGTGGCATAACTGAAGGGGATTTTTTTCCTGTATAGGTAAATCATTTTTTGGACTAAGGTAATACCTTTCTAGATGTTACCCTGTATTAAAAGTCTTTGACTTTCTTCTAGAAGTATTTTCTGAAATTCATCTTAGGGAAATGACTTACCAAGATTAGTTTTATGCTATCCCAAATGAGAGAGACCAGATCTTTCTAGTAGAAGTGAAGCAGAAGCCTAATATGATAAATTAGGAGTTTGAATGTTCTAGTAGCCACATTAACAAAGTAAATAGAATTAATTTAATTAACATTTTATTTAGCCAAAATATTTCAGCTTGGGCTGGAACAATAGCACAGCGGTAAGGTGTTTGCCTTACAAGCAGCCAACATGGCTGACCCGAGTTCGATTCCTCCGTCCCTCTCGGAGAGCCCGGCAAGCTACCGAGAGTATCTCGCCCACACGGCAGAGCCTGGCAAGCTACCCGTGATGTATTCGATATGCCAAACACAGTAACAAGTTTCATGATGGAGACATTACTGGGCCCGCTCGAGCAATTTCAGCTTAATTGAAAGGAAGAATTATTAACATGATATTAAGACTCGTAAGTTGGGACCAGGAGGTAGCTCTAAGGACTGGAGTGCATGTCTAGCATGCACATGATCCCAGTGTCTCAGACTTCCTGAGCATGGAAGGAGAGGTATCACCCTGGGGGTCCCCACCTAGTACCTCCGCAGATCCTCATTCCAAAAAATGAAAACAAAGAAACAAAAAACTATACTGGGGATGTGGTTCAGCAGGAGACTTCATGCCTCACTCATGTGTTTCAGGTATTATACTGAGGTATTATACTCAGGTATAATCCCCAGGTGGGAGGCAGGGATAGAAGGGAAGAGAGAGAAAGTAAGAGTGTGTTTGTGTTTGTGTGGTTGGAGGCAGGGATAGAAGGGAAGAGAGAGAAAGTAAGAGAGAGAGAGAGAGAGAGTGTGTGTGTGTGTGTGTGTATACATACGTATATATCTTAATTGTTTTTGGAGGGCCTCACCCAACAATGCTCAGAAATACTCCTGACTCTGAACTCTAGTATTACTCCTTGCAGTGCTTTGGAGAAGCATATGGGAATATGAGATGCTGGGGATCGAACCTGAGGCAGCCAAAAGCAATCATCTTGCACACTGTACTATCGCTCCTGATCCTGTATATCTTAATTTGAGCTAACCATATTTTAACAATAGCTTCATCTCACATTTAAACTGATTGTGGGAAGATCAGTCTAATAAATTTATTCTTTTATAAAATGTTAATCTGGAACTGCAAATATTATCTCCCACTTCTTTACAAATTATTCGAAAAGATAACAATTCTAAAGAAAAGTGGCAGATGCCAAAGGGTGCTGCGGGGGTGTACTGATTAGCATACCAGTCATGAAGTTCTACAGTGTTTTAAATCTTATGGCCTCATCTCAGTGTTCACAGTACAGCAAAGATAAAACAACTTGGGCTGGAGAGAGAGTACAATGGGTAAAGCGCTTGCCGTGACGCAGCCAACCTGGGTTTGGTCCCTGGCAATCACATATGCCCAAGTCTCACCAGTCGTGACCCCTGAGCACAGTTAGGAGAAGCCTTGAGCACAGTCAGCTGTAGCCCCCAAAACCAACAACAACAAAAAAATGAAGCACCTCCCACATTTTCTTTCCTTCTAATTATTGTGACCCTGATTCCCGTGAAGTATTATTAGAGTGAAAGAAGTTATGATTTCTCAGCCTGAGCCCTTCTCTGAGCCAAGTCTGAATTGCCCATTGATTGTGTTTGGTGACTTTCTTCCCCTCTGTACTAGATCTTTCTTTCCCCTGCCCCAGTTTTAGTTTCTACAGCATACCTGATTTCAGAGAAACAAGACTTAAAGTGTGATTTTTCTCTCCCTGACTCCCTCCCGCCTCCTTACTAGCCCTCATCTCGAAATTCTGCCTCAGCAACGACCCCTCTAAGTGGAAACTCATCCAGACGGGGAAGTGGGGACACCAGCAGTTTAATAGATCCAGATACTTCATTAAGTGAATTGCGGGTAAGCCACAGATTTTGGTTTGCTCTTTTTAATATTTTGTCTTTGTGGTTTTCTATTTTGGTGCTTAACATTTAATGTGATTTAACAAGACAAGTAGTAATATGAGTTCTTTAAAAAAAAAACAAGCACACATTTAATCTGGTTCAAGAATTTGACTCAGAAATTTCAGAGCCTGCAAGAAAGGAGATTATTTAATTATTCTTTGTTTTCTTTCCTGAAAATTTGATGACAGTGGAATGAATTCTGATAATTCACAAATGCCAAAAATACTTCTTAATCTACGTAAAAATAATTCGGAAATATTTGGCATATATTTTAAGTGGAAAATATATGGATGTATGAGAAACAAGACTCTGGGAATTATTACTAGCTATTAGCAGTATTACTTTACTGTGAGAATATAATTATCACTTACTTTTTCATGATAATAAAAGTGTTGGAGTATTTTAAATAAATAACAAGAAGCACACATTTAATCTTTAGTTCAGTCTTGGGTCTTTATTAACATTTTTTCAAAACATATTTGAGTTTTTATAGTCCTGGGTGTTTGTATGGTGTGGGGAAAGGCCAGTGCTAAAACTACATCCATGCATCCATTCATTCAGCATGGACTGAGCTGTGGCTTAGGAGATTTAGGCAGTAAAATAGATGTGGGTTTCATTGTTCACTTTTTCTTAGGGCAGAAAAACATACAGATCAGTAAAACGAGGTGGTGTTGGTTTTTCTATGATGGTAGCAAGAGCAGGCCTGTGGCAGGAGTTGAGAAGACTGCATCATCAAAACCAAAGGCATTTTAGAGGAGAATTAAACTAAGGTTTAATTAGAATTAATCAGAAAATTAAAAGGGAAGACTTCTTTCATTTGTTTTTGGTTTGGAGGGCTACACCTGGCCGTGTTCAGGGGTATTCCTGGGCCTGTGCTTGGGGGTCACCCTTGGCATTATAAAGTGCCAAGCTTCCTGCCCCCAAATGGGAGACATTTTCAGAGAGAAATCGGGAGAAGTAGGTCATCTGTGCAGCAGTCTGCTGGAGAGGAGGATGGATGAGTAGTGACAGGTAAGAGAATGCTGGAAAGGGAGAAACTGAACAAACCACAGGCGTCAGGTGTGCCTCCAGGCATTGGCACCTACAGAACCCAACAACTGGGAGAGTGATACTAGCTGATTGAAAAAAAATTGTATTTAGGTGAATGCTTGATTGATTGGAATGCCTCCTTGCTAGTGCTGAGGAGCCTGGAAGCTTCTCTTAGCAGTGCTCAGCTGGGTGGCATGGGCCTGTCTATGCAGTGCTTGGACTGGTAGTTGTTGCTCGGGGTGCCATGGATTCAAGGGCTTGAGCGCTGAGGCCTTTGTTCACATTAGGCATGTGCTTACCCCTTGTTTCCCTCACTCTGATTTTCTTCTAAAGGAGGGGTTGATGATCACTCTCAGTGAATGGATTGAACCTGAGAGTGAATTTGTAAACTGAGAGAGCTAGCCAAGTGCCTGAGTGCATGGGAGGAATGTTCCGGGCGTGGATGAATGGGTTTGCTTAATTCAGAGACTTCCTCCTACTAACATAGTAGCTGGAGAGGTTAAGGGCAGGTGGCAGCTGAGTAAACTTAGGGTCAGGGCAGTAGTAGAAGTGTGACTTGTGACACTGGTAGTTTGGAACGCGGGCTGGCATGGAGAGAGGGAGGAGGCCTGGAGTGTTGGTGGAGTTGGACGTGGATGGAGGCAGTAGAGAACTGATCCAGGCAGCAGTGTTTGTTAAGCTCTTTAGACCGAAGTGCTGAGGGTGTGAAGTTGAGTTAGATAAACGCTTGCCTTTAGGTGCTATGTTCTAAGTGGGCATAAGGAGATGCCCTTTCCATTTAATATTTGTATGCTGGTTCCTAATAGCCTTTGATAAATGTCTGCTGAATGAATCAATGAAAGACAGACTGACCTACCAGATCAGGGTGAACAGGTCAGGAAAGGATAATAGAAATGATGTATATAATCCATCTTTGACAATTGATTTCATATGCAATTGCAGAATTGCATTTAGGGTCCTGGTGGTTACTTCCCACCTAAATCAAGCATCTAGACTAAAATCTTAAAGACCAGGAAGAGGTACAGAGCAAACATTTATTTTCCATTTAAAATTTGACATTTTATTTTTCTTAAAAGGATTATGATCATACTGTTTAAATGATGAGAATAGCAAAAAAACAAGTATCATTTGCTATTCTCATCAATGAATAGTAAATAGCATTTGCTGTTCTCATCATTTAAATGGTGTCCTCAGGCTAGATCATCTCATCTGATACTGTGTTTGAAATGTTCACATTTAATTTCCCTTCCTTGACTTTCTTCCTCTTCCAATTCAGGTTAGTAATGTCACTGAAAGACAACTCTGTTATATGCATTTGTAACATGAGAAAAAAATATTGCTCATAAATTAAAGTTTGTTGTTTATAGTGACTGCATATTCTAAATAATTATGTTAAAATTATTGGAGTGATTTATAAAATTTTTTAAAATGTGTTTAAAGTTGTTATAATTTAGTCCTTGGGATGTGACTCAGTGGTAAATTTGCATGCCTTCCATGTATGAGGCTCTGGGTTCAATACCTGTACCCAAAAAAAAAAAGGTTGCAGCTTATATAGATATTTTTATATCCAGCAGGATACCATTTGATAAGTAATGTTTTTACAGGAGCTGATACCAAATAATGTAACTCTTTAGATGGACTCCAGACTTTTTCCAGCTCCGCTGTCTTACTAAGTTGTTTGCCCCCTTCAGTGTTTTGGAAAGAGTTCTATTTGTAAACTTTTATTTCTCCTTTCGGTTTGGATTATTGAAAAAAATTTGCATTTCACCTTATCCTTTGACACTTATGATGTTTCTACATGGTTTTATTCAATGGTTCATTCCTATGTCCTGCAGGATATCTATGAACTTAAGGACCAGATACAGGATGTAGAAGGGAGATACATGCAGGGACTGAAAGAACTGAAGGTATCAGGGCTTACTCTGCAGCCCACGCATGCTCTCTGTCTGCAGGCGTGTGGGTCACGTGGTTTCACTGCACATAGCTCTACTAACAGCATCTGTCTTCAAGCATGTACTTAACCTGGCATTCATCTGTTGCAAAGGAAAGGCAATTGTTGGTCTTTGCTTGTGTTTGCAAGTTTAGTTGTGGGAGCATTGAACAAAATATATACCTTACATCTTCTGTTTTTGTTTATGATTATTTTGGTGGTATCTATAACCAGTGCTGCTCGGGGCTTACTCCTGGCTCTGTGCTCAGGTGTAACTCTTGGCAGTACTCAGGGGACTGTATGCTGATGGAGATTGGACTGCTAGTTGTGTGCAAGGCTAGCATCTTAACCCCTGTACATCTGTCTGGTCCACTGTCCACTGTCTACTGTCCTCCCGTTGTTCATCGATTTGCTCCAGCAGGCCCAGTAACATCTCCATTGGAGACTTTTGTTGTTACTGTGTTTGGCATATCGAATACATCATGTCACACCTTCCAATTTTTAAACCAAGTATATTACCTGCATTTCTTTCGTATTTTAACTATAAAGTGGTGAACTGAGCAAACAGCTAAAAAATATTCTAAGGAATTTTTATTTTCAGGTTTTGACTTTTGGAAGGATCTTGATTCAAGGAAAGAAAATCAGCACATTCAATAAGTATACTACTACAGTTTCCTGTGCAACATAGATACAGACATAAGTCAAGTGGTTCAGGAGCCTTCCTAGTTGCTTTATGTTTTAATGAAAGCATTTTTTAAAAAAAATATTTTGTTACCATTTATTGTATCCTTTGAAGGATAGGAAAGAACAGATGAAGTTTAAGACTTTGAACAAATAACATCATTTTTTTGTTTGTTCATTTTTTGGACCATACTCAGCTGTATCAGGACATACTCCTGGCTCTGAAGTCAGGAATCACTCCTGGCAGACTTAAGAACTGAATGGGGTGTCAGGGATCCAACCTGGGTTGGCCACATGGAGGGCAAATGCCCTGTCTGCTGTACTGTTGTTCTGCCCCTTCACTTTTCTTAATAAATTTTATTGGGAAATGAAGTGTACAAAAGGTTCGTTCTCAGGAGAGAGCTTGGGCTTCTCCCTGAGTATAGAGAAACAAGTACATGTCCCAGTGGAGCTACAGTAAATTCCCAAGATGGAGAATGCATGCTGCAAAGAAAATACATGTCTCAGGCAGAGCCTCAGGTCACTTCCCCCAGCTTAAGGAAATGTTTCATAAAGTCGGAAAGCACTCATCTCAGACAGGACCGCGGGCCTCTTCCCCAGCATGGGGAAAAGTGCCAATAGCACTTTTCTTAATTTGTGGTTAGTATATACTTGAATTTGACTTCAGATTACATCTTTGAAGTAATTCTTTTGAGTGGAAGAAAAGGTCATTAAGAAATGATCTGATGAGTCATGCTGTGTGCTGTATCTATAGTCTGTTTTAAAAGGATGCTGATTATTGCTCAAGAAAATTTTCTCAGGCTAGCAAGGTCACTTAGAGGGCGGGATTGCATATTCTGCTTGCTGGCGCCCCAGTTTCAGTCTGTGTCGCCTCACAGTCCCCCCAAATACTGCTGGAAACTCTTGAACACTGAATCAGGAGTATTTCCCCAAGCATCACCAGGTGTGGCTCCAAAACAGTAGCATGAATAAAAAAGCTTTTTCTCAATTTTGTCTATATTTGGGGTGCTCTCCCTACTCTCGCCATAAAAGATTGTTGGACCCTACTGCCAGGTTCTCTGCTTCAGCGATTCTGAGGTGGGGCTGCAATACCCCATTTTGTCCAGTCTAGGCAGTGCCATCAATATCAGCACTTTGAAAATCATAGTCTTAGAATCATAAAACTGATTCCCTGGAGGTATCACTGTGTAGGATGTTAAAATATTAAAATACTTTTCAATGACCATGATACTTTGTGATTGAAAATATCTTACATTCAAATGTTTGAGCAAATAGGCTTTTTTTTTTTTTTTGCTTTCGGGTTTTTTTTTTTTTTTTTTTTTAAGTTTTTGGTTTTGGAGCTCCAGGCTTACTCCTGGCTTTGTTCAGGGTTCAATCCTGACTGTGCTCAGGGAACCATATGTATACCAGGTATTAAACCCAGGTCAGCCTGCATGCTGTCTTCTCTCTCCGGTCCCACTATGCCATATTTGATGTAGGTCTGAGTTATACGGAGAAGTTATTTAGTGCTGCTTTTCTGTACGATGGATCAGAATTATTATGAATGTTGCCTTCCATTAAGATATTTACTACATTTACACCTTTCATGTAAATGAGATTGCTTTATTTTTATTTTATTAATTTAATTAATTTTTAATGTATTTACTTTATAAATTATTGATTTGTTTTTAATTATTTAATTCTTCATTTGTGTTCTCAGTGCTAGTGTGTTTCCTATTAACTCACTTTTGGTTTGTGAAGCATTATTATGTCTATGTAGTGACATATAAATGACATATTACAAATTTATCCACTTAAAGGGTACAATTCAGTGGTTTTCAGCATGGTCACAGAATTGTATAGCTATCATCACAATCTGGCTTTGGAATGTTTTTTTTTATCCCCAAAAGGGCATCCCATACTGAATCATAATCAGTCTTTCCACACCCAGCCTTGAGTTACCACTAATCTGTTTTCAGTCTCTATAAATTTGCCTTTTTTGGACATTCATTTATATAAATAGAATCATACAATTGTCTATTGTGATTGACTTTTTTAATTAGCACAGTGTTTTCAAGACTTATTCAGATTGCAACATGTATTTGTGTGTATATGTATACAATTTTTAAATGACAAGGTAGTGCTCAAATACATGGATTTACCAGATTTTATTTTATCTTTTTACAAACCCTTTGATTGCTTCCAGTTTTTGACTTTTATCCTAATGCTGCTGTGGATATTTATATACATGTTTCTGTGTAGCATCCTCTCATTTCTCTTGGGTGGATACCCAGAAACAGAATTTCTGGGGTCTATAGTAGTTTTGAGGGGCTGACTGTATCTTTTGCAAAATAACTGTACCATGCCGCATTCATGCCAGCCATATATAAAGCTCCTAGTTTCCCCAGAACTTGTTATCTCACCATGATTTTGATGCTCATAATTTTTATGCTCATAATTTTTCACAAGTTATGTTTTTGTTGACTCTGTGTATATCTCTTCGGAAAAATTCTATTGAAACTCTTGCTTGTTTTAAAATTGAATTATATACCTTCTTTAAAAATCTCTTACCCCCCCCCATCCCGTTGTTTATCGATTTGCTCGAGCGGGCCCAGTAACATCTCCATCATGAGACTTGTTACTGTGTTTGGTTGGCACATCGAATACATCATGGGTAGCTTGCCAGGCTCTGCCGTGCGGGCGAGATACTCTCCTTGCTGGGCTCTCCAAGAGGGGTGGAGGAATCGAACTCGGGTTGGCCATGTTGGCCGCTTGTAAGGCGAACGCCCTACCGTTGTGCTATAGCTCCAGCCCTCCCCATCATATATCCTTTGTTTATTTGTTTCTACTTTGGGGGCCACTTACCTTTTTTTTTCCTTAACTCTGGTCTCAGGAATCATTTTTTTTTAAACTGTTACAAAAGTTTTCTCTATATTCAGATACAAGTCCCTTAGGAGACATGAGATTTAAAAATATTTTCTCCCATTTTATGGGATCTTTTACCATTATTTCTGTGTGGGGAAGTGGGGTTTGGACCACAGCCAGTGGTACTCAGGGGCTATTCCTGACTGTGATAAGGAGTGACCTCTTGTGGTGCTACGGATTTATTCACCAGTCCTGTTTTTACATCTTTGATGGTGTTATTTGTGAGTTTCCAGTTTAAAAAAATTGTTTGGGGGTCACTCCTGGCTTTGCTCAGAGCCTACTCTTGGCTCTACACTCAGGGATCACTCCTGGTAGGGTTCAAATGACCATATGTGGTTCTGGAAATTGACACTGGGTCAACTGTGTGCAAGACCAGTGTTTTACTCACTGTACTGTCTCTGCTTCCTAAAAGTTTTTGAATTTGATGGTCTGTTCTTTCATTGATAGCATAGTATCTTACCAGAATCAAAACAAAAACATTTCCTATGTCTACAAAATTTCCTTCTGCATTTTCATTGAAGAATTTTATAGTTTAACTTTTTTCTCTTTTTTAAAAAATAATTTTGGCTCTTACACTTAGATCTTATGACCCATATTGAGACAGGTTTTCTTTGTTTTTGGATTTTTTTTTAAAATATGGTGAGAAATACAAGTTCAGCTTCATTCCTTTGCATTGCCAGCTGTCCCATACCATGTTTGAAAAATTATTCTTCCTCCATTGAGTTGTCCTGGCACCACTGTCACAAATCAATTGATTGGAAAGAAGAGTTAAAGGACTGGAGTGCATGCTTTGTCTGCCAAAGCTCCAGGCTCAATCCTCAGAAACCAAAAATGTACTGAGCACCACTGGGAATGGTTTCTGAGCACCCCAGCACATGCTCTCCTTCACTCCCCTTCACAGTTGATCGTGGATAATTTAAGGGTTCTGGATTCTTAGTTTTATTCATTGATCTTGTTTCTCAAACATTTGTATTTATATCTTTAACATTTACAGAAGTGATTGCTAATAAATTTTTCTTTTTTGGCTTAAAAAAGTCAGTAGGTAGTAGAAATATACCAAATTTAGTATAGTTACTATTTTAGGCAGAAACTTTGAAGCATATAACATTTCAGGCATTTGTCTTAAAGCAATTATTATGTTACCTGTTGTAAAATGGCAAAAATTCAAATAATTACTAGGAAAAGACATCCATTTTTAATTTTTTGCATCACAATAAAGTACTGAAAACAGGCATGCAAGGAGTGGGACAGTTCAAGTGGATGTGAAATTTTCTCGTAGAAAGACTGTGCTCTATTATTATGAAAAAGCTTGTTAAAAAACAAGAGTAACAAAAAAAAAAAACAAGAGTAACTTTTGTCTAGACCCACTTTTGGTGGTCCTCAGGGCCTATCCCTGACTCTCTCTTAAGGGTCACTCCTGGTGGTTCTCCAAAGGCCTTATGTGGCGCTGGGGATCAAACCTGTGCCAGCTGCATGCAAGACACATGTCTTACCCACTGTATTACTACCCTGACCTAAGAGTAACATTTAAAAAAAAAAAGCATGATTCTTTAAGTCTCTTGCAAATAGAGTTGCCTGTGTACTTTGTCCTCTTACAGCAGCTGTGTTGCATTGCTGCTTACTTTTGTTTCCTTGGATAATAGTGACCTTAAAGATTTTATAATGGCGTTGGCTTATTTGTCCTGCGGGGTTTTTTTGTTTATTTTTTGAGGGGGTGCATGTTACTAAGCAAAGATTTCCTCAAGCTGCTTCTATTTTGCAAAAATGCTTCTTTGTGTTTTTCTGTGCCAGTGTTATAATTTCCTACCAGGATACATATATGCAATGAACATATTTTAGCGATCAGTCTGATGAATTTGATTTTCATTTAGGAGTCTTTATTTGAAGTTGAAGAAAAGTACAAGAAAGCCATGGTTTCCAATGCACAGTTAGACAACGAGAAGAACAATTTGATCTACCAGGTAGATACCCTCAAGGATGTGATTGAAGAGCAGGAGGAGCAGATGGCAGAATATTATAGAGAAAATGAAGAAAAATCAAAGGTAATTGCTTATCTTATATCATGTCTTTTTCTTTCATCAGAAAATAAATAGCGTTGGGTTGATGGATTGTAGCATACCAGGAGTGAGGTCTCAGTTAAATCTAGATGGTCCAAAGATTTGCCAGAATATCAGTATTTTCCCTTGTAATTAAAATTTTTATTTGCATAAGGAAATATTTCTGCTCTCCTAGATTCTGAAAATAGAACACAACTTTTATCTTTATCTTCTGCTGCTTAGTTGGGACAGTTACAGTGAGTTATTTCTTCCTGTTAAAACTGGTTGAAATTCCAAAGAGCTCCAGAGACTTTAGTGACACATTTCTCTTCCTTCCTGTCAACTTTTAAGTGGTTCAAGAGAACCCAGTTTCTAAATAACTGGAGAGAAATCTTTACCACTCATTTAAACACAGCAGTTTGGAGATAGGGACTAGAAAATGACATTTACTCTATGTGTGAGTGTGCACACACACGTATGAGATGTGCTTGTGCATGGGTGAGATGAAAGGAGAGAAGTTGTAATAGACACCTCAGATGTACAGAAGAAGTTTCTGTGAGCAATGTTCTACTAAGTGAAGAAATGGATGCAATTTTAGAATTCTACACAATCCTGAATCTTGATCAGGAGGAGGTAGAAATCCCAAACAGACAAAACATAAGGAAATGTATTTAGTGATTAAAAATCTTCCAAGAAAAGCCTTAGTCCAGGTGGTTTCATTTGTGAGTTCTATGAAACCTTCAAAGAAGACTCAATCAATACTTACGCTCCCGTCTTTTCTAAAATATCAAAGAAATGGGAATCCTACCCATTTACTTTGGGGTAGTGGTGCACAGTGTGGTTGGGTCACACCTGATAGTGGACAAGGTATATTCCTGGCAGGGTTGGACCATATGTGGGGCCAGAGACCTCACTCGCGTCAGCTGCATGTAAAATAAGTGCTTTACTCACTGTATTATTTATCTGGCCCCAACAGTTTTCTCAAAACAATAATACCCTGACACCAAAAGGAGATCAGATATATTACTAAAAACTAAGAAATTTTCAGCTTGGTGTAATTTTTGATCAGAGTATTTTTATTATATCAGAAAGAAACTGTCCTTCTCTCTTCTAATCTATTTTCTGTCTGTATGGAGTTTCTTACTTAAGATTTTCATTCAATAGAGTTATTAATGTGTGATTTTTAATTTTTTTGTTTGTTTGGTGATGAGTGTCTTTGACTTGGCTTAGTAAATTGTGGGCATACCAGTAGTACTTCATTCCTCTTTTTTCCCCCTTTTCTGGTGTTGGGGCCACACGTGGCAGTGTTCAGGCTTACTTCTTACTCCGCACTCAGGATCACTCATGGTGGTGCTTGGGGAGGGCCATGTAGAATGTCGGAGAACAAACCCAGGTTAGAGCCCTACCCACTGTGCTATCTCTCCAGCCCCCTGCGAGTATTTTTACTGTGTCCTCATATAGCTGTTAGAAACATCTTGAAAGTTTATGTGTATATGTTGTATTTTTTGTTTCACTTTTTAGTATTGTGTTTAGTATAAAAGGTAAGGTAAAGGCCCTCCCGTTGATCGTCGATTTGCTCGAGCGGGCCCAGTAACGTCTCCATTGGAGACTTTGTTGTTACTGTGTCTGGCATATCGAATACTCTCGGTAGCTTGCCGGGCTCTCCGAGAGGGGCGGAGGAATCGAACTCGGGTCAGCCATGTTGGTCGCTTGTAAGGCGAACGCCCTACCACTGTGCTATCGCTCCAGTGTTTAGTATATCTTCTTTATATTTATATTTATATTTATGAAGATTATATTACAAAATTTTATATCAGTTTTATTATTTATTGGCAGGGAGGGGGGCTTCCTGGTACTGCTTGGAGACCTGAGGACCACTCCTAGTGAAACGACCTGGTACAGTGTGACTAGTGGCATCTAAGCTCAGCCCAGTTGCTGCTGGGGGCCACCAGAGTCATACCCAGTGGTACTAGATGAGGGCATAAGGTGCCAGGTATTAAACTCAGGGCCTCTACCATACAAGGCATACACTGTTTTTACTTTATCAAGACTTCTTACTGTAGTTTCATCATAGAGTAATAAATATAAAATGCTGTGAGATAAAAATTTAAAAACTTCTGAACCTTTCCATAGGAAACAAATTTTTTAAGTTACTATTCACTGGCAGTCCAGGTACAAGTTACTATTCACAGGCAGTCTGGGATTCATACTCTGCATCTGTGTTTTTGTATTTTCAGCATTCACATTTGTCTTATGACATTATTTGTTAACTAATTTTAACAATTTGTTCAATGACAGGAATTAGAAAGGCAGAAACATATGTGTAGTGTGCTTCAGCACAAGATGGATGAACTTAAAGAAGGTCTTCGACAAAGAGATGAGCTCATTGAGGTATGTAGACAAATTGGAAATCATTTTGGAAAACAAATTGCTTGAGTTGGATGAAGGTGTGTTAGGAAGGAAAAGGCATTAAAGTGCCACAAAAAGTTGTCTTATATTTCCACAATTGACTTACAGTTGTGAAGCAGAGATCACAAAATTCATACAGTGAACCCTTTGCGTATCCCTCCTTTTAATAGCAGAAGCTTTTGTATCTTTGGCTCACAGTCGTGTCCTTTTCTAAAGAGATTTTAGAAAATGGGCAAAAGGAGCCAGAGAGATAGTACAGCAGGTAGGGTGTTTGCCTTGCATGAGGCCGACCTGAGTTTGATCCCTGTCATCCCTTATGGTCCTCCAAGTAACTCCAGGAGTAATTCTTGAGTGCAGAGCCAGGAGTGACCCCGGAGAATTGCCAGGTGTGACCCAAAAGCCAAAGGGGGAAAAAAAGAGAAAAAGAAAGAAAATGGGCAAAAGGCAAAGCTACAGGGTAATGTTGTTCCTTGGAATACATTGTATGCTGTCTTTTGAGACATGATTCTTGGTGGGTAAAGACATGTGCTCTTCACTCAGATTGATTTCTGAGGTGGCTAAATAGGAACCTAAGATACACCAACGCAAAGGCTGGCACGTGTGCCTGCTGAGCTACCTGCCTGCTGATGCAGGAGTTGCCAGACTGTTGGAACATCTGCGGATGGGGTGCTGTGTAGTTCACCACAGATGCTTCAAAAGAGTTTAGCATCCTTTTGCACCCATTGCCTCATGTTTTTTCTGCTTAACTTTTTTAAAATTTTATTTCTGTTTAACTTTTCTTTTTTAAATGTGATTTCTCCTCTTGAGGTTATCTTTTTCTTAAAAAAAATGTGGGGAGTTAAATTGGAGGGTGAGATGGCAAGGATCCTGCCCACTCTTGTGTGGTTATCAAGAGTGTCTAAATGACACCTTAATATTAATGGCATTTGAGTGATCGTGGGAAGGCTAGGTCTTTCTGATCCCCGAGATGCCTCACTGACCACCCATACTCATCCACACCCCAGGTTGCTCAGACTTCTTTCTTTATCCCTCCATCTTTTTTTTTTCCCCTATGTCCTGACTCACTTAAATGAGTCTCTAATGGTTTAAATAGAGAATAAGGATTTATTGCTTTTCTTTGTGAATTTGTATTACTTTGCATCACTTTTAAGACTGAATAGAACATAGTCTTCTGAATATATTCAGGTTTTGTGAATTCTAAATGCAGATACAGATACCTTTTCAAATGTATTAGATTGCATATAACGCTAATGGTCTTAGTTTTATTTATATACAGCAAGAAGGTTACTATCCAAGCTTTCATATCCTGCTGATGTTTTAAGAATAATATGGATTCCTCTTTTTGTTCTTCTGTGTTTCATGTGTGAATATGCCACTTTTTTCCCTAATTAAAATATATATATTTTCCCCATTTAATGTTTTCAGAAGAAGAATTTTTTTTCAGTGTTGCTTTTAAAAATCAATAGCTGAAGTTGACCAAATGTTCCCATTTTTTCCATAATTGCATTTCAGGAAAATCATGCTAAGCTGCAGTAATTTGTGTAGCAGTTTCTTTAAAAGCCCATGATGCTGAATTATATAAACTCAAAATCTTATCCTTTTTTATGTTTAGAATTAATATTTGTTAGATGTTACTATCTAATTTTAATAACTAATGAACTTTGAAAATAATAAAATAATGCTTTTTGATGTTTAAAATTTATGATCACATGATAAAGTAGTTGATAGTTGATAATCAGAAAAGTAGGTGACATTTTATCAATAAGGCATTAAAGGAAATCTGTACAGAAGATGTCAAAGTAATCATTACAGTCTAACTGGAAAAATTGTTTAGAACTTGCTAAATGTTAAGTTCTAGTTTTCCTACAGACTGATATCACTGTTTATGGTTGTGATGTTCTTGCTGTCATGGGTTCTAATGGATTCAAAATGATTATGCTGACATGATTTTAGTCCTACTTAAATTTTTTTTAAACTACTGCTTCTTCCTTATAATAGGGACCATTTGATTGATAAGCAAATATGAATTTTATTCTCTAGAAATGTTTCTAGTGAAATGTTTCTTCCAGAAAATGTTTACCATGTTTGGGAAAAAGACCTTCTTTGTCAAAGAGGGGCAGGCACACACATGGAGATACGTCTGCACTGACACCCCAGCTGATTTTTGCTGTGTAGCTCTGGTTGGGAGCCATTTCCAAGGGCTGAGACTCTGGATGGCATCTTTCCTCGAGGCAGACATGTTGCCTACTCTTGTTCATCAGACTTGACCCTTGTGTTAAGCTACTTTATCAGTTTTCTTTTTGTTCTATTTTTCAACCCTTGTGAATGCTCATTTTTTTCTTTTTGCTCTTTTATTACTTGTCTCCCCCTCTTCTCCAGGAAAATCAGCGCATGCAGCAAAAAGTAGACAACATGACAAAAGAGGTGTTTGATCTCCAGGAGACACTTCTTTGGAAAGATAAAATCATTAGGGTATGAGATGAATTGGGCATTGGTCCAAAGCTCATTGATGCGGAATAGACCAATAGTATTAAACTTAGAGTCTTAAAAATCTGTCCTTTTGATTATTTTTGAGCATTTACGTAGTGTGAAATACCACTAAGCAGAAGAGAGAAAAAAATTCCCGTGGGAAAACCTGATACTATGCTTGGAAAGAACCCTTTTTTCCAGTCAGCTCTGAACCTCAGAGATTTACAAGAAAGAACTTACAAAGAAGTTTACTCCCCTAAGATTCTTATCCAGTAGCAACACAGGCATTTGATTCAAACTCTGAGTAATTTGATACCTTAACATTGCAAGAACTTGAGTAAGAAGCAAGAGAAGAGGGAGTGGAGCTGGGAGAGAGATGTTAGCATCCCATAAATCCATAGAGAATAAAATAGGAAGAGATTGAAATCATTTTAATTACAGAAGTGGATAGGAATGCAAGGTTTGCCAGAGCTGCCAAACTATGATGTCAGCTCTAATTATAACTCTCAAATTCCCCAAAGTAAGGGGCCCAGATAAGGAAAAAGCCTCCCATGCTTTTATTGCTAAGCTCTACAGGTAATTTACAAGTATACTCCATGAAGAGTGACAAAAGTCCGGTCAGTTCCTGCCTTATGGCCTTTGTCTGACATCCCCCTAGCAGCCTGAGTGCTCTGTTCTATACCATAGGGACCTAGAGCTGTGGCTTGCGAGCCTGGCTTTGTCAGGGAGAGTCTGTGGCAGGGAAACATATGGAAAGCCCTGTTCTAAGGACTCATGAGAAAGTCTTACTTCCGCCTGATGTTAGGTGGGGTAGGTGAAAGCTGGCCAAGAGCCCTCAGAGCATCAGTGATGGACAGGCGTGGGTATGAGACTTCATCCGACCCACCTCTGGTTCAGTTTGATCCATACCACTTAAGAACCCTGTCCTCAGTCATAGACTCAGGGCCAACAGAGTCTTCTTAAAAGTTTGGGAGATCCAAAATCTTAAGTGAAAATATGGTTCAGAGTTTCTCATATTTTAAAAAATTTTAAAAATCACTGAGTTTTTTATTTCCACCAAGGCTGGAAATACCCTCTGAACTATAAATGAGTTTTATTAAGAGTTTTAAGAATTGGGATTATGAATTATTAATTTTATTTAAATGTTTGTTCAGACAGGTTAAAAATGAAATATGAAAAAGTGTATGTCATAAATAGGCAATTTATAAAGCTTAGTCAAGTTCTAGTCATCATCTAGTATGGATGTAGAATTACATAAGGCCTTACATAATTTTCTTTAGCACATATCCACAAGACCACAACTTTTTAAATATATATTAATATTTTAAATTTGATTATTTTGGATCCACTAAAATAAGTTCATATTTCTCTGTTTAATAAAATAATTAAAATTTTAACTAAAAGATGGATTGATAACTAATAAATGAAAATTACATAACTCTTGACTTTGACACTTTTTTGGCATTACCAAGTGAATAATAAGTGGTCTGTCAGATCTGTTCCTTCTTTGGTGGTAGTTGAGGGCTCCCAAGCAGTGCTCTGGGTGAATCCTTGGCACTTGTGCCTTATGGCGCAGCAACCACCAGAGCCGTATCTGAGGTGGGGTTGGCAGGTGACAAACCCCAGCCCTCACACATGCTGTGGGTTCCAGCCCTGTGAACTGTCCCTGCACCTGTGCCTCTTTTTGTTTGGTATTTTATAGCAGCTCTCTTGGGTTGGAAAGCTCATTAAAAGGACTGAAGTGTCTGCCTGGCTTACAGAGTTCCTGGGTTTGATTACTGGCAACCCTGGGGCTGGCTGGGCTGGGCAGCCTGGGCTGAATATTCTGGGAATGCCCTGGGGGCTTCTGAAAACTGCTTGGGAGATACTCTCCCCTGCTCCTGAAGAATCATCTTCACCTTTCTTTTAAAGATTCATATTTAGTGCTTCCTGAAGGAACATGACCGTTTTTCTCATCTCAAAAGTCAGCTTTTCTTAATTCTTCTCTTCTGAGTCCAGTGGCTGTATCTCCAGACAGCTGCTCTTATAGGCTCCCAGGGCTCCGGTGTCAACTAGGTGTTAGAATGACTGGAATATTGTCTGACACAGCATAAGATATGTGAGCCCTATGCAGTGTCCAGAGAATTCACAAAAGTTCAATCTTTATATATAAAATGTTTTTCATGTCTTGCCAGAATTTGAGTTAAATTAAAGGGAAAGAATTTTCTTTGAGCTCTCCACAAGTTTGTTTTAACCCTAAAAATAAAATCTGTAGGAGCTATTTTTGAATGCAAGCACACAGGGTAGTTAGTAGTTACATGGCCAGGTTATACAGAAGGATTTTTAGACCCAGAGTGATGAGTACATTAGATCCAGTTAGAAGGCATTTTAGTACTTTTAAAATTTGTGGTAAAATGGAAGCACTTACAAGTGTATTTTGTCTTCCCATCCACAATTATGGGAAGGTAAAATTAAAAAGCTTAAAAGTAAAAATAAAATCTGGTTCTTTAAAATTTGGAAGAAGAGCAGATGACAAATACTGGCATTTTCTAGAATTGCTGGTTTCAGGTTGGTCTTTTCCTCAGAGATCTTTTCTCCTCATTGGTTATGTTTATTTAGAGCACGTTGTCAGCAGCGGTTACTGACCTGGTTTGTGGTGATGCATGGTATAACTGCATGCAGACATCAGTAACCAGAACCTCTAACCCAGCAGAGATTAAAGTGACTGTCAACAGATGAGAAAGTATTGCTTGTGCTTTATTGTTCTTGTGTTACATTGTTATTAATGTAATGTGTCAATATTAGGTTGAAGATTTGAGAGTAAGTACTATGGATGCTAGCAGCTCATGATTAATTTGCAGGCATACTTGAGAGAGACATATTACATAATGTGTAAATATATACTGGTGAAAGGAAGTTAGATACCCATACCACAGTTTGGGTGAGGAGTAAGCTATATTTTTCCAGCAGCAAGTGGGATGACAGGAAGGAAGCATAATTGTAGCCTGTGGAGGTCATGATATAGAAAAAGTATGCGAGAGCTTTGGAATTAAAAAGAAAAAACCCTGGATTCATTTTTCTGGCTTTTGCATTTCCTGTGACTTGAGACTTTTTTTTTCTTAAAGTAACCACTTTTAGTTAATAGGCCCACACTTATTTCTATTTCTGTGAAACAGAAATAAGACAAGTATAGGTTATACCAGGGACAAGTGATATGAGAAATAAAATAACCTGTAAGGGGGAAGAGTATATAATAATGCATGCCACATAGTTGGGATACAGAGATGTAAGTTCTTCTCAACCTTACTTATTCCCACTTTAACTGCAGAAGAGCATTGCTTTGATTTTTTTTCTAAAACGACTTATTCAGCAGGTAGTGAATTGCAGGTAGTGAATTGAGTGGTTGTCCCATCTCTGAACCCAGTAAAGAGAAAATGCTATAGTTTAACTTTTGTATTAATGGGAATGTTGGCAGAAAATATTAAACATATGAACAAAGATGCAGGGAAAAGCTTTTGTAAATAACCCACCTCTCAGATCCCTGCTGAGGCTGCATCTTGGGTACGAGAGGAAGTCTGCGCAATTTTATTTTATTATTATTGTTACTGTTTTTTGTTTGGGAGTCTGGTAGTGCTTGAGGCTTACTCCTGCTTCTGTGCTCAGAAGTTAGTCCTGGCAGTGTTCAGAGAAGCGTAGACAGTGCCAGGGATCAAACCCAGCTTAACAGAACAGTGCCTTCCTTACTGTATTATCTCTCTCACCCTCCAGATAGTTCCATTGCATAGAGTAGGTTTGAGTTGTTCATGAGTATGTTCCTACATTCGTGCTGTGAGAGCCGTGGCCTGGGGCACTGGCCAGGAGAATGTGAGTGGACAGCCTGGCAGGTGTTTTCTCATCTGCCCTGGCCTGTACGCTGCAGTGCTTTACACCCAGGACTTCCTGACTTAGTGCTGAGTGACCCCATCCTCTTTCACGTGAGAAATTGAGGCACAAGTGAGTGCTATGCCAAGCTCAAGAGCCTCCTTACAAAACATCTCTGCTACCCTCCATCCAGGGGCCATATTTAGTTTGCAGTTTTTTTTTCTATACAAATATAGACAAAATACACCACAAAACCAATAACCGTTAATTGTATTAACAAAAAACAGAACCTTAAGGATTTTTTTGGAAGCTATTTTTAATAATCAGCATTTGAGGGCTGTTAAGCTACACCACTTTGGAGAATAAGCCAATAATTAAAATGCCTTATTTACACTGTTTTTCTCAAAAACCATCCTTTTTTACTTAAAAACTTATAGTATATTCTTGGGTTGGAGAGATAGTAGAGTTTAAGGTGCTTGCCTTACACATAGCCCGCATTGGTTCAGTTTCTGAGCACAGAGCTAGGAGTAAGGCTTGAGTACCTTTGTGTATAATGTCTCCCTCAAAAACTGTATTCTTGGATAAGCATTTTTAGCAAAATATGTAATGTGGTTTGGGGGCTCCCCAAATGGAAATGTACTAAGAAGGTCAGTTCAGAAAAGCTTGTTTTAATATTACCATTGGTTTCATCTTCCTTTTCCTGTTTTCTCCATAAACTAGAAAAAAGGGATTTGTTTTTCTGCTTGATGGGATATGCATGGTTTGTAAATGTATGCACGATTGACCAGTTGCTAGTAGAACTCTCTTCTGGAGATGTCTGTCTACCTAACTTTGCTTCTCCCCCCCATATCTAACTGCTGGTTTCCCAGTTGCCAGTGCTTCCTTGCTTTCATGCCGTTGGTTGGGAGTTAGGTACTTCTCTGCTGCCTCTCTTTCACTTGCTCTTTCTCTGTACCATTCTTCCTCCTGCTGCCTCGCCTCAAACCAGGCCCTAGAGAAGCAGAAGGAATACATTGCCTGCCTTAGGGAGGAGCGAGACTCGCTCCGAGAGGAGCTGGCTGACCTGAAGGGGACAGCGAGCACAGGAGAGGTAGGTCGCAGTGGCCTGGAGCTCGTCTCTCCCGCCTCCTTTGTTGCTTTTGTCCTCTCATCTTTCCAAGTCCCCCACACACCACAGTGTCTGTTCTTTGGCCCAGATTCAGTAGGTGTCAAGTCATTGCTTCTACAGAGCCCTGTTCCATGTACATCTGTTTTGTATAGGTTGTACGTGTCGCAGGCATTTGTTGTTTCAGTCACCTCACGGAACACGCTGCTCCTACGTGGACCATCTTTGGTGACAGTGGATTTTTTCTTCCCTACAGAAACATGGCTTAGTTATAATCCCTGATGGCACGCCCAATGGTGACATCAGTCACGAACCAGTGGTTGGAGCCATCACTGTGGTGTCTCAGGAAGCGGCTCAGGTCTTGGAGTCAGCCGGAGAAGGGCCTCTTGGTAAGGCATTGTTGCTGGGTTAACTCCAGATTCGTGTGGGCCTGTTGGACACCTGCGTCTCAACAGGGACGGGTCTGGGCACATTGACTTTAGATATCCTACAGCCGCAGTGGTGATTGGAAAGCAGTAAGTGTAACTTTAAGGGCCTTGGAGGCTAGCACTATGGGTGTGTGTATGCAGTGGTTTTCCACTCAAATTATAAACCACCTGCAAGGAGGTAATCCAGAAGGCCAGGCCAGGGAATGGGCGGACTGGGAAGGGACCTCCAAGTACATTGTGGTTTCTGGAGCATCTGGTTTTGTGATCCTTTACTTATCCCAGCATTCCATAGCTCTCTGCCACTACATTTCTTAAGGCAGAAAACAATTAACTAAGAAGATACTTACCAGAGAAGTATAATTTTCAAAACGAGGGCTTCTTAAAAGTCCAAACCTCTTAAATTTGACTCTTTAAGAATCTATATATATCCATTCACACTGATGGCCATCCTCAGCCCCCACTACTACTCTCACTCTGGAGGAAAAAAAATGGCTCAGAGATATACAGCTTCTTACACCATTACAGTGGGTTTTTCTTTTCTCACGGTGTTCACACACACACACACACACACGTGGGTTGTATAGGATTAGGATGTATTGTCAAAGTAGAGGGAATGGTTAACTTAAAAAGTTAATGTACCCTCTAATGTCGAGCACTGCAGGTTTGTTGGCCAGTAAGGGTCAGAGTGATAGCATAGCGGGTAGGGTTGTTTGCCTTGCACGTGGCCGACTCGGGTTCGATTCCTCTGCCCCTCTCAGAGAGCCCAGCAAGCTTCTGAGAGTATTCCGCCCACACGGCAAAGCCTGGCAAGCTACCCGTGACATGTTTGATATGCCAAACACAGTAACAACAAGTCTCACAATGGAGACATTACTGGTACCCGCTTGATGAACAATGAGAGGACAGTGACAGTGACAGTGACTTTGAGAAAGCAGAGGATGATGGCTTGGGTAGGTAGTGCCGCAGTTGCCTTGGACAGTGGACTGAGAATGGACTGTAAGAAGTCCAGTCTTCCTTCTGCCCATTTGGAAGGTGCTGAAGGAACTTTCTCAGCCAGGCTATGGCCCTGGTTGGTGTCTGCTGCTGCTTTTACTCATTTGCAGGAATCTCCTCAGTCTGAAGGACTTTGTATTTAATTTATTCCTAGTTAATTTTTTGCCATGAATTGAATTCAGAGCCTCACATTTGCAGGGCATGCACTTTTCTGCAAGCTCCAACTGGGGTTGGAGCCAGGGGACCTGTAGTACTGTTTGCTCTGGCAGTAGTCGCCCTTCCAGCCCCCCACTCGCCCTGTCATCTCCCCTGGGTTTGTTTCTCCTTCCTGCTGAATGCTCGCAATGCCTGTGGAACCACCCTTGCCATTTGAGCGATGTGGCCGATGGTGAAAGCATGCAGGTTTTTGTATCAAGGAAATGATCTCTGTACTTCAGTTTGCTTTTAAATGGAAAATCACTGCCCGTGGGAGCAAATGTTATATTTAGAGACCTGATAAATATCTGTTGTATGGAAATATATTGAACAGTTAAGTACTTTTCCTTACTACCTTTAAAACCTTTATTTATTTTTTTCAGAGCTGTAAATTGCTTACCAGAAAGTGTTTGCTGCTTATAACTTTGATCAATTTTTTTTAATTGCTTATATACTGCATCATTACAAATTTGGTTTCTAAAACTTACTTATTTTAGATGTAAGGCTACGAAAACTTGCTGGAGAAAAGGAAGAGCTGCTATCACAGGTAAGAAGGCATTCTTCTCATTGGAAGGTAGTGTGAAATGGAACTTATGAAGTCACATGCTAAAATGTTAGTAAAGTAAAATTTCTTCTGGAAGGAGTACTCAGTATGCAAGTGACATTTGGAGACTAAGAAGATAAATTGATGCTTATTCTCTTTTAACAATTACGGGACACGGGGTTAAAGGAATCTAATACAAAGAAGCCAAGCTTGTTACGAAGACAAGGCTTTTCTGCTGTATGGTGTGCCCCACCATCCCTGTTTTCCCAGATGGTTTTTGTGGCTAGGGCTAAATCTTGCCTGTGTTCTCTCCTTATGATTCTAACACACTCCTCCTGGGCCCATCATAGCTCTGCTTCGTCTGATTCTCTGGTGACTTCCCTCAAGGGAAACTGATGAGGATTCAAGTCTCTTTCATCTTCTGTCCCACATAGATACTTCTTATCCCCACATCCTCAAGAAAGCCAAGGGAAGCCCCAGTCTGCTTATGTTATCGGGCCTCTGTAAACACTGCATGCACTGGAGCCGAGGCGCTAGAGATGGCCTTTCATCTTCTGCACGACTCCTTGTTTCCCCTGAAGCCAAGATTGTGGAATTTTCTAAGTATCATCACTAACCTAGCAGCACATTCTCCACCCAGATTTTAAATCTCCTTCAGGTGTTTCCAGATGCATCAGTGATTTGATGAGCTCCACAGTTTGGGGTCTGGGAGCATCTTCTATCCCTGTTTGGGACTTAATGGCTGCCACAGCCCTCATGTGCCTAGAGGATTTCCTCTGCCTGTACTTCAGGCTAGATTCCCCATTTGCAGTTTCTTAGGACTTCCTCTTTTTAAGCTCATCCTCTGGTAACTTTCTAAGAAAAGGGTATATGGACTGTAAATTTTTCAGAAGTCAATGAATGGGCCTGTATGTGATTTCTTAATTACTGCTTCCATGAACGCATATGGAATTCTAAGTTGTGAGCATCTTTCTTACTTTTCTTTCTTTTTTTTTTTTTTAAGTTTTTATAGCTGCTCCCAGTGATGTGCACTTGACCCCAAACTGCAGCCTTGACAGTTTGGCTCTTTCAAGCCAGTGGTCCTGGGGTCACAGGTCTCATCTGGTTATACTCGGGGAGGGAACTTGGAAACTCACATTTGCCTGACATGTGCTCCGCCACTCAACCATCTCCTGTCTCCCTGCACTCCCCCACCCCCTGCTTCCCGCAAACCCTTCCTTTAAAGTGCTTGTCTTCTCGATTCCACTGAAACATTTGAGAATTTAAAGATATTTATCGATCTTTTGTAAGTGATTTTTTTTTTTTTTTTGCCTTTTCTGGATGCTTCTTTCATTCTCTTCAGTGTTCTGAAATTTCACAGTCAGGTAGTTTGGAGTTTCCATGTGTGGTATAGGCCCTAGAGGTTCCTGTAAACTCGAGTTCATGTATTTTTCAATTTTAAGATTTCTTGAATGATGATTTCTTTCTGTCTCATATTACCTTTTTTTCCCTTCAAACTTCTGTTTACTCATTCACATGTATAATAGGTATTCCAAACAGGAGATTCTCTCTATTTAACAAATGCATGGGATATTTCAGTTAACAAGAAATCCCTGTCCTGGTGACCTTTACATTCTAGCTGGGGGAGACCAGACAATAACCATAAATTACAAGTACATTGCACATGGGATGTTGGAGGCTTCAGTGGATGCTTTTGCTGCCTGTGTTTCTCCAGCTGCTTCTAGCTAGGCTGGAGCAGGCCTGGAGTGAGGAGAGTTGGATTTTACTAAGCATGTGCAGTCAGGCAGAGGAGGAAAGGGTATGTGTCCATAGTGTGATTATAGTGCTGACCTGGAGATTAAGTGAGGTCAGGAGGGTTGAGAGGAGGGACATTCAGGAAAGCACCAAGACACGTAGGAAATGGGATGAATTAGAGGTGTCATGGCGTTGAAGGATTTTTAGAGTGTGATCCAGAGAGAATGAGGTGGAAAGATCAGAAACATCAGTGAGAAAAACAGCAGTGCTAAATTGCAGAATTGCACAGAAATCACAGTTGTCCCTGGTGAGCTTATAGTCTGTAACAGGGGTATTGAGGAACAATGGGCAAGAAGGGTTGGGGCAGTTCCTTGGAGAGGAGGACTTCAGAACCAGATAGCTTGCTGTAAGAGAAATCCTGGATGTGTTTTGAATTTGCCAAGAATTAAGACCGAAATAGTCTTGACTACTTTGTAGTTAGGAACTGAAATGGTGAGGTGGGGAGGAGACTTACTACATATATTGAAGAGGGAGATTATTAGCAATTACATGGAAGACAGAGCGACAGGGACTGTGGACTGTGACACATGGATGGCCAGGAGGACATTCCTTCTGTTCTCAGGCCCAGCGATAGGGATCCAGGGAAAGAAGAGAAGAGTCAGTACTTGGGTGGCAGGGAGCTGTAGAGGGGATAGGATTCTCCAGGGAGAACGGGCTCAGAAGACCGATCACAGAGGGGATTTGTTGAGGACAGAATGGTAATCAAGAGGATATCATATCATGCAAGAGGATTGGGCCATTAAGAAAAGGCCAGAGACCGAGGCAGAGTAGTGCTTGTTTGGAGAGAAGCGCGTTGGAGAGGAAAGATGGACATAGACAGGAAACCTGGATACTTTGATTAGCTCTGGGCCACCCAGGTGGAGGGCAGTGGCAGCCCTCTGCTATTGGAGGGATTGAGCTTAAGTGTGGAACTTGCCCTTTCCTCATGGGGTGATGGTAAATGCTGAACCTGTCCCTCTGGCCCTGTTGATGGAGCTGCACCCACTGAGGGAAGCACCTGGAACTCAGCTGCAGACACACTCTTGAAAGATGGAGAAAGCAGGAGGAAGTCTGCCTGGGTCCTAGAGCATCCACCCTCTGCCCTCAGAAGGAAGGGGGTAGCATGGTTCCAAGTTGTGGGACTTTGTGGTTGCTGGTCCCATTGAAGGCATCTGGGGAAAGGCAACTGATACGCATGGTGGGGTCATTAGAACTCCAAGGCCTTGTTTTCTTATTAATTTGCCTGTTTCCCATCTTTCTAAAATTTCTTTCTCTTTTTTTTTAAAATAAGTTACTATTTCTGCAGTCATTTCAGAAGTGCATATTCCCACTTCTCTTGGAAGCTGTTGATGGGCTTTTTGCCTGTGTTTTCCTCTGAAGCCTTTGTTTCCCGCTTGAGGCTCGGTTAAGGGTATCTGTTGGGGCTTCAGTGCAAGAGCAGGGCCCTAAAAAGCGGAATGGCACTCTTGAGCAGATGCAGGGTCTAGTCCGAGTTTTCTGCGAGGATTGTTGTGGCCTGTGTTTTGCTGGAACCTTCCACAACAGTTGGCTGTTGGTCTTTCATTTCAGTTGGTGTTCTGAGGCTACAGGACAGATTGTGCAGCCTTTCCCAAACCTCCTTGCTTTGCACATGTGGAACTTCTGTCTCCAGTGGGGTCTTGTTTTTTTTCCTTTTAGTTTTAGAGTGCCTTTGAATTCAACCTAGTTTCAGATTCTTTGTCTTCCATAAGAAATCCCAGCTTTTCTAGGGTGCGATTGATGTGGAATGAGGGGAACTTGCGTGGGACTCTGCAGTGTGCAGACCTGTATTCTCCTTTTGACTCTGCTGTCACTGAGCCCATAGTGAGGGGGGGGAGCTTAGGACAGCAGCAGTGGATCATCCCACAGCTCTGGTTTAGAAGTTCAAGACCAGAGTGTCAGCAGGGTCTTTCCATTGAGGCCTTCGAAGGAAAATGTATGCCATGCTCCCCTCAAGAGTCTGCTGGTGGTCTGTGGCATTCGGTGGCTTGTAGGTTCTGTTCGCTTCCTGATTTCCCCCTCCGGATGCCACTTTCTCTTCTCATGGCATTCTCAGTCAGAGCAGCTTTAAGACCCAGCCTAAAGACCCAACTGGCCTTATTGTACCTGCAGTGACTCTCTTCCCTGCACATCCAGAGGTGCAGGGGGAGGTTTGCATCACAAGAAGTTGTACCCGAAAATTGTAGTCGCAGTCATCATGGAGGAAATAGCCATAATTCCTCGAAGTTTGTGTCCCTGTCAAGCTTTATTCACTTCTCCCCCTCTCTCCAAACAACCACAGATGCACTTTATGTGCCTGTTGTTAAGGTTGACATTTCCTGGAACGTGATGTAAGTGGAATTAGACAGTATGTCCTCTTCTTGGTTTGCTGCCTTTCATGCAGTGTTGTGCTCTTATCTGTTTGTTATTTTGGGACCATACATGGCAATGGTCAGGACTTACTCCTGCCTGTGGGCTTAGGAATTACTCCTGGCATGGGGTGCTGGGGATTGAACCCTGGTTTGCAGCAAGAGCCCTGCCCACTGTACTATCTCTCTGGCCCCCATGCTGTTGCCTATGTCAGTAGTTCTTCCCCCTCACTGTGAGTAGTAGCTAGCTCGATTGTGTACACTACAGTTTGTTCATCCTCCTTCACTGGGTGTTTGGATTGTTTCCATTTTGGAGCTGTTATGAATAATTCATAGTGAATATTCTTTATTTTGGATAAAATAGAGAAGGATAACTGTAGCCAAATTCAAAAGTATATATTTCTAGTTATTTTTGTAAAGTTTTCTAAATTAGAATATTTAACCTAATTTTAAAGCCAACCCGAACCCAAAAAAACCATAACTATTCATGGAATTTTCTATTTTGAATTAAAAATAACATCCAAATGATGTGCTTGTCCACAAATCTACACGAGTAATAAAATACGGCTGTTTCTATTGGGCCGCCGGGTCCTGGATTACACTCCCTTTGACACTTGTTCATAGTTCATCTCTGTCATCCTGAATAGCTTGTCCCCCTTAATTGGCACTCACAAAAAATCATTCCGGAATGAAGGATTGGTGGCTGCTAAGAATCGGCTTGTTTCTGGGATATGCTCTTGGGCCAGGCATCTACTTCCTGTGAGGGACTGGACTTTGCTGATGAGCCTTTTCCTCCATCAGGTGAGAAAGCTGAAGCTGCAGCTAGAGGAAGAACGACAGAAGGGCGCCAGGAGCGACGGTGCGGTGGGCGACCTGGCGGGGCTGCAGAATGGCTCGGACCTGCAGTTCATCGAAATGCAGAGTAGGTGCAGGCGCCTTATACGCTGCCTGCTGGGGCCTCCTGCTTCTGTCCTCTGCAGGGGCAGCTGTCCTGCCCGCAGTGGGGCTGAGGGGAGCTCCACTTGCTGTCACCTCAGGGGGCAGAAGGCTAGGGAAATGTTCTTCTCTTTCTGGGCAAAAGATGACTTCTAGGAGTGCTCTGTGAATAGTGAGGTCCTGACAGTTTTTTCTTCATCTCTGTGTTGTCTTCTGAACGCCAATGCAGCACCCTTCCTAAGGTCCATTCCCCTGACAGGGCAGTTACAGAGATAGCATTAACATACAAACTCCAGTCATTTCAGAACTTGCTCCATAATTTCTTAACCCCTGCTAGTCTTTGTGGATGGCATTTAGTTCCAGGTCGCAAAGCGGGTCTCCTCAGCTTACCTAAATAATTTGTTTTGTTCCCTTTCTACTTTTGATGTCACAGTATTTGTTGTTTGATTTTGGACCATTCCCGGCTGTGCGCAGGCATACTCCTGACTCTGTGCTCAGGGGTGACTCCTGAAGGGGCTTGGGGAGACCATATGTGGTGCTAGGGATGGAATCTGGGTCAACAAGGCAAGGACCCTACCTGCTTCTATGTCTCTAGCCCTTTGACCTTCCAAGCAATGCCCAGGGGCCGCTCCTGGCTGGCGAGCCTGACAGTTCAGTGGGCAGGACGGGCAGTGCAGTGCTGTTGGGTCTAGAGGTGGGTGATGGGCGCCACATCCAGCACTGTGCAGGGAGAGCATATGGTACTGGGAATCAAACTCTGCCCCCCCCGCCCCCCAATACCAATCCTGGCTCCAGCCCTCTGAGCTATCTCCCTGACCCAGTCCCATCACATTTACACATCTGCCTACTGTAGTCATAGTACTCGGGACATCTCCCCACCCCAACAAGGAAATTCCTACTGCCAGTTATATATAATCTGATAGTATTGAACAGAATTATTTTTCCAAATGGTTTGGGGGCTAGGGAGAGAGAATACAGAGGATAGGGCTGACCCTACTCCATGGCACTGCACAAGGCCTCTCAGAACTGCCAGGAGTGATTCCTGAGTGCAGAGCCAGGAATAAACTCTGAGCCCTGCTGGTTGTGGCCCCCAAACAAATCAAATAGTGTCTGTTTTGATAACTTAATTGATTTTTTATTGGGCCACGGTGAATTACAGAGTCAAAAAGTTATTCATGATTAAGTTTCAGGCATACACTATTCCATCACTAATCCCTTTACCAATATCTGCTTCCCTCCAACAATGTCACCGGTTTCCCTCCTGCCCCCCAGCCTGCCTCTATGCCAGGCACTTTTCACTCCACCATTGCCCTGGTGTTCTTGTTCCCAACTTCTCCCCCACCTCACAGCCCGCCCCAGTGCCTACTGAAGACCAGTTCTCCTGCTCTTGCTTTCTATCTGGGCATTGGATATTCCCCTACAAATGTTCATTATATCCCAATAATGAGAGGGATCATCCTGAATCTGTCTCTCTCCGTCTGATCACTCAACATGATCCGTCCACCTTGCTAACGTACTTTAAAATACTAGTTAGGGGTCAGGGATAACAGTCCCAGTGATGGAGCATAGGCCTGGGATGTGTGAGACTTTGTGTTCAGCCTTTGGCACGGCATGACCCAGCACACCCCTACTGCTCCCTTGGGAGCAACCCCTATTAAAGGGAATGTTGGTTGTAAATGGCATTTTTATCTTAATAATCTAAGTTAGGCTAAATAGAAAGGACCTCTTAGAGTAACTCTTATTAATAATAAAGACTGAATTTTGAGGTTAGTATTATTTCCTTTATTGGATAGAAATCAGACTCTTGAGAACTTCTCTGGTAACTCTTTTGTTCTAGGAATTCTGATTTGGCAAGCAGGATAATTGAAGCTGGGCATGACAAGAAGCAGGCTGACTATAGGTGACGGTGTGCCCAGTTCATACATGGCTGCCAGCAGTCACGGAGGGCAGGGGATAGATTTGAGTGACACTGGCCTAAAAGAGGGAAGAGGATATTCAAAAGGACCGGTGTTGAGCATGAAAGGGACAGCACTCGATAGCAGATAGATAGTGGGGTGGATAGTGGGGTGTGGCTCCCCATGCTACCTTACAGCACCTGCATTTGCAGTCACCTTTGGGGGCAGACATCCATGGAGTGTGATGAGCTGATGGGCTGGGGCCTGGCTGGCAAAGCAAATGTGGGCAGCTGCCCTGCACCAGAGGCAGGAGAGATCCCTCAAGATGCTCGGCTCTTACCAGAGATTTGGCTTGGTGTTTTGAAATGCAATTTCAAAATATGTATGAAATGGCTGAGATCAGGCCGTGCTCTTGAAAACAGGAAGGAATAAGTGGTGTCACGAGCGAGAAGGAAGTAGCATACTTTGATAATAAATTGCTGGGGTTAAGAATTATAAATATATAAGATTCTGAAGTTTATGTTCCAGGCAGTTCCTTCACTCCCAGAGATGGCTTATGGAAAAGTGTTTTTAAGGATAATAGTAATTATCTGGTTAGAAAAACCACTTGTATTGAAGTTCACACCCTGCATTTTTAGAGAGAGTTTTGTTCAGTTTAAACTGGTCCACAGTTGGACCCTGGCACCCTGAAGAATGGTTCTTCAGGCACTGCCAGGAGCTGTAGCCCCTGAGAAACACGAGGTATGACTTAAAATTAAAAAAAAAAAAGTTAGTATAGAAACTGCTTTTTTCCTTGTCATTTCTGAACTTCTCATTTTAAATTATTTGTTTCTTAGGTCAGGGGTACCCAAGTGGATTCATAGCTCTACCTGTAACACTATCACGGTGTATAATAAAAAAAAAACATTTATTTTATCCTCTTACACGTACACACATAGCCTGGAAGTGTGCTGTACACCACAAAAGCACACAAATGAAATGTGGCTCAGGAGGAAAAGTTAGCAGCTATTGGGGTAACACTGAGACTGGCCCTGAAGGGAGGTGGAGACTGAGCCAGGTGGGAAGCAGAGCTTATCTGCGGTATGGCAAACCCCACCTAGAAAACCCTCTGTGCTGGGCCAGCGAGTCCAGGGGACCCGTCCCTGTGGGCATGAGGCGCCTGAGCTGCTGAGATAAAGATCGCACAGCAGACCTCCTTAAGCTCTGTAGCTGCATGGATCCCGGTGATGAGCTGGTTAGAGGATGGGATGTCCCCAGGGGCCACTCATGGCAGTGCAGTGCTGTTGAAGCCAGGTGGTGCTCTGGGGTGCCCATAGAGCTGCACTTGATGGTGCTTAGGGAGATGCATAGTGCCAGGAATCAGGTGTAAGGCCTCATGTACACCAAGCATGCACTGTGGCCCTCCAGCCTTCGGGATGGGAAGTGTGAATTTTCTTTCTTGAGATTTCTGATCAAGGGATGCTGTTGCAAGATAAGTTCTTGAGTCTCTGTGGTCTACTCCTAGCGGAATCTGGGCTGTTTGGAACTACTGCCGTTGTCTTTTGCCTGTGTGGGCCCCCTTCTGCTGCCAGGGGTCCACCTTTCGCCTTGAGACGGGATTCATTATTTTAATGCCTTCTGTTCCAGGGGATGCCAACAGACAAATTAGTGAGTACAAGTTCAAGCTTTCAAAAGCAGAACAGGATATCACCACATTGGAGCAAAGTGTAAGTAATTCTCTATAGTGCCAAGTTGTTTAAGTTCCCCCTAAAGCTCATTTGCTTCCTGCATCCAAGTGAGTAGCTACTTTGGACTGTCTTGGCCCTTGGGGGACTATGAAAGCTCTATTTTAAGGTGGGAATGCCAGAATTGTGGCTAGGCAACTTGGCTCTCTTTGATGTAAAACATGGATAACTGAGCTATAGTTCTTTTGTAAATAGATCAGGTGACTTCAGAATTGTAGTTTGTTACAAGTCCCTTATTGTACATTTTAAAAAGTGTAAAACTTTTCTATTCAGTTCAGTGAGTTTCTTCCTGCTGTGTTACTCTGGCACTTTAACAATAAGGACATGGCGAAACTTAACATGGGAAATTGGCCCTACACAGACTTCCCCCATGTAATCCCCCCTGGGGACTCTCTGGATTTATAAATAGCAGTTGGGTTCTGAGAGGACCTATGACTCACCCTAGGGGACGTGTTTTAGTGTTAGATTACTTGAAGTCTGTAATGACATGGCATTTCCATCTTGGCTACAGGAGAAGCAAAAGGGGAGGAGGGGGGCTGGGGGGCTGGTCAGAGCCCAATACCGGAGCCTGTGTTCTCCCATTCAGATTAGCCGGCTCGAGGGACAGGCGCTGAGATACAAAACTGCTGCAGAGAATGCTGAGAAAATAGAAGATGAGTTGAAAGCAGAGAAAAGGAAGTTGCAACGAGAGGTACTTATTTCAGTGATGCGTCTGGAATATACCCTTGGGAATGAGCTCTTTGTCGAGGAAGGAATTCATTCACTTCCTGGGTCCCGTCTTAATAAGGAGATGACCATGGTTGACCCTTCCTCTCCCGTGTCAGTTGAAGGCCTGGACAGTGACTACCATTGAGTCTTGGACTTTGGTCGGTTAGGTGATAAGAAAAAAGAGTTATTTTCAGTTTCGTTTCAGATCAGGTCTGTTTCCCGCACTTTCACAGACTGTGGGTCCCTGTGTGAGGCCTTCACAGGTAGCAGAGACTACTTTTCCCAGAAATTGTCAAGTAGCACAGGGTCTGTTTGTGACCATGAGTGACGGTGCTTTTCCTGTCCCCAGTTACGAACAGCACTGGACAAGATCGAGGAGATGGAGATGACCAATAGCCACCTGGCCAAGAGGCTGGAGAAGATGAAGGCCAACAGGACAGCGCTGCTAACCCAGCAGTAGGGACCATCCACCTGCCTGGGTCCTGCCCTGAGGGACTGACTTTGTCCATTGACACAAAACCCTTTCAGTACTGTTTGCGTTTTGTCAGTAAAAATAGCCACCTTTGTATTTTATAATTTATGAGAGAATGAAAGAGGTTTGATTCTTCATGAATGAATACTTTGGATTTTGTTTGTATGATTTTAGACTTAAAACTGGTCCCTGGTCTTTTTTTTTTTTTAATTTCCATCATTTTAGAATCAAGTTAATTCACCAGTTTGCCCCCACCTGCCTATGCCTGGCATCCTGAGGTGTGGGCTCAGGTTCCAGCGTCGAGCGTTCTGAGATGCGGGCAGGAGACCTCCGAAAACACAAGTGCCTTCTCCACCATGGGATCCAGACCTCAGTGATGTCCAGTGGTCAAAAGACATTTACCCTTCACGTTAGAGAGTGTTTCTATTTTAGTAAAAAAAGTTTCTCAGGAGGAGAATCTGTTCCACTCAAATTTCTACGTTTGGAGGGAAAAAACCTCTTTTTTTTGTAAGATATTTAAATTTATATAAGAAAACATTAGAAAAAAGAAATGGGAAGTGTATATAAGACTTGCTTTATTGCATGGGGCAGGCGACAGTATGGCCCCATCATCTTCAAGAGCAGGAGCCTCAGTCTTCAGCACCGACCGTGCTGAACCTGGTCAAGTATTCACCTATTGCTGACTTGTGGATTGACACCTCAGACAAGCCCGTGGGGCAGGGAGGGCTGGGGCGGGCGGGCAGCAGGTGTGAAGACTGCCTGAAGATTCTATTAAACGGACACTTTGCTGACCACAACTGGCTGCTGAAATATTTTGTTAAAGGAGCCTTCACAACAACTCACGGCAACCTTGCCCCTTCGATCTTGCCCCTCTCCTTTGGGAAAAAACAAGCTGGAATCTAGCACTTTTTCTTTTAAGAACTTCAGTATCTTCTTTAAAAGTAACCCAGGCCATGAATTTTTAGCACAAGTGGGTCCACTTTACAGGATCTGTGGTTCTGTTTTGCTTCTACAACCTGTGTTTTTATGGAAATGAGTATTGTATTTTCAGTATGTTTACATAGAAAAAATACTGGGTTAAGTTTTAATGAATCAAGGCCCGCATAATAAGATTAGACTTGAAAGTAGATAATAAAGTTTAACTCCAAATGTGAATTAAATCTCTAATATTCTTTAGCTCGTTGTTCTTAAAACACAATTTCCTGAATTAAGATTTTTTTCTTTAGTAGTGATAGTTGTGTGTGTGTGGGGGGGGGCTGGCGTGTGAAGGGGGAGACCTATTCTGACATGCAGGTCTACCCAGAACCCCACACCTGCTTCCATTTCATCACTGGGCCTGTTGCTCACGGAGCTTATTTCCAAGAGGCCCTGGACTATCGTTTTAGGAAGTCTTACGTATTACGCCTCTTAGTGGTGTAACAGTAGGCTAAATGTCTTTTCTACCTTCTGAATAGAATGGCTTCAATGCTTCGAAAGTTTTCTGTTCTTCACAAGGAATCTTATAACATTACTGAGCATCTGTAAGTGACCTTACACTGTAACCAACCCGCTTCCTCCCCTGCAGCTGTGTGCGTCTGTTCATACAGGAATTACCAAGGTGTCTTACTCGCATGTATTTCAGTTACATTTATTTTTACATCGTTCTTCAAACAGTGTCTAGGACTTGTTTTTGTTTTGGGGCCACAAAGCCTACTGTGCTCAGGGCTTACTCCTGGCTCTATGCTCAGGGATCACTCCTGACAAACTTGGGGACTATATGGGATGTTAGGGATCGAATCCAGGTTGGCTATGTACAAGGCAAGCACCTTACCAGCTGTGATATCTCTCCGGTCCCATCCCATGTATTTTGCTTGGGTTGGCAGTATATGTAGCCGCTAATAAAGTGGGCTAACACTAAAAACTGTTAACAGCTATAGACCGCTCAAGGGAACTGTTTTCTTCTCTCAAGTTGTTTTCGTTGAGAATGTATTAACTGGGTCATAGAGCGCTCACTGGACTGATGTTCATACAGGAGGCTCAGGTTTGATCCCTGGCACTGCATGGTCCCCTGCACGACCCCAAGAGTTATTTGTTCTAGTTAGTGGGGACATTAATAAATCATCAATTCAGTGATCTCCAGTTGGTGTCATTAGGGAATCCTATATATTTAGAACTTCTTTATTTATAAAGTACCTGAACCAATATCATATGGAAATCTACATAAAAAAATCTACCAGAATAAAGAATCACATTAGACGATGGTTGGTCGGTGAAGTCTTAAAGGTACTTTATTTTTAAACCTAGGGGACTCACACACTACTTTTGGGAATCTCCCACAAAATCACATTTGTACAAAACAGAAAATTTGAAATGTACTGACATTAAATTCTGACAATTTATTTACAGTCAAGCGTCCATCCCCGTGCCTGGAAGAGTGCCCCTAGTTCAAGGAAGCCGGAGTCCATGGCTCTCCACATGCCGCTCTGGGTGCAGGGAAAACAGCTGCCTGGAGGCCATGGCCTTGGCTAACAGCGCTCAAAGACTTTGTAAAGGTCAGGCAGGTTAGCAAGCTGCAGGATGGTCCCGTCTTCTGTGAAATGTTTAGGAGGCAGAAGGTGTGAGCGGAAGGCTTTATAGACGATATGTTCCACAGCCCACTTCCAGGCGTCTGTTGTGGAGCCAGGCACTTCATTCTAAAAAACAGTAAAATGTCATCAGCCCTTCCATTCCTGTGTGCTGCAGCCTGAGCAAACCCTGGCTGGCTGTGGCTTCTGACACTTGAGAAGCATCAGGCCTCCGCTAGCCTCTCAGCGATCCTGCAGGTCTACTTTCAGGGATGCATTCCAGAGAGCTCCACCGGTAAGACAGGGAAATAACAAGAATAAGGATTATTTTGCTCACTGTTTCTCTCCTTTAGCTGAGCCTTGAGCCATACCAATGTCCTTTTCATCTGTTTTCCTTAACATTTTTTTGACTCAAGATATGAATAGTTCTTAACCTATCCATTTTCTTTATAAACCCACTGAGTTGAAAATACAGTGCTCCACACCGGAAGAGATTATGGGTATCTTATTTTGTAAAGTTGAAAAATCACAAGCTGGCATCCTGGGACCTTGATTACTCTCAGCCAAGTTTGTGCTACTTTGTTGCCTTCGCTGGAACAAGGGCCTTTCTAGAGGTTTGTGCAACCAGGCCTCTCTGGGACACGCAGGATTTGCTGATCACCAAGCATGCCTCTCCCTCAGCTGCCTCACCTGCGGAACAGGGACATAGTACGTCCCGTTGAGGACAACTAAGCAATCACTGAGATGGGCTACAGATGCTTACAGAGAATCAAAGAGTGAAGACTTGATTTTTATAATATTCTCCAAACCCTCTCAATAGCTGGCACCTGAAAAGCACTATCATCTAACTGGACAAGGTGACGTGGAAACACGGGTCACCCAGGCACTTTCTGTGTCAGGCTGACATTCCTTAAGGTCTGGGAGACTGACCTCAGTACAGCCTGTTTGCCTGGCAAAATTTGTGTTCTACACAAATGCCATCAACTGGGGATACTGGCCCAGAATAAGCCAACATCCCTATTCTGGGATGATGTAACTCAAATTCCGTTTACTTGTGCTGTGAACGGTTTTTACATTTGGTACACGTTTTTTACATCTATTAATGACATCACTTCAGGGAAACCTTGTAAACTAGCAGAAGGAAGTAAAATTCATGAGTAAAGGCTGACCACCATGTTTAAACCTCTTTTCTAGTGAAATTCTCAGACTACCGATGAAGTTCAGCATGTGATGTTATGTGAGGGCCTGTCCCATGCCTGGAATGCCAGTGTCCCTCATCACATACCTGCCGACCTGAGAGAGTTGACTCCTCAGACATATACTGCTTCCGGATGGAGTAAAACAAAGCACATTCTCTACTGAGGCTTTCAAAACAGTCCTTTTCTTCATCCCAATTCACCTGGTCCAAAGAAAGACCCCCAATACTTTAACATATATAGGTGCTTCAGATATTTCAATTCTAAGTGGAGGCCACAGACAATTTAAGGTTGAAAAACTGTGACTTTCAGTCACTGAAGTTATTAGTCTGAACTGCTGACTATTGCCGGGAAGTGTGCAGAATGAGAAGGTTTTAACATTTCCACCATCATTTGGGGCTGGAGCGATAACACAGCGGGTAGGGTGTTTGCCTTGCACCCAGCCAACATGGCCGACCCCAGTTCAATTCCTCCGCCCCTCTCAGAGAACCCAGCAAGCTACTGAGAGTATCTCGCCTGCACGGTAAAGCCTGGCAAGCTACCTGTGACGTATTCGATATGCCAAACACAGTAACAAGTCTCACAATGTTACTGGGCCCGCTCGAGCAAATGGATGAACAACCGGAGGACCGTGTCCATGACCATCATTCCATGTGAAGGCATGGCCAGGTGCCCTCTCCTGCGAGTACACTCAGAACCCGTGTGCGTAGCCCTGGCTTGGCCAGTTACCTACCTCAGTGGCGAGCCGCAGGATGAAGATAGGCAGACCCTCGAGAGGAGGAACGTAGTTGTCGATCAGCAGCGGTAATCCCACCAGGTTTCCCTTCTGCTTGAGAAAAGCGAGGACCAGGCCACAAGGGATCATGTAGCTACAGTTCAAACAAACTCCACCTCCCTGGGCTTGCTTCAGGTCTAACCCTGGTCCCTGCCGCTCTGGGTGACCAGGTGCTTGGCTGGGCTGAGTCCCAGGGGCAGGGACTTAAGCTGTAAAGAACTTCTATCCTGACACACAGCCTACCCAACCACCTTTCCTCTAGAACGGCTGATCAACCAAAGGACATCAAGATGGGACGATTCAGAGATGGAGGAGGAGGAGGAGGAAGAGGAAGAAACGGGAGAGAAAGGAGCTAAGCACGACTGACTGGCTACAGAGACTGTGGTATTCATGTGTCCCCCTTAGCCTGAAAACAGGATGGCTAACAGAAATAAGCGACAAAGAGGGAGGGAGGTGGCATATACGTCTTGCTGCTTAGAAAGTGGGAGAAAGGCAGCCTTTCAACCCACAACTCTGAATAAAATACACCAGAGAAGGGATGAGGAGATGGTGCGAAGGGCTGGTGGCACTGCAGGGTCCCCCAAGCACACCCCCTGAGCACTGCTTGCTATGACCTAAGAACCAAATGCCCCATGGGGTGTAAAGAACAAAGGCACCCAAAAAGGCCCCTCCTTGCCTCATCAATCTCCAGGGAGAAATAGTCCGCCAGCATCTCAGCCTTTTTCTTCAGAAACTCAACAATGTACTCGGCAAGACCTTCTTTGGGGCCATCTTCCTCCGTCCAGCCACTCTCGGGACTGTCTAAGGCGAACATGGCAAGGTCGAAGAGGGGCGCGGGCTCCTAGGAAAGAGTGGGTGCATTAAGGAGCAAGCCAAAGAGGGAACCCAAATGCCAGCTGCACAGCACACACAGGCTGCAGCAGGTCCCGCATCTCCCCTAGGACATGCGCGGTCATCTTGGTCATCTCCCCACACCCCCTCTCCTCTTCCACGGAGCCGTAAAGAAGCCATTCCCTTTTCTGTTTCTAGAACATCACAAGGCTAAAGGATTTCTAGCACCTCAACAATAAAATATGTGTATGTGTGTATTAATAAGATTAAATCAAACACTACATCTGCTGAGGAAAATGAAAAATAAGATGCCCTCATTTACTTCCACTTTCCCCCTTAACTGCTGTTACATGAGTACTTTTTTATTTATTATTATTATTATTTTTTGGCTTTTTAGGCCACACCTGGTGATGCTCAAGGGTTACTCCTGGCTCTGCACTCAGGAATCACTCCTGGCGGCGCTCGGGGGACCTTATGGGATGCTGGGAATCGAATCTGGATTGGCCGCGTGCAAGGCAAACGCCCTTCCTGCTGTGCTATCGCTCCAGCCCCACATATGTACTTCTACATGTTACAGACCAGAGTTACTATTTGTTTTATACCTAAGAATTAGTCATGGAATCTAGAAAACAAAAATATTTAAGCATTCAATCATAGAATCTTAAAGTATGCAGAAAACATGGCTCTGAGAGTATAATGGGTTGCTCCTCCAAATCTGACTTCTGGAAAATCCCAATGAAAACTAAGTACTATGCTGAAAAATAACCTGTGGGCCTATGAAAAAAAATCAAACACGAATTTTTCCATGAATCAGAGTGCTTTCTATCAAAATTTGTGGGAAATTCCTAAAGCTTCACTTGGGAAGAGATTTATATAACTTAACACCTATATTCGAAAAGAAGATTTAAGAATTGCAAAATGAGCAAAATAAACCTTATGTAGGAGAAAAGCAACAAGAACTCAAGCAGGTATCAATTAAATTTTAAAAATAGGGAAAAGTTAGTGACACCAAATGTCAGGTGTAGCAATAAAAATCAATAAACTTGTAGCCATACTGATAAAAGTGAAGATGTAATTTAGCAGTATTAGTAATGAGGAAGGCTGTGTATCACCACAGATCTACAGATATTCAAAGAATAAAAATAAGAACATCCACATGCTAACAAGGGCTGGAGCAATAGCGCAGCAGGTAAGGCGTTTGCCTTGCACACAGCCAACCTGGGTTCGATTCCTCTGCCCCTCTCAGAGAGCCCAGCAAGCTACCGAGAGGATCCCGCCCGCATGGCAAAGCCTGGCAAGCTATCCGTGGCGTATTCATTCGATATGCCAAACACAGTAACAAGTGTCACAATAGAGATATTACTGGTGCCCGCTAGAGCAAATCAGTGAACAACGGGAGGACAATGAAAAACTTAAGTGGATAAGTTTCTTGAAAGTTCATTGAAGAAAATGACAGTTCATTTGAGAAAAAGAGTCTGACTTTCAACTCTATGAAATAAGTTGAATCTAGTTTAAAACCCTCCCAAGAGGATATCCCCAGGCCCACAGTTTCACTGATGAATTTGACCCAATCTTTGCCAAATGCACACTGATTCTACACAAACATACAGAAGATGGAAAAGGTAGGGATTATCTCCCAACTTAATCTGCAAGGTCAGCATTATAACTAAACCAAAGACACAGTAGCACTATAACACTGTCATCCTGTTGTTCATAGATTTCCTCAGGCAGGCACCAGTAACGTCTCCATTGTGAGACTTGTTACTGTTTTTGGCATATCGAATATGCCACGGGTAGCTTGCCAAGCTGCTCTCGGTAGCTTGCTGGGCTCTCCGAGAGGGACAAAGGAATCGAACCTGGGTTGGCCACGTGCAAGGCAAACACCATACCCGCTGTGCTATCGCTCCAGTCCAAAGATAATACAAGTAAATTACAAATCAGTATCATTCAAGAACAATTTTAAAAACTGTAACTAGCAAATTCATTCTAGTACGGTATCAAAAGGAAATCATGTATTTCCGGCTATTGTAAACAGTGCTGCAATGAACAAACAAGTGCAGATGTCACTTCGACTACACATTTTTGCCTCTCTGGGGTATATTCCCAGGAGTGGTATCGCTGGGTCAAATGGGAGCTCAATTTCTAATTTTTTGAGAAACGTCCATACTGTTTTCCAAAAGGGCTGAACTAGTCGACATTCCCACCAACAGTGAAGGAGTGTCCCTTTCTCGCCACATCCGCGCCAGCATCGGTTGCTTTTGTTCTTTTGAATGTGGGCCAGTCTCTGAGGTGTGAGATGGTATCTCATTGAGTGCCCAAGAACAGATGACTGGTTAAAGAAACTCTGGTACATCTACACAATGGAGTACTACGTAGCTCTTAGAAAAGATGAAGTCATGAAATTTACATACAAGTGGTACAATATGGAAAGTATCATGCTAAGCGAAATGAGTCAGAAAAAGAGGGATAGACATAGAAAAATTGCATTCATCTGGGGGATATAAAGCAACAAAATATGAGATCAATACCTAAGAATAGCTGAGATCAACACCAGGAGGATTACTCCATAACTTAGAGGCCAGCCGGATATTCTAGGGGAAAGGGCAGTTCAGATAGAGAAGGGAACACCAAATGAAAGGTGTTTGGAGGATCCTCCCAGGAGGGGAAATGCATGTTGAAAGTAGACTATGGACTGAACATGATTGCCACTCAATGCCTCTTTTGCAGACCACAACACCCAAAAGGAGAGAGAGAACAAAGGGGAATGCCCTGCCACAGAGGCAGGGTGGGAGGGGGGGTGGGGGGAAATGGGCACTGGTGGAGGGATGGGTATTTGATCATTGTATGATCGAAACTCAGGCACAAAGATTTGTAAATCTACAACTGTACCTCATGGTGCTTCACTAATAAAAAAAAAAATCATGTATTTCCAGATTCATAGTAGGAACACAAGACTGGTTCAACATGAACATCAAATGTGTGTTACCAAACTGAAAAGAAAAAAAATCATACAATGAATGGGTACAGAAACAGCATTTAAAAAAATACCAACACAGGGACCAGGAGATGACTCAATGGCTAAGGCCTTTGAGTTCCTTCTCCAGGGCTCCTGTATGCACTGAGCTCTGCTGTCTGACCCCAGCAATGCACAGCCAGGAGTGTGTTAGCACCAGCACTCAAGAGTCCGACCCCTGGCATGCAGTGCAGGTATAGAAACTCTTTAAAGGAGTGTAATTCCTGGTGAGCACCACACCAAAGGTGCAGGCAATATAACTATCCGATCCTGTGCCATCACACTAGCTGGGGGTGGCGGGGAGGTGCGGATGTGTGGGGAGGTGGGCGAATGTGGTGTAGGTACTTAACATCTACTGAATAAAACACCAAGCAAATCAGGACAAGAAGGGAACTGATAAAAGGCCTGATAAAAGGCATTAACTCAGCTAACGATACTCAGCCACAGCATACTTAGTGGTTAAAGATGAATACTTCCCCAAACGCCCAAGAAAGAGAAGAATTTCAGTTCTCAGCACGTCTAGTCAACATTTGACTCATGTTCTAGTCAGTGTAATCAGGAAAGAGAAAATAAAAAGTGTCCTGATTTGACAGGAAGAAATAAAACTTCACAGATGCGATGGTCACCATTCTAGAAAATCTGACAAGAATGTTTTAAAAGAACTAGAATTTAGCGAGGCTGTAACATACAAGATCAGTATACAAAAACATGTATATAAACTAGCAACAATCAAAAAACTGTGTAAACGCCATTTTCAATAGGATTAATAAAAGTGAAATACTGGGCCAGAACAATGGTACAGCCTGTAGGGCACTTGTGTTTCATGCAGTCAACCCAGGTTCTATTCCTAGTAACCCATATAGTCCCACTGAGCCCAGAGCCCCGTGTGCAGAGCTGGGAGTCTATCCTGAGCACATGCAGGCCAAAGGAAAAAAAAAAGTGAAATACTAAGGGATAAATCTAACAAGATTTCCCTCCACTAGAGGTGACATAGGTACAGTGGTGGAGGATCTTGGGCACTTTGGATGGGTGTCCTGTGTGTACTAGTACCATAAATCTTAACACATTTTTAACCATGGTGTAACCAAAACTGTAATAAAGTCAATGATTTTGGGCATATTAAAGGGGTAAAAGTTTTGCCTTAGATGCAGCTCACCCTGGTTTGCTCCTATGCACCATATATGGTCCCCTGAGCCACACCAGGAGTGATCCCTGAGTACAGAGCCAGGAGTAAGCCCTGAACACTGCTAGGTGTCGCCCAGAGGCCACCTCCAGATGATTTCCTCCAAACAATCTATATAGACTGAACATAATACCAGTAAAAATCTGAGAAAGTGCTTTTGTAGAGTACGTCAAATACAAAAAGAATACAGAAAATGACATAATATAATCTGAACTCTAAATCAGACAGTTAAAAGGTTTTGTAAGAAATGTACTAGAAAGGGTTTATATTAGAATTCGGACTGTATGTGGGTCACTGGGATTTAGAGCAGCATTTCTCAACTACGAACCATATGGTCCTGTGCGCCCACAGGGTATTCCAAGAGCCACAGGTAAAAGTCTTGTAATTAGGGGGCACAGCTTGAGATTAGGGTGCCAACCAGTAGGACAGGTGGCATAGGAAGGAAACAAGTTCAGAAGGCGGTTATGAGTGGACAAAGGTTGAGAAGCAATGCTTTGGAAAATGCTTATTTTCACTTTCATCTTTAGATACGTTTTCTTAAAACATGTATTACTTAGCCTCTTTATTAACACTAAATATTTCAAGTTGGCTACCAAATGTCTCTTCTGCTTTGTATAAATTATTAAAGATATCAAAATAAATTAACAATATCAATATATATAAACCCTTAATACAGAATTATACAAAGTGTATGTAGAAAAATTTACCATATCCAAATAAGATACCAGATTAAAGCTATTATTTTCAGAAATAACTAGTTATTGAAATGAGAAGTAGGAAAGAAACTTACCGATAACCGTAGAACCCCAAAATTGGCAAAATCATAAATGAGTATCTGGTAGAACAGCTCTTCACTGGGGAAAAAAAAAAATGAAGTCTGAGAAAAAACTGAATCCATGCTTGAGAGCCAAGCAATAGAGACAAGATGGAAAAAAAACAACAACAACAACAACAACCAAAAAACCCTGATTCAGAGAGGATGAAATGATGGTTCTGCTCTGTGGAGGAACCTGGCTAAGCCATCTAATAAATACTCCCAAACTTCCAAAAGCTGGTGCCCCCTATGACTAGCAGCCGGGGCTTCCATACACAAGCTAAAGCTTTAAGATTGTCTGGCTGACTTCTCATGTCGATTCTTTTCTCTTTTTTGTTTTACAACTCCCTGCCCTTCCACTCCCCTTCTTGTTTTCTTAGAAACTACCAGATAAGAAGCACTGTCCCACTTAACAGATGGGATACCTAAAGAAAAGCACCCTGTCCCCATGCTGACCTAAACAGGAAGTGCTTGAGCCTGGATTTGAATCACTGTCTGAGTCCCACCCCTGTCTGCTCCGACTCCCTCATGCCTCCTCCTGTTCTCCAGTGCTCTCCCCCTCAAACGTGCATCTGCAGCCCCACTTTCTTCATGTGCTCCTGGGTTACCTCAGTTTGCTGGTATTGAGAAGATATAACTTGGTCTGATGCTGTGCCAAGGCCCACTGAGGATTCACACAACCCACAAATGAGTGGTTATTCAGCATCTCCCGGAGTGCTGGAAAACAAAAAAATTAAGTCACTGCATTCTATCAATGCCTTTTCATACCCCAAAGTCCCAAGCAGCAGAGGACATGAAGCAGAGAGGCTGAGCCAAAGCTCCTGGTAAAACACAGACAAGACAAAATCTACTTAATCTTTATTGATGTATTTACTGTGATTGATTTTTGGGCCATACATGGCAATGCTTCAAATTTATTCCCGGTTCTGTGCTCAGGAAATCAGATGTGGTGCTGGCATTTAAACTGGGGTTGGCCACGTTAAAATGCCTTAACCCCTGTACCTTCTCTCCCACCTTCTTACCTTTGAAAGAGCAGTCTGTCAAAAGATTAATGACTCTTCCGTGATCTCAACCTAAGACCTACTTAGATCTACTTCCCAGAGAAACACTAAAGCCAACTTTATGACAACTCACCAGAGGAACCTAGGGATTTATGTACTTTAGCTTTCGAGGCTCTGAGATCTATGTGGAGAAAAAAAACTGCAGCATTCAACATCTGAAATGGGGGTAAGGGGCCTAAGGAGAGAGATCACAGAGCTGCATCCTCAGCGAAGAGAAAACACTGGTAGGTTCAAGGCCCACTTAGGACCTGGGGCTGGGGATAAGGAAAACTACTACACCCCAGGGCACGTGTACCCATCACCTGGTGCTCACATCCTTTTGCAGCCAGGATTCACATTAAGCAGACTTTTGGAACACAGGATCTGGGCATTTTAATTTAAACTGATGCCCAGACTGAATATTCCATATCCTTAAGCAAATCAAATTTGTATTCACTCCAGGCTTCAAATAATCCCGCACAGTAAGGTACCGGCCACAAGCAGTCAAAACATTAACAAAACACACAGACAAGTCATGTGTGTTTAATTCGTGAAGAAACCACAGAGTTTGATCAGCAAATACTTAGGAGACTGGAAGTTATCAGCAAAGAAGATAAAATAAGCGTGTTCAGTATGCTTAAGATATTAAAATAATAAGCAATATGTAAGTAGCAGAGTTCCAAAGGAACCAAAATGTTTCCAACAGTGAAAACTGTATTTACTGACATTAAAAGTCAAGATAAAGTTAACTTTAACATTCAAGTTGGCAAGGCAAATGACAGGAAGCTTACTGGAAGGGATTCCTCAGAATGCAGTTCAGAGAGACAGGTGGAAAATATAGAAGATATTATGGAAAATATGAAAGATATTACACAGCCTAAAGAATAAAAAAAAATTTATAATCCAAGTTACAAGGGGTAAGGGGAGAGACAATACCTGATGACTTTAAGGACAAGTATCTGAGAATATGCTTGAAATGATAAAAGGCAAAGTCTCAGGTTCGAAAAAGTCCAACAAACCCCATACCAATTGCACATAAAATAGTGCAGGATCCCCAAGAAAAAAGACCCAGAATGCACTCAGGGACAGGAGCGTGGTCACCCATATAATGATCAAATATAGGACGCACTGCTGGACTGTCATCAGCAACAGTAGAAGCTAAAAGAAAATAACAACACCAAGAAAAAAATAATTGCCAATCTGGGATTTTATTATTAAAAAAAATGAGGGGGGGGGGGACTGGGGGTTTGAGTCCCACCCAGCAGTGCTCCGGGACCAAAGTCAGGTGCCTCAGCTGCTGTGCTGTTTTTCCAGCCCCAGCCTGCCAGTTTAAATCCACAATTACGATCATGACCATCCTGTTGTTCGTCGATTGCCTCGAGCAGGCCCCAGTAACGTCTCCTTCGTCCTAGCCCTGAGATTCAAGGCTCTTTCAGGGTTAGGAGAATGAGACCCATCATTGTTACTGGTATTTGACATATTGGGTACGCCACGGGGAGTTTGCCAGACTCTGCCGTGTGGGCAGGTTACATTCGGCAGCCTGCCAGTTTGTCCAAAGTAAGCATGAGATGATAAGATGTCGCTCGGCTCTGGGTCTTGGCCTTTGATGGGATTACACGGAGCCAGGGGGCCAGTTGGTGGGTGTGACCCCTGCCTACTGGAATATGGAGGATCTGGGTGGAGGATGCTCAGCCCCGATCCGAGCAGGCTTGTAGATCTCAGTCCCGGGACCCGCATGCCTTTGTTCCTCTGCTGGTACCATCATGCCTGTGGAGAGTGGTCTCAGCATGGTGGTGGGTGGTTCTGCAGGTCTTCGGCTGCAGGAGCCCTGGTTGGGGCAGGGAGGGAAACTCAACCCGCTCCCCTCCAAGGGGCCCTGGCGAGGACAGCCAGGCGTGGGGGCAGGAGACCCAGAAAAAAAATTTTTTTTCAAAACAAAGTCAGACAAAAGCAAAGCCAAGTTTGCCACCTCAGGCTGCACGAAGGCGGACCCCGAAAGTGTGAAGGAAAAGAAGCACAAGCACAAACAGACAGACGAATATGACGACGTGTAATGGAACAGGAAAATGTCCTCCTGGAAACTGGGAATCAAACACCAGCCACAGAAGATGCTGTCCAGACAGGGATGAAGTATAAGCATTTTAGGAGACAGTCTAGGAAAGTACCTTTATCACAGAGTTAGGAAGGATTTTCTAAATAAGATTAAAAAACCAATCTCTAAACATCAGACCGGAATCCATAAGGTACATTGAGGAAAAAGTTGGCAAAACCCTCCATGACATAGAAGCTAATGGTATCTTCAAAGATGTCATGCCGCTGGCCAAGCAAGTGAAAACAGAGATAGACAAATGGGACTATCTTAAACTAAGAAGCTTCTGCACCTCGAAAGAAACAGTGACCAAAATACAAAGACAGTCTAGAGAATGGGAAAGAATATTCGCCAAATACACATCCGATAAGGGGTTGATATCAAGGATATACAAAGTACTTGTTGAACTCCACAAGAAGAAAACATCCAACCCCATCAAAAAATGGGGAGATGAAATGAATAGAAACTTTCACAAAGAAGAAATCCAAATGGCTAAAAGGCACATGAGAAAATGCTCCACATCATTAATCATCAGGGAGATGCAGATCAAAACCACAATGAGATATCATTTCACACCAGAGACTGGCCCATATCCACAAGAACAAAAGCAACCAGTGCTGGCGCGAATGTGGCGAGAAAGGGACCCTCCTTCACTGCTGGTGGGAATGCCGACTGGTTCAGCCCTTTTGGAAAACAGTACGAACGATTCTCAAAAAATTAGAAATTCAGCTCCCATTTGACCCAGCAATACCACTCCTGGGAATATATCCCAGAGAGGCAAAAAAGTATAGTCGAAGTGACATCTGCACTTGTTTGTTCATTGCAGCACTCTTTACAATAGCCAGAATCTGGAAAAAACCTGAGTGCCCGAGAACAGATGACTGGTTAAAGAAACTTTGGTACATTTACACAATTGAGTACTATGTAGCTGTTAGAAAAGATGAAGTCATGAAATTTACATACAAGTGATACTACAAAGTATCATGTTAAGCAAAATGAGTCAGAAAGAGAGGGATAGACATAGAAAGATTGCATTCATCTGGGGAACATGAAGTAACAATATAGTAGACTAATACCCAAGAATGGCTCAGATTAGTACCAGGAATTTTACTCCATGGCTTGGAGGCCAGCCACACATGCTAGGGGAAAAGGGAGCTCAGATAGAGAAGGGAACATCAAATAAAGGGTGTTGGGAGGATCCTCCCAGGATGGGAGAAGCATGCTGAAAGTAGACTATAGACCAAACATGATTGTCACCCATTGCCTCTTTTGCAAACCACAACACCCAATAAGAGAGAGAGAACAAAAGGGAATGCCCTGCCACAGAGGCAGGGTGGGATGGGGAAGATGGGGGGGTGGGAGGGATACTATGATCCGTGGTGGTGGGAAATGGGTACTGGTGGAGGGATGGGTATTTGATCATTGTATTAATTGAAACGCAAGCACAAAAATCTGTAAGTCTACAACTGTACCTCATGATGTCTCACTATAAAAATTAGAAAGAAAAAAACAATCTCTAAAGAACAGCTCATAAAAAATCTGCCTCCTTCAAAAAATTAAGAAGTGCTGTTAATAAAACATTAATGAAAAATATGCATTTAGAGAGCGATAGCACAGCGGGTAAGTGTTTGCCTTGCACGTGGCCGACATGGGCCAACCCAGGTTAAGATTCCTCTGCCCCTCTCGGAGAGCCTGGGAAACTCCCGAGAGTATCTCACCCGCACGGCTAGCTTGGCAAGCTCCCTGTGACGTATTCAATATGCCAAAAACAGAAACAAGTCTCACAATTTGTTGTGAGACATTACTGGTGCCCGCTCGAGCAAATCGATGAACAACCCGAGGACAGTGCTACAGTGCCACAGTGCTACAGCGTTTTCATGTAGCTAATTACTACTGACCACATATATCAAGAACTTCTGAAATCAAATAACAAAAGCAGGTAAAAGACTTGAATAGGCAGCTAACCTAAAAGAGGAAACATACTATTCAATTTTATCAGTGACCAGATAATTGTGAATAAAAACCTTTATCAAATACCACCTCACAACCACCCAACTAGTAAAAAAGTCCGACATTCTCAAACACAGAAAGTGGAGCAAAAAATAGTGACAGGGACTGGAGTGATAGTACAGTGAGTGAGGGGGTAGGGCGGTTGCCTCACACCCAGCTGACCTGGGTTCGATTCCTGGCATCCCATATGGTTCCCTGAGTGCTGCCAGGAGTAACCCTTGAGCATTTCCAGGTGTGCCCCCCACCCCAGAAAAGCCTTAGGGACATTGTTGGTGGGGATGGGGATGTAGTTACACAATCTCTTCAGAAAATTACCTGCCAGGCTGGCGTGCAAGCTTCCCACGCTAAGCTCTCCTGGGAGTGATTCCTAAGCTCCCCAAGACGAGATCCACAAACCAAAAATAAAAAAAACCAACAGCAACAACAACAAAAACAATTGCTATTTATGGCCACTCGGTCCTCTCCATGGCTTGGTGAGGCCTGTAGGAGGAGGGAGAGGACAAATGTCCTTCAACTGTCCTTCCAACAGTGACTTTTTTCCCCCCTTGCTTTTGGGTCACACCTGTTGATGTTCAGGCGCTACTCTTGGCTGTGCACTCAGGGATTACTTTTGGAGGTACTTGGGGGACCATGTGGGATGCCAGGGATCAAACCCTGGTTGGCCGCATGCAAGGCAAACACCTACCCCGGTACTATTGCTCTGGCCCCAACAGTGACATCTCTTAACACAGAAAAATAAGCCAGAGTACATTAAGACAAAGGAATTGTAGGAATACATGCACGCATATGTACAACTTAAAATTGAAGCACTGCAAAAATACACTAATTTCATTTCTATAAAACTTAAACTTGTAAAAGTAAACAGTAAGCATTTTAGAACTACAAACATGACAGTAAGACAGAAAGTAAAGAGGAAAATGCTAAGATCTGGGAGTATAATCATCCCTCAGGGAGAGGGACAGGGGGTAGAGTCAGGGAACTGCACACAGAGGCTTCAAAGGTGATGCCAAGGTCGATTCTGGAGCAGGTGTCTACCTGCTTCTAAGGATCTTACAGGTTTTGTTTTGGGCCACACCCAGCCATGCTCTGGGGTGATACACTTCCTGGCTCTGCACTCAGGGATTACTCCTGAGTAATTTTTTTTTTAATTCGAAGAATTAAACTACCCCTACCATGAATGGTCTAGAGAAAGAGGGAAGGGCTGGAAGGTGAGGGGCAGTGAGAAGTGTATGTATGTTTTGCTCTAGTTTTCATATGTTTTGCTCTAGTTTTCGAGAACTGTGGCCACCACAAATGAATGCCCAGCTTTGTTTTGTTTTGGGAGTAAACTGGCAGTCCTGACACACCATGTGTGGAATTTAAACCACAACACACCCAGCTTGGTGCTTCTGAACCACAACACACTCCCTGCATAGTGCGAACTATGCAGTAGCAGGGATCGAACCCTGGTCTTCTGAAGGCAAAGCATGTGCTCTAGCCCTTGCACTATTTCCCCAATCAAGACTGCTACCTAAGTTCTGGGTAACTCCACTCTCTGCCCTTACCCCTGCTTAGAAAAAGAGATTCCCTCTGCTCCCACTGGAAACTCAATGTCTGCAGGATGTGCTGTGTAGGTGGAGAAATGATTATTTTAAAAGCTGGAGAACATCAAATAAGCTAGAATAATGAGGCACTGGAGGAAAGAGCCGTGTAATCCGCTAAAAAGAAAAAAAGGTCAGAGATTTTTTTTCCTCGCAGAGTTTTGCATAGAATTTTGTGGCACATCCAAAGCGAGTGAGGCAGAGCTGAGCCCCGGCAGAGGGGGAGGAGGCATGTACTCCCAACAGACCTGTAGGGCACTTTTTCAGGACAAATCTCAGAGAGATGCCAGCAGTGGGCCCACCACAGGCAAAGATCTCTGGAGCCTTAGCAGAATGGGGGCAGACTGAGTCCCCACACCCAGCCAGAGGCCCAGAGCTCCACCCACCCACATCCCGCTGCTGCCAGAGAAATGGCCCAACTTCAAGACTGACCTTGGAGAGATGCTAGAGATGCCTGCAGCTGATCATCCCAGCTCCAAAGTCCCTATAGCACACAGCCACATATGCAGCCACACAACACCTCCCAACTTCACAGAGCTGACAGCTCAGGAGAAACAGAAAAATTAGATGAGAAAACTGAGTAGAAGTCTACTAAGCTCAAGTGAATGCTGAAATACAGAATACAGAAGGCCCACCTCACACCTAACAGCTCAGTAAATCCTCAGGCCATGACCCTGGCAACACCACTCTGTGCCTGCTTAAGGGAGCAGTCTCTTAGCGTTGGGGGTAACTCAGGATACTGGTGGAGAATTGGTGCTGAAAACTGAATACCTAAACAACTGAATTGTGAAAAACTTTGTAAATCACAGTGTTTAAATAAGTAATGACCAGTGCTGGTGTGGATACATGAAGATAAGGACTCTCATTCATTGTGGGTGGGAATGTAGACTAGTGCAGCCTTTCTGGAAAACAATGTAGACATTCCTCAAAAAACTAGAAAGTGAGCTCCCATCTCACCCAGCAATAGGACTCCTGGGAATATACCCTGGGGGCCCAAAAACACACAGCAAAAACACCATCTGCACTCCTGTGTTCATTACAGCACTATTCACAATAGCCAGAATCTGCAAACAACCCGAGTGCCTGAGAACAGACGACTGGATGAAGAAACTGTGATACATCTACACAATGGAATACTATGCAGTTGTTTAAAAAAATGAAGTTGTGCCATCTGCTTACAAATGGATGGAAATGGAGAGTATCATGCTGAGTGAAATGAGTCAGAAAGAGAGGAACAGATACAGAATGACTGCACTCATTTGTGGGAATCTATAAAAATAAAATAGTATGAGACTAATAACCAAGGCCAGGAAAAACAGGGGCTAGGAGGACTGGTCCATGGTTGAAAGGTTGCCACAAGTGAGTTGGGGGCAAAGCACAGTTAGGATAGAGAAGGGACCAGGATGACAACAATAGTTAGAAATGATCACTCTGGATAAAAACTGAGTGCTGAAAGTAGGTGAAGAGCTACATATGATAACCTATCAATATCTGTATTGTAAACCATAACGCCAAATAGGAGAGGGGGGGAGAGAGGGAGAGAGAAAGAGAGAGCGCTAAAGAGAGAGAGAGCAGGAAGAGAAAAGCAGAGTAGAGCCTGCCAGAGATGGAAGGCGGTGGCCGGAGGGAAACTGGGGACATGGGTGGTGGGAAATGTATACTGGTGTGAAGGAATGGGTGTTGGAACATTATATAACCGATACCAAATCATGAACTCAACCTTGTAACTATTCTCATTGTGATTCAATAAAATAATTTTTTTAAAAAAAAAATCAAGCTTAAAAGGGAAAAAGAGCACACAGGAAAGGCAGGGCAGGCTTTCCCAAGCCGCTGCAAATGAGCAGTGACCGACAGGAAACAAGAGGCCACCGTGTCGGAATGGCCATCTCAGAAGCCTGAGAACAGCGGGAAACGCACGAAACTGCTTTTCAGAGCCTCGCATCTTTCCAAAGTTCACCTGGAGTTTGCACTTTAGGCTATCACGCTCCTGAAATCTAACCAATTTAATCACGAAACGTACGACAGGTCAAAACCGGGAAGGCCATGGCTGACTGTGCACACCCAAGGGCAGAGCTGCCAATGAAGCCCCAGCCAGTGAATCATGTGCTCGCCCAAGAAGTAGAGTCAGGGCTGTAGTGAGGGTCAAGTCTCCCTTACATCATGGCCCGGGTGCGAGTGGACTCCGCAGGGGTGCTCCGAGCAGAGGGGCCTCTCCAGGTAGTGCCCGGGGAGGCAGTGATGGCAACCTCCAGGGGTGCTCAGGGGACCGCGCAGCACCAGGATCAGATCTAGGGCCTGTGGGTGCTCCATCCCTTTGAGCTCCAGCCCCAGCCCGTTGCCCCCTTTTCATTCCTAAAACCAGAGTCAGCTGTAGAGCAGCAGAAACCACAACGGATTCTACACACCAGCATCACTCCGGCATCTGGGAAGCGATTTCTAAAGAGGACAAGGATCTGTTACTTTGTCTTCAGGAAATAAAAATCTCTAGAAAGCAGGAGAGTTCAGAGGGCTGAGAGCTTGCTTCAGAGCATAGAGGAGGCCTAGATTTGACCCCTGGGCATTGCTGGGTATGGCCCCCAAACAGAATGGGAACAACAGAAAACTACAGACCCTCTACTGTGTAGCAAGCATTTTGTGGATAATTTCTTTTTCCTTCTTTAAAAAAATGCCTTCATTTATGAATGCCATGTATGTGTTCATTTCAGACCCCATTCCACAGTGCTCATGGCTGACTTCTGGCTTTGTGCTTAGGGGCCACTCCAGGCCACACTCCATGCTCGGGAGACCATGAAGTATGGGGACCTGGCTCAGGCCTCCAGCATGCAAAGCACGCAAACAGCCCACCGAGTTCTCTCTCCAGCCCTGAAGCTTCACATCGCATGAGCAAAATAATTACACAATGAATTTCACTTTTCAGAGGAGGAAAAACGGAGGTTAAGTCAGGAGTCTAAGGTCACACAGCAGTAGGGGTGCTCCCAAGGTCGCACAGCAGTAGGGATGCTCCCAAGGCACGAACACGGAACCTGCAGGTCTGTGCGCTCCCTGCCAGGCAAACAGCAACCCCCCTTCCAACCTCAGGACTAGCTGCCAATGACTCCCTGCTTCGATCTGCAACTGAAATCACACTGAAGACTTTCAACAATGGCCTTACTCCGTCTCCTGTGTTTTGGTGAAAACGCCAACGAACTCTAATTAAAACCAGAGACTCCTTTCCTCTTTCTCGCCTCGTGGAGAACTGTGTGCCAGCCGCTGCTGGCTGAGGAAGCAAAGGAAAGAATGCTCGGCACAGCGGCCACCCTCCCAGAAACGCTTTCTTCATCTCCTGACTTCCCCTCGGCAGCGCCGCCCCTGCAGGCCCAGGCAGACCACGGCACTTACGTACTCTCATGTCCCCGCTGATTTATTTCTTCCTGGAGGCTCAGGACACTGGTGAGGTTAATGATCCTTCTCCGGGGGGTACACGCTGCGGTCATTTCCTTTCTGGAATCATCTTCCACCATTTCCACATCAGAGTTTTCCCGGTGTCTCTTTCTACAATGAAGAGAAGGAACTGGCAGTTCACGGCTGTTCTTCGTTACTATTATTATTATTATGATGATGATGATTTCAGCCGGATTGCCTCTGGGCGGGCAAGGCCTCTCTCCCTCTCTGCTGGTTGTGCGCAGCTGTGGAGGCTCCCAATGTGGGAAGCAGGTTTCCCGGCAACCCTCCTTCATCTGACAACGGTGAATGCCCAGAGCAGGCTGAGGAGGCGCGGATGGACATACGAATGAGTGCGCCCTGCCAAATCTCACTTATCCTCTGCCCATCCGTCCACCAGACCCTGTTCCAGCAGCGCAAACCACAGCGGTGACCACGACCAAGTGCCTGCCCTCATCATGCTTCCTCGGGGGAAGGAATCAGAGAGTTCCTGAAAAGACATCCTTCAAGTAGCAAGAAACGCAATAAAGAAACTAAGGAAAAGAAACGGAAGTGAGTGGTGGGGAGGGGAGAGGAGAGGAATCTATTTTGTGCGCCATGATTTCTAATACTATGACAGGACTTTAAGTGAAAAGGACCACAGAGGCCTCTGGCAGAGGAGACACCTGAGGTGAAGCCTGAGTGACATGAAGCTAGAGTCTTCCCCATGGGGCGAGGGGTCCAAGGGGGACGAGCAGCCCTGAAAGTGCAGCTGAGCACCAAGAGCGGCACTGCCGAAGCTCCAGGAGGATCGGTCCCGAGTTCGTCAACTTTGGAGCTCAGCAATGGTGAGACACTGACTCTGGCTGGGGATGATTTCACTGCCTGCGGTGCTAATTCACAGGTGATGAACAGAATCCTAATGCTTCCCGGGAAGACTATTCAGAGCTTGGATGGGGAGAATGAGCGCCAAGTACCTGGCATGCTTTAACACTCTCCAGGAGGCAAAAGAGCTTTAAAAGTTACAGTGTCTGGCTGACTAAGAAATGAGCAAACTAGAAAAAGCAACTCATTTAAGCTCCAACCATCCACTGGTGCTGCGGTTCTGGTGGCCTCCATGAGTGCACAGAAATAACTGACTGTGGGGAGGGAAAAATCATGCAAAGCTGGAGATACCTGCTTTGCACGCAGCTGACTCCAGTTGGATCCCTGAGCAGAGAGCCAGGAGTAAACCCCGAGCACTTCTGGGTGTGGCCCAACAACTAACCTGTGTCCCTTTCCCCTCGGGCCCCGCCTACCCATAACAAATAACCCAACCCCCACTGACAGATCTATGGAATCTCTACAGACCCTGCAGAACGAACACGTAGTAAGTCCACTCAGTCACTACTATAGTCCTCACTGTACTCTTGCACTCTCTCTACCACCAGTTTTCAGGTTTCAGGGAATTCTTTAATTTGAACTGAAATGGGTTTGAGTGGTTTTGAGTAGGTAAAGGTGGTAAAGGCCCTCCCGTTGATCATCGATTTGCTCGAGCGGGCCCAGTAACGTCTCCATTGGAGACTTTGTTGTTACTGTGTTTGGCATATCGAATACTCTCGGTAGCTTGCCGGGCTCTCCGAGAGGGGCGGAGGAATCGAACTCCGGTCGGCCATGTTGGCCGCTTGTAAGGCGTACGCCCTACCGCTGTGCTATCTCAAATACTCAAGCTATTTTACATTTCTTTTCTTTTCTTTTTTTTTTTTTTTCTGATTTTTGGGTCACACCTGGCAATGCACAGGGGTTACTCCTGGTGGTGCTCGGGGGACTCTATCGGGATACTGGGAATCGAACCCAGGTCGGCCACATGCAAGGCAAACGCTCTACCCACTGTGCTATCGCTACAGCCCCACATTTCTCTCCTTAGGGAAAGATGCTTCCAAGGAAGCATCACCTCTGCTGTTGAGGCTTTATCGAAACCACTATTGCTAGAGAGATAATACAGCAGGTAGAGTTCTTGCCTTGCACACAGTCAACCTGGGTTCGATCCCCAGCATCCCATATGCCCCCCTGAGCACTGCCGGGAGTGATCCATGAGCACAGAGCCAGGAGCAAACCCTGAGCACCACCAGGTGTGGCCCAAACACAAAACCAAAAAAACAGGGGCAGGAGAGATAGTACAGTGGGTAGCCTGGCACACAGCCAACCTGGGTTCGATCCCTGGCACTCCATATGGTCCCCACAAGCCCTGCCAAGAGTGATCCCTCAAAGCAGAGCTGAGCAGCTCCAGGTGTGGGTAAAAACAAAACCAAAAAATTCTTAGAGAATACAATTTTTGATTGTTCTTCTGAAACTTTTTTTCTTGAACTCATGTCTAGAATAGTGAGCAGTTACAGTATCTGGGAGGTCCCAGGGCTGGACACCTGTCAAGCCACGACCAAAGGCGGAGAGAGAACAAGGCCACGGCACTGCCCCACTGGGGACTGAGAACAGGTCAGACAGACAGGAGATGTAAGAAGCCCCATGGACAGGCTAGTCTGGGGCAGTTTTCGCAAAGAGCAGACCTGTGCTATTCCCCCAAATTCATACCTGGGGTTGTCCGGACTGGAAGGGGGGCTTCGCTTCTCTGATTTGTCTGAGGTCTTCTCTGCGGCAGCCCCCTGTAAGCTCTGATCTTTGGCAGCCCCTTCAGCCGGGGCTGGGAGTTCCAGCATTTCCTGGTCTTGGTGCCTGACCCTGCCACTGGGAGCATCTGGTTGGTCTTCTGGGCCCGAGGCCTGGGGCTGAGCAGATGGGGCCGTGCTCAGGGGCTGCAGAAAAGCATCGAGCTTCTGTTCCCGGGAGTCTGTGCGAACCATCTGGTGAGCATAGACCTTTTCGCCACTTCCAGAAGCAGCTGAGGGGGCCACACCCGCAGCAGACTTGATCACCTCCCCAGAAGGGCCGGCCAGGGCTGGTAGTAAAGTCTGTATTCAAAAAGTAGAAAGATTCAGAACATGAATTATGGAATTAGAGGTGCCAACACGAAGCAGAGTGGGAAAAAAGAAAGAACCAGGTATAATAAATTATCATCACAGAATTCTCAAAGAAGCAATCTGACCAAAATTCCAAATATAAGACATGGCAAATGTGAGATTCAAAAATTCAGGAAAATTCTTAGAATCTTAAAAGCCAGAAATGGAAACACTGGCATAAAACTCAAATTTTGGGCTTTCCCCCTGCCATTAGAGAATTTAAAAAATTGTAGCAAAATTTACTTAAAATGCATATACTTAAAATATAGTTATACTGAAGTATGTATGACTTAAGTCTATTTTAAAATACACTTAAAATTTATTATTTAACTGTAACAGTATAGTATTTAACTACACTGATGGTGTTGAATGTTTTCATCCTCCCAGACGAAATTCTCTTTCCATTAAATACTAACTCATCACTCCTGGTGCCCCAAGCTTTTAGCAGCCACAATTCTATCACCTATTTTTTTTTTTTTTAATGTAGGAGTACTGCTATTTATTCAGCCACTGATTAGGCTGATTGAATTGTGCATAAACTCCACCACTATCATCTATTTTTAAACAGACATATTTCCTAGCTCTGTGTATCAGAAAGACCTAACAGCAAAGACCACCCAGTAGCAATGAGGACCCCTGATGCCAGATTACAGTCTCTAAATACCATTTTCCACTCGAGAGCTCCTTGGAGAAATGGCTATAATTCCAGGGCTTGGGCTGGAAAAGTCCAGAGAGAGTCACAACAGTTTGTCTTGCCAGAAACAAGGAAACCATTAAACACTAAGTGAATGAGGACAAAGATGCAAGAGCAGCACCTTGAAGAGGCATCCACTGGCCTAAAATGGGATAATGCAAGCATGAAAAAAAGAGGAAAATGAAGGGCCAGCGAGACTGTATAATACGGCAGGGAAGGCACTTGCTTTGAACACAATTGACCTGGGGTCAACCACAGGACGCCATGTGGCCCCTGGTGATCCCTGAGATCAGAGCCCAAGAGTCAGCCGTGAATGCAGCCAGGCATGTTCCAAAAGCCAAAAAGGAAAAGGGCTATAAGCAATTAATTACATCATATTGCTTTTATTTATTTAAAAAAATTTTTTTTTGCTTTTTGGGTAATACGTGGCGATGCTAAGGGGTATTCCTGGCTCTGCACTCAGGAATTACTCCTGGCAGTGCTCAGGGGAACATATGGGATGCTGGGAATTGAACCGGGTCGGTCGCCTTGCAAGGCAAACGCCCTACCCGCTGAGCTATTACTCCAGCCCCCATATTACTTTTAACAACTAAGCCAAACTACCAAGGGAGAGAAAAAGAAGAGGGCGAAAGGAAGACAGGGAGAGGAGCAGCCATTAAAGATTACCGGAGATCCCAAGGACAACAATGCAGCCTTTGCAAATCACTAAAGGGATACACCACCCACTAGCCATGCTTTCAAGTATGAATTTTCTATTTCAACAGAACCGGTAACAACCAACAAAGCAGGAAAGTTACTCTACATAAAAAAAAACTGAGTTAGTGCTCAATAAATGCACTGCACTGCACTCTCCTCCCGTTGTTCATCGATTTGCTCGAGTGGGCCCAGTAACGTCTCCATCATGAGACTTGTTACTGTGTTTGGCATATTGAATATGTCATGGGTAGCTGCCAGGCTTTTGCCGTGCAGGCGAGATACTCTCGATAGCTTGCCGGGCCCTACAAGAGGGGCGGAGAAACTGAACCTGGCTTGGTCAGGCTGGCTGCACTAAATGATTCTTTAAAAATCCTATTCATTTTTACAGTGCTGGGGACTGAATATGACTCCAAGCCCATCTATATACTCTAATGCTAAACCACATCCCTCATCTAGAAAATTGTACTCTAATAATTCCTGAGAAATAACTGATTCAGGTCCTGTTGAATGAACAGCGAAACATTAAGCTACTGATGAGGAACTTGACAGGAGGCATGGTGGCAGCCCCATCCCAACTCGCTGCAGACCAGCATCACAGGTGGGATGCGGTTCCTGCTGGGACGTGAAAGGAAGCATATGGCTGGCATCACCAATCTAGAATCCTTGCCCAAAATCCTGAATTCTGGACAGAAGCATGCTTCTGGATGGAAGTTCCAGCCAACAGGTAGAAGCAGCACTCCCCTCATTGGTCTCTGGACCTCTCAGAAGCCCGAGTGCTGCCTACAAGCTCCCCTGCAATCTGACGGGGATCGGGGCCGCGTGCCTGCAGCTGTTGACTGCTGTTCTTGTAGGGAGCACAAACCCTTGCATACCTTTCATAAACCCAGGACTGCCCAGAACCACAGCATGTCGGAACAGTGGGGTCCCTGCAGATCCAACAAGCCAATCTGCTTGATCTGGATGTAAAACTGAAATTCTAAAAAGGGGGGGGGGCAGCTTGGACTCTCACACATGGACAAACTGGATGCCTGCAAGGGAAGGGCCCTATACAGACACGTTCTGTTCTTTCTCCACTGCCTGCAGACCTGGAGATGACCCATTCCACCTTGACTGAGGAAGACATGGAGGCCAGGGGTTCAGTGACAAGAGCATTCACTAAGTCTCTGCTGTGAGACACTGCCTGGGCCCTGACCCCACTTTGGCCCTGCCCCTGCGAGATCAGCCATCCCCTGACCTTCTCAGAGGGAGAGGGTCACGTGTCAAGAGCATCTGCTCTACTGCTGCCTTTGTTCCTTTCCCTTTTGATGTTGGCCCCGCTCAGCGGTGCTCATGGATCACTTCTGGCAGGGATTGGGGGACCCCATGGGACGCCGGAGATCAAATGCGGGTCGGCCGTGTGCAAACCAAGCAAGAGCCCTGTCGGCTGTACTGTCGCTCGGCTCCTTTGCTGCTGAGCCTGTTTTCCTCGTAAGTCACCCAGGGCCCAGAGGGGGCGAGGGCTTCACTACAATCCTTTAGGCGGGCTTCAGGAAGGACCTGCTGCTCAGAGAAGTCTCTCTCCGGCCCTCACCTGGGTGTAGTACATGCGGGAGGAGTTGGAGCCCAGGAGGCGGCTCTCGATGTGCTGCTGCACCCGCTCCAGGATGCTGTCCTCGTGCAGGAAGTGCACCTCGTGCTTGGTGGGGTGCACGTTGACATCCACATTCTGGGGGCTGATCTCTAAACTGGCCGGGGGAGGAAAAGGGGATGACTGATTACCTTGGACGGCGGGGGAATGGAGGAAAGAATCTACACTCCTGGGTTATGCAGTTTCTGGGAGCCTGGGAGAGGCCCGATGATGGGGACAAGTCTCAGCCGGGGGAGCCCAGACACCAGCTCTGCTGAGGTAAGGGCTGCAGGGCTCTGGGCAGGCCACAGCATCTCCGCCTCCCGCTCCTCAGCTGTAAGGTGGATTTGAGATACGGTTTGCTGAACACAACTTTGCATGTAGCACTGTGCTCCCGTTGTTCATCAATTTGCTCGAGCGGGCCCAGTAACGTCTCCAGTGTGAGACTTGTTGTTACTGTGTTTGGCATATGAATACAAAACAGGTAGCTTGCCAGGCACTTTGCATGTATTTTGCATGTTTATTATACGCTTTAGAGTAGTATAAAAACTTAAACCGTTATTACCATCACTCCCAAACTAAAAAGAATTTCTTATTACATAATCTGGGCCACATCACTTGTCTCATGTATAACAATGAATTTACCCCCTTATTTTTCAGTCTTAGATGAGGATCAAGACAGGGATATATGTGAGAAAACTTGCCGTCATCAAAACTTAACACAGAGGTCGGTTTAGACACTTCTTTAGCTATGTCCTCCAAAGGCATTCTTGCATTGTTTTGAAAATGGAGGTTTTACAATGTAAGGTTTCAGGTGCTGGAGGGGCCATAAAGGCAGGCAGTTTCTTAGCCAGGTTCTGGGCCAAAGAACACAGTGAGTGAAGGGGGAAAGGTGCATCTTCTGCCTGTATGAGAGACAGGACACCCTTTCGCCAGCGCTTTATGGGGTGCACTCGGCTCAGCCTCAGCAAACCCATGTCTATCAAAGAGGAAAGAACCAGATCATTTCTGTTCCCTTTGAGTCATGAGTGGCAGGCGTGGTATTGCCTTACCTGAGGTACAGGAACGGGTGTGTGTTTTTGGGCAAGTATGCAGCATACACTGTTTCTATGGCTCTTCGTAAGGAAGTTGACTCTACCAGCCGATCTGGGGGAAAAAAAAAAAGGAAAGCAGTGAGGTGACAGGCCTGCACTCATGCCCGCAAGGACGACAGCTCTGGAATGACATGCACAGCAGAGCCGGGAAGGAAGTGCCTCTAAAGGAGTCACTGTCACCCAGCATCAAGGAGGGCGTCACATTTGTGCTCCCCTCTTGTCTGACCTGCAGAAATGATGGGGCAGTACATTCTGCTCCTGACTTTCCTGCCCTCAGTCAGCCTGTATGGGCTAATCTGCTCAGCCCACTGATCTGCTCGGCCCGGTAGGCCAGATGACATCAGCTCACAGGTTTTTTATCCTGCACCTTCACACGGGTGACACATCACAGGTACCCCATGTGTGCCAGACGGTGCAGCAAGGGGAGCATGTGTTTATACTTTAGTTTTGTTTTTTTTTTCCTACAGGGATTGCAGTTGGTCCACCTCTGGCAGTGGATCATTAAGTGTGATTCTGGGTATTGAACCAAAGTCAGTGATACACACGCCAAGTGTCTTAACCCCTATACTAGCTTAATACAGGAAAGGAGGCAGATTTGAGGGGAAACAATGAAAGTTAGGGAAGAGCAAACTAAATCAGAAGATTATCTAGTTTCAGAACACACAGTCCTTCCCTGTCCTTGACAAATGACCTACTGATGGATTTGCTGTCGGGGTGGCCAGAGACATGGTGTGTAATTACTTCCTATCAGTAAAGTGGGGATGATCTGGGGCCAGAGCAATAGTACACAGCAGATAGGGCATTTGCCTTGCACGCGGCTAACCCATGTTCGATCCCCAGCATCCCGATGGCCCCCTGAGCAGCGCCAGGAGTAATTTCTGAGTGCAGAGCCAGGAAGAACCCCTGGGCATCACCAGGTATCACCCAAAAAACCAATAAACAAATATATAAAATTTTTAAATATAATAAAGTGGGGTTGATCTGAGCAATGTTAATCTCTGCCTGCCCCCTCTATCCAGGCCCCCTCAATAATGCCACCGCACTCTGTGGCATGGGTGGTGGGCAGGCCTAGAAGGAGAATAGCACAGCTGGAGCAGCGCAGCTGAGACTTCCTGTCCTGAGCCATGGCCTGATGACTGTTCTTTGTCCTGGACACCTGAGAGAGCATGCAAGTGTGTCCTGAACTAAGTGACGTGAGGAAGAGTTGGCACCTCTTTGCTACGTGAGGAGCCTGGCAGCCTGGTCAGATGAGCTGAGGGCCTGTGCTTAAGGCCCCAGTAGAAGCACAGGTCTGGCCCCTTGCCCTTATGCTGAGCTTTGCAAGCTTATTCTATAGCCAACCCATGTGTTACCAAGCAGTCTTTCTTCATGGTTAGGAAAATACAAAAGCAACACATTTTCTGAGCCTTGATCAAAGCAAGCTTTGTTATGGCTTCCGTCCTCCCTACAGAAGTAGGTTTTTTTTTTTTTTTCAAGAAAGGATTTGTTAATATAAACCAGTGTACCAGATTGTCCCAGCAGAATATTAGCTTTTTCCTGTTTCTTTATTACTTTGAGCAATTGTTGGGACATTTGTAGCTGATTATTACAATAAGTGTGAGGGGGAAATATACTATTTTTCTGTTTGCTTTTTGTTTGGGGGCCACACCTGGCAATGCTCAGGGGCTACTCCTGGCTCTGGACCCCGGCATCCATATGAGGTGCCAGGGACTGAAGCCAGGTCAGCTGTACGCGATGCAAACGTCTTACCTGCTATACTCTATCGCTATAATCTACAGGAATTTAATTTTCCTTGGCAAGCAAACAAACAAAATATCAAAGAATTGTGACTTGCTTTAAACAAAAAGGTGAAAGAAATTAGGTAATAAAAACAACAGATTTTAATTCTTGATGAAAAATTCAGAACATGTTTAAATTTCCTGCTGTGACCCCGTCACCTCAAAAGCTTATGATGGGCTATCATGTAAAAATGGGGCAGAATTCTGGGCTGGAGAGATAGCACAGTGAGTAGGGCGTTTGCCTTGCACACAGCTGAGCCGGGTTCGATTTCCAGCATCCCATATGGTCCCCTGAGCACCGCCAGGAGTAACTCCTGAGTGCAGAGCCAGAAGTAACCCCTGTGCATCGCCAAGTGTAACCCAAAAAGCAAAAAAAAAAAAAAAAAAAAAAGGCAGAATACAAAATAGAATTTATTAAGTAGTAATCATGTATGCAACCTGTCATCAGAAAGAGAAAGATTGGAAAGGAATGGGAGAAAAATTTATTTAGTGAAATTTTACCCTGATTTCCAGGACTACTTTTTGTATCAAAAATGATGATTTTCTTTATAAAGAGAAATTATGGAGTCAAAAAGAAAATTCTGGGCTGAATATATGCTTTGCATGTAGGAAGCCTAAGTTTGATCCCCATTTTCAGAGGAGCCCTCAGGAAGCAGAAGAGATACCTACTACAGCACCGGGAGTAGATCCCTACTCCCACCCCCACTCCAGAGGCCCTCCTCTCCAAAGCAGAAATGTCAAGACTTAGCTTTCATTTTATTTTGTGCCGCCATGCGTGCAGGTCTCATGCACGTAAGGTATACAGTACTGCTAAGCCCAACTTTTCGGCACTCTAGTTTTGTGGGCCATACCCAGTTGTGTTCAAGGCTTACTCCAGACTCGGCACTCAGGGATCATTCCTGGGCAGGGCTCAAAGGACCAGATGGGATGCCAATGATTGAACCTGGGTCAGCCATGTGCAAGGCAGGTGCTCTACCTGCTGTTCTCTCATTTAGCCGCTACTTTCTGTACTTTAACGACAATCATTATGTAGGAGGCCTTCGCCCTGCTACCTGCACAGCTGCAAACACAGGACCTGACCTAAGAAGAACAAAGGACCACCTCGGGCCTGCATGGAAAGATGCCAATGCTGGCAGGTGAGGAAGGTGTGCTGGCTCCCGGGGCACTGACAGGTGCTCTCTCAAAAGCAAGAACCACGTCCTCCACTGTCAGCTAGCAGTGAGCACCTATCAGAGGGCTGAGCACATGGACAGGAGAAACTATAAACGCTTTCTGAACTGGGAACCACAACTTGGCCAAAAGGCTTCCCTGGGTGCGGTCACACACCTGTGGACAAGGAACTACCCCCATGGTTCCATAAAATTCCCCTCAGAACAGACTCCCTCGCCTGATTCCAATTCACTTACGATTGATGAAGAGTAAGAAGATACACTTCTTCACCGAGTAGTTGGCGTTGGAAATGTAGCCTTTCATTTTGAAGCCGAGGGTTTTATCCTCACATTCAACTTCTATCAATTCGCTAGTTTGGGAAAAAGACAACATTTTGAGGTTTGTGAAAACACTGGGGAATCTGAGCATTCTGAAGAATCAGAGTGGGAACTGCCCAATGAGAACTTCAGGGACTCGGCTGTTTGAGATCCTTTTGGTCCAACCACATGTACCTGCACCCCTGTCCACCCATCTCTCCACCCACCACCTACCTCAGGCCTGGCTCGGTGCTTTCAAACATATCTTTACATCAAGCACAGTTCAAAATGTGAGGATGCAAGGACAGGTCTAAGCTCGGAGGCCTATTTTACTGAAACTTCTGTGTACCTTAGTAATGACCATAGATGTTTACAAGCCCTCATCTCTGCTAAATTCGTGATACTGAGGAGCAGCACAGTGGAACTCCTGGGTGATGCATCCCAGGGTGTGCTCGTGAGATTCACAGGCAAAGGGAGGTTTGCGCCAAACCCACTCTTTTCTGCCTCTGGCCTTCCTGAGTGCTGGTCCCCTTGCCTGGAAAGCTCTACTCCTTACCTCATTAGCACCCCCCTCATTCAGGCGTTGCTTCCTCAAAGAACCTGGCCCCACACATTCTTCCACTGTGAGTGACATTCTTACAGGTCTTTCCAACTACAATGACTCCTACGGGTGCAAGAATCATAATCTGCTCCACGTTTGATTTTCTCCCCTCTAGAACCTAGCTGCTGTCAGCAGGAAGTACTTCCTGAGCACTGGCTGAATGGTCAGGGGTGGTCTGCAGGCAGTACCACGTGCTCCAGGCTGAGCAAAAACAGGTGTGGCTGGCGGCAGTGCCCCCCTATACTGAACTGCCACAGCTGCTTCTGCAGGTGGCTCAAGAGGCTGGTGTTTTAGAATCTCACACTGTGAATTGCCGCCCCAGATAATTTCTGATTTCTTACAGTCGCAGGGATTTCCAAGCATTAAATTTAGTCTTTTTTTTTTTTTTGCTTTTTTTGGGTCACACCTGGCGATGTCCAGGGGTTACTCCTGGCTCTGCACTCAGGAATCACCTCTGGCAGTGCTCTCAGGGGACCATATGGGATGCTGGGAATCGAACCTGGGTCAGCTGCGTGCAAGGCAAATGCCCAACCTGCTGTGCCATTGTTCCAGCCCTAAATTTAGAGTCTTAAAATTTAGTTGTAACATCCTAAAAAGTTTTGCCAGGGCCAGAGGGAGAGAGTAGGTGCTTACTCTGCACACAGCTGACCCGGGTTGGATCCCTGACACGCCATATGGTTCAGGTCCCCCCATGATGCCTAAGCACTGAGCACCACGGGGTGTGGCTCAAAAACAAACAAACAAACAAACAAGTTTTGCCATACAGTTAAACACTGTGCATTACAACTGAGGGTACGTTTTAAACATTGCCACTTATTTAGGAAGAAAGGGTGATTAAAAACAAATGGCCCATTCCCTAATTAGGAAGTTGGTTTTACTTAAGAAATGAATTATTTTTCTCTCAAGAAGAAAACAGGTTTCCAGGATTATAACCGTTTTTACTTTCTGTGGGGAAAGGCAAGTTAGGGGTGCTCTTGTTCATCCGTGTGTGCCCACCATCTGCTGTAAGCCTGGCTTATGGAAGGGGCTCAGTATTTCCGCCTAATGTGATGACAGGCACCTAGGGCCTTATAAAGGCCTGCGATTTGGCTAGAAATCTGAAAGTAAAGTGGTGGTTTTCACGCTCTGAGAAGACTGCCAGACGAATTCATAAAACAAGCTGTTTCCTGTCTATGTGATCCTTGACCATGAAGATTTGGTGACGCTATAAATTTGTTGCCACTAGTCAAGGAAATTGTTTAAGGGTAGGAAATCTTTTACTTTATCTTCTGACATCCTTACTTTCTGGCACAAAGCCTCGAATATAGGAAGCAATCTACTAATGCTCAGTGATAATAAATGAAATCCTAAAGTAACCTATGGTGAAAATACAGGAAATGAGGGAGCACTGCAAAATTACAAAATTCTACAATGCTATAAATACTATGCTGACAAAGACGAAGAGTCTTAAAGTCAGACTGTATGTACAGAGGTTCCCCAAGCTTATCTGCCCTCTTTTCAGGGCGAGGTGCAGGGGATGCAAATAGTTTCCATGTCAAGACGATGACTGCCCCCGGGTCATTTCAGCACTTCCCAGCTAGCAGTGTCGCCCACTTGGGGAACCACTAATTTAGAAGATAAACATGTACCAAGAAGTGCCGGCTACGTGCAATGACTGTTGAAAAACCCGAGGCGGGCCTGCATATTTGATTCAAGAAAACTCTTAGGGTAAATAAACGCTCACTTGACAGATCCCAAACTAACATGATTAAATGATAAACCAAGCCCTGGAATGTAAAATGTTTCCTTAACATAGGTTATTAACATACCGACTAACAGCATTTCCAAAGATGGAGCGAATATTGTCAACAGTCGAAGCACTGGGCAGTGTTCGAACATCAGCTACCGTTTCACCCTGCTGATAAACAAAGCAGAAGGGACAACTTCAACTTGTTGCCTTAGTTCTGACTAAATCCTTACCTCTGAAAGTAAACTATTTAAAAAAAAAGTTTCTACTAAAATAGGGAACCACCCCTAATAAATCTCTAATTTTTATTAGAGAAACACCATGAGGTACAGTTGTAGACTTACAAATTTTTGTGTTTGGGTTTCAGTTATACAATGATCCAGTACCCATCCCTCCACCAGTGCCCATTCTCCATCATTTACATTTTTTTTAAAAAATTTTTGTTAGTGAAACACCATGAGGTACAGTTGTAGATTTACAAATTTTTAAAGTAACAAAAAATAGGAGACTAACACCCTAGAGTGGACGAGATCAACTTACTTTTTTAACCGAGAAACTAATGCCTGAATTGTGTATTGCATACCTGCAGAAAAAAAAAAAGTAAGTACTGAGAGGTCAAATGCAAAAAAAAGTCGGAGCCCCATTTTAGTTTAAAACAAGCAAAAATTGGTAGAGTTAAGTGACCTAAGCAAAGATAATACAATCTAATCACTTCCCGTATTTTGTTTTACTCACAGAAAAAGAAGGCATCAGAGACCTCGTAAAGATCTCAATAGTCAATTTTGGCCGAATCAAATGAAAAGAGTCTTGGCCCCCCTTTGTTTTTATAGTCTGCTAACTAGACTCAAGAACAATCCTCACACAATCTCCTTCCCACCTGAAATTTTATTTTCAGTGTCTCAAAGTTATGTTTTGAAAGTGGGGTATCTGACAAACCTCACTTCCACAAGTCCAGTTCTCTTATTTGCTCAGAGCCCCTAACACACCCCCAATTCCATCCTCCTAAACCTAAGGTCTTGTCAATCACCCCGCCTTTACTTGGATGGCCATTTCTTATTACTCCTCCCTCCACAGATGCCACAAACGGAAGAACTATGTCTAACGAAAAACATTTATTCGGTAGCAATGAATTATTCCCTTAACTTAGAACTATAACAACCAGTCAAAATCTATTTTTAGGAGATAAAATTCATACATTGATTTTACTTATTTTCTGTCTTAATTTTTAAGCCACACCAGGTGTGTTCAGGGCTTTCTCCTGGCACTGTCCTTGGGGATCGCTTCTGGAGGGGCATGGAGACTGAACCCAGGGTCTGCCACATGCGAGGCAAGCATCCTACCCACTGTCCGATCACTCTGGCCACTCAGTCTTAATATTATATAGCACCGGGGAAAAAGCAAAACAACTTTTGGAAGTCTATGCAAATGTTTCATTCACTTTAAATTTATTTTTCGAAATAGTAAAACCCATCTGTTACAAGCCAAGAATATCCAAGAGTCCAGAGCCACACTGCAGCCACTGGTGGAGCAGATTAAATCTATCTTAGACATGCTTCCCCCAGACCCATTTCTTTCTCCTTTTGTCAACATGACCGAATCTTTTCTTTGGATCTTTTCTTCAGAAAACTCCCTTTTTTCCTAATCCCCACAGATGTAACCCCAGGTATCCCTGCAGACTCCAGCATAGGATGGGGGAACTCAGCCTCTCTTCAAAAAGACTCAAGCACTCTCCCTAAAATAGACTCTTGAGCATAACAGGGTAAAGAACAGAAGCAACAGGAGTCGAATTACTACATACTAAGCCCCTCACCCTGGCTCCTGTACTCCCCCCAAAGCAGCTGTCCACACTTCTGGATCGTGGTAACTAACTTCCAGCCTGCCAATAAGTTTCTTTGGGCTTCAAGTCGGCCACAGTTCCTCTGTTCTGTCACCCTAATGACTTCGCTGAGGAAGATGCCAGCTGTTCTCTTCTGGGAAGATAAGAGAAAGGTCCCACTGGTGACAGAACCTTGTCCAGAAACGATTCATATGCCACTACGGTTGTTTCCCTTCTAGCGCAGCAACTGTCAAGCGGCAAGCATTGGAATGCATTCTCTGAGCAAGACAGCTCAAAGATCCTCTCAGATTTTTAGACTGTACCTGCCAACAACTTCCAAAATTTTCCCATACTCTTCACTTGGGTTTTTTAAAGCTTTTCTTCTCGTGGATATGTTGTAGAACAGGTCCTCCACCTAAACAAAACATTGATTTTTGTCTTATAAATTCATGGAAGTACATAGAAATAAAAGTCTTAAGCTAGGCAATCAAGCAGTGAGTCTTAATATATTTACCAACAGTACAGTTCTAAGCAGGGATGTGTATGTGTTGGAGGGGCTTGGCTGGGGAGAGTAAGAGACAGGGAAGCCTGAACTAAGAAAACAAAGGAAATAAAGCAGGAACTTCCCCTGCTTCTCACATTCACTCACTGCCTTCTCATAGACAATGGAGGCAATCACTGTGAGATCTTTGCTTTGTCCTGGGAATATGAAGATAAACACTCTTGTCAGGATAGTTTGAGGTTTTTGTGTGTTTGTCTGCTTACCCAGCGGTGCTCAGGATCGTACATATTTTAGTGGAACAAACATAAACTTAACAATTCTAACACTGCATGGCACTCAAGTGTTATTTTGAATTTGGGGATATTTTTGGCTCAGTGATGATGGTGCAGGGAATCAAACCCCAGACTTCCTACATGTAAAGTATGGGTCATATTCTCCAAACTACTTCCCCACCGCTCAAACCTATTTTCCAAACCCCAAAATAATAAAATTTCAAAAACCATCTTTGTTTTCTATCCCCGTGGTACAGCATCAAGATAATATGATGTGCTTTGAAGCCCACATTTGTTTCTGCCTCCTCAAGTCAAATGGTTGGGAGACCTTGGGGAGATGTACAGGAGCCGGGACAAGGGGTGATGGGTGAGTGTGTAGTGCTAGAGTGGGGTGCTTTAAGGTGGTAAGGAATAGGAAGAGAGGAGATGTGGCATTACAGAAATACAAGCACCATGAACTTTCTCCTGACTGAGGATGCAATCAGTTCCCTCAGGCACAAGCCAAAGGGGCAGCCATTCTTTGTTTCATTTGATAGGTGAGAACATTTGAGGCAAAGAGGCATTAAATAAATGACATGCAAGCACTGAATGGCAAGACTGGGACTTGAACTCACATCTTCTGGAGTGAAGCTTAAATTCTTTCAATCTCAACTACCCTGCCGCTAATTCCTGCCATCCCAATAAACTCTCCCAGTCTCTTGAAAAAGATGAAGAAGTCAGTAGGTCACCATGCCACAGACGTCAATAACTATTTCTCTTATTTAAGCATATCATGGGGCTTCTGTTAACTTGTGAAAATTCATTTTATTGTGACTTTGAAAATTCCAAGAAAATTACATCTTTTCCCCTTTCAATATAAAGACAAAGCCCTTTTTAATCAATTCACACTTCCTTGGGCCATCCTTACCGTAATCTGGGTCCCTTGATTGCCCGCACACGGTTTAGGAGGAGCTTTCAGTTTTCCATCGGAGTAATTTGCTCTAGTCAAAAAAGATAGCAATGATTAACAACCATAGCAGTAAGAAAGATAATTCTCCACAGGGAAAGAGGAGAATCATACCAGCAATACTTTAAAACAGCTACATTATCTATCATCTGATTTACCATTTCCACTTTAATAATTTCTACTATTCCCTTAACTATTCAAGATTTAAAAAAGGAGAAGAAAATACCTGTTTCTCAAGCAAGCATTATTTTCTAATTCCTGAATTCTCGGTTATGAACTATTAATACTTTTACTACAGCTTACGGGCTAGAGCAATAGCACAGTCGGTAGGGTGTTTGCCTTGTATGCAGGCGACCCGGGTTCGATTCCTCCTCCCCTTGGAGAGCCCGGCAAGCTATGGAGAGTATCTCTCCCACACTGCAAAGCCTGGCAAGCTACCCGTGACATATTCAATATGCCAAAAACAGTAACAACAAGTCTCACAATTTGTTGTGAGACGTTACTGGTGCCCGCTCGAGCAAATCAATGAAAAACAGGACGACAGTGCTACAGTGCAGTGCTACTTCAGCTTACAATGACAGCAAAATATATGCAATTATTTAGGGAGGGACTAATAAGAGATGGGGAATATCTGGCTCGCATCTGTCTGAAGACCCTCAAAATCATGTGGTGTGGCCCTAATACAGGACAGGGAGGCTTCTCGCTGTCATACATGGCCTATCTGCCTATATTGTATGGCCTGTGACATTATAAACATCCAAATGGCATTTGCAGATAAAAGGTTCCTCTGAGTGGTCTATGAAGGCCCTGGTAAAGAAAGACCTTGGCAAATTTCTGTCTGATCTAGAAAGGAGATACGTAAAACCCTATCTTTTGGATACAGCTCCTAAAATGTGATCATTCTGGGGCGGGAAAAGAAATGGGCAAGTGTATCACAGAAAAGATGACAATTTAATTGGTTCTAAGCGAGGATTTTAAGCAGACAGCACAAAAAGAAAAAAAAAATGCCCAGCGAGAGAAAAGCATAAACAAAGGCACTTGAGAATAGCAGACAGCCGGGGCCATGTGGAGAGGAGTTGGTTGCTATGACAACGAGACTGGATTTCATCCTACCAGAGAAGGGGCAGTATGAGGCATCCCCAGACACACCTAACACAACCCCAGAGGAGAAGAAATGGAATCATGTCCCAGATTATTTAGCAAGACATAAACCCACAACTGTCCCCCATCTTGTGAAAGGGGGTCTGGGTCTATTAGTGCACCTAGCTTAGGACAATTACAGTTCACGGAGGGCTCAGCTCCTAGCAGTGGTCCTATATACTCTGAAATGCTCTACCTCCTATTAAGTCACACTTGATGGCTTACATTCATTTTTATATTAATTTTAAAATCTGATTTTTTAAAAATCCCCCTGGAGGGGGTTGGGGGAATGAATTAAGTATGCCTATTTGTCTTCCACTAGTGACTGGCCAGTGCCTCTAAAAACAAAGGTCTATGTCTGATGAGCCCAAATCCATTTTTGTTCTGTTCCAAAGTTATTTCTCTCTCTGAAAATTATCCCAGTACAATAGGCAATCAGAGGCCACCTGCAGGGTGACAGGTTAGCACAGGCATGCATGGTGATAAGCGGCCACAAGGTGGCTCACTGTGCCACTAAGGAACTGGCTCCCTGGGCTTCCTAGTCACTATGGACCTGTTTGTTATCCAGGTGGAACAGAGGAACGGGTAGAGAGGCAGGCTAACAGTAGGGCAAGCTCGCTCCTCTAAGAACACCTCCGTAACAGACCTTGCAAAGCACTTGTGCTATGAGACACCTTGTTTTTTTTTTTTTTTTAAGACTAAGATTCCTTAATTATCACTCCTGCTCTGGGGCACGGTCATGGCCCCAGAGACACACGGACCCAATTCAGAACCCAGAGGCTTTGGGCAGAAATCCCTCTACACTTAATTAGTAAAATATCAGAAATCCAAAGCTACTGCGGCCACGTGACATCATATGCTCTTCATAACCAGCAACAGAAAACAAATTATTTCACGATGCCTTTTCAGCAGGTCTGATTGTTGGGGGAAAATTCCAAATAATAATGGTGCATCTTTTGTTGAAATAATGAATGTAATCAAAGTAGAGAGAGAGAGTTAAGTGGAAATCATCTGCCTCACAGGCAGAGGGAGGGGTGGGAAAGGGGGTATATTGGGGTTCTTGGTGGTGGAAAATGTACACTGGTGAAGGGATGGGTGTTTGATCAATAAATAATAGTAATTAAAAAAAATCACCCCATAGGTTAGCAACTAATTCATAGGGAGAGGAAAAAAAAAACTTGCCCAAGGATACTGAGACTAGGGAGATGGTGCCTGGGGTTAAGGCACTTTTGCATGTGGCCAACCCAAGCTTGATGGTTCAATGTTTGAAGCCATGTATGGTCTCTGGAGTACTAACAAAGGTCACTTCTGCGAGTAGAGCCAGGAGTAGCCCCCTGAGCACCACTCGGTGTGGCCCAACATACCTTACCCCATGCCCCCAAAAGGGGGAAAAAACAAGAATACTGGTGTTTAAATAACATAGCTTTGAAAAGGCACACTTTACTGTAGACAGTGCATGCCTTTTCTCTTTATTTTTAACATCCTGAAAGAAGGAATGTTAGAATGAATATGCATTAACATCATACCTGTAAGCACACTTTGCATCAGCTGTTTTGGTCGTAATAGTAACGTGGGCCACATGGCTGATGCTGGCTAAGGCCTAAAAAAGGAAAGGAAAAGAATCACTCACTGGTGGGACACCCTTCATGTTATTAAAGGAAAGGCCATCTAAATTGCCTCTCTCAATCTGAATCAGTTAAAGGCAACCACACATTTTTATGACACTTAAAAAACAACAACAACAGAGGAGGCTATCAAAATGAATCGTTAGGGCCAGAGTGACAGGACAGCGGGTAGGGAGCTTGTCTCGCATGTACCCCACCTGAGTTTGATCTCCAGCACAATGTGCAGTCACTTGAGCCCTGCCAGGAGTGAGCCCTGTTTTGGAGTGAGCACAGAGGAAAGAGTAAGCCCTGTCCTTGGCATGCGGCCCTCAAGAAAAAAGAAGTGAATCTAAAGCATATTCTTAGGATAGCATGGTAGCACGGTCCCCCGTTGTTCATCGATTTGCTCGAGCGGGCCTAGTAACATCTCCATTTTGAGACTTGTTGCTACTGTGTTTGGCATATTGAATACATCACGGGGCGCTTGCCAGGCTCTGCAGTGCAGGCGAGATACTCTCAGTAGCTTGCTGGGCTCTCGGAGAGGGGTGGAGGAATCGAACCGGGGTTGGCCATGTTGGCTGCGTGCAAGGCAAACGCCCTACCCGCTGTGCTATTCTTAGGATAAAGAGGCCAAAAGGAAACACACCAAAGATGAATGTGCTCCTAATAATTGTGTGCAAAGATCAGAGTGATGGTATAGTGGGTGAAGTTCTCGTCTTAAATGCAGCCGACCTGGGCACCCTCTATGGTCCCCTACGCACCATCAGGACTGACTCCTGAGTGCAGAGCCAGGAATAATCCTGAACACTGCCAGGTGTGGCCCAGTAGAACAAAACAACTATGTGCAGATGACAGAAATGCAGGAATGCTCAATGAAACATTCAACCATTTGTTTTCCAGTAAGTTTTTTTTTGTTTCTGGGCACCCCCTCCCCCAGCAGTGTGGGGAGTCACCAGGGCCACACCTGGTAGTTCTCAAGAGTCATGTGGTGCTGGAAATGGAGCCAGGAAGCCCCCTGCAAGCCACACCTGTGCTCCAGCCACCCGGACCATCCCTCCTGGCTCCTCTTCTAAAGATTTTAAAACTTAGCTTCCTTAGCTTCAGAAATGGCTCAAGTGGGTAATCAAAATGGTGTTATCAAATAAATGGGTAACAGTAACAAAATAGGTACTATTCAATATTCTATTTCCTAAGCAAATTCATTTGTAAAAACACAAATTCTAAATAAACCCATTAGACTGATTTAGAATTTCAGAGGCTGGGGAGATAGTTTAATAGGTTGGAGTGGCTGCTTTACATGCAGGAGGTCTGGGTTTAATCCCCAGCACCAAATGGTCCACAAAGCACTGCCAGGAGCAGCTCCCATCCACTCCAGATGTATAAAAAATGAATTAATTAAATCCACGAAAATTTTATTCCTTAGGCAAGAATGGTCTCCTGAGTCTTTGAAATGGGCATCTCCTTTCAGGATGGCATCGCGGCATATACAAATATTGAGTGAGTATATCTCAGGGGCCATGGGACACAGGCTGGCAGCTTCAGTTCTTTATGGGGTCTCAGCGGATTTCCCTGGTTTATGCAATTTAATTGTCATCACTAGAAATGTAAATGATTTTTGAGACCTCAGTAATAAAGGACATTCCATCTACACACTACAGTCTACACGGAAGTGCCAGGAAGAGGGGGTGCCACCGAGAGGTCCTGCTGCTCCAGGGCCCTCTGCTCCGGTGATGGAGCAAGTGGACCATGAAGGCCTCTGGGTCACACTGCCGGGGTTCGGTTCTCCACAATGCGACTATGGAGAAGCACACACTCAGCCTCAGTTTTCTCAATGGCACAACAGGGAAATAACAGAAGGCAGCTTCTCCAGTCATGGTCAAGGGCAACAGATTCCACAGAAACCAATGCCGAGAGCTTGGGCAGTACACAAACAGCCCTCAATGAAATCTCCCCTGTGTGTTATAGTGAAATAGCATCCCGACAGATGGCATACAGCTAGGCCAGCACTCTGGGGTCACGGGCTTAGAAACTAACCTGGGAAGTGGGAAAGCCAGAGGGACACTGTTCTCTCGGGATCTGACCTGAGGTATACTTCAAATCAGGAGCTGCATTTATTTGCCTCGTGACAAACGGTCAGAAATTGTCCTTATCTGAAGCAATTTGAGGCTCACACTGAGCCACAGTGCTAGGGACAAGACTCTTCTGATTTGATTTGCAATGAGTAACAGCTGCTTTTTAATTAAAAAACAAACAAACAAAAAAACCAGTATGAACACATGACCAAACCTCCTTTTTTTTTTTTTTGGTGGGTTTAGCATCCTGCTGTGCTCAGGGCTTACTCCTGGCTTTGTGCTCAGGGATCACTCCTGGCGGGCTCAAGAGACCATAGGGAATGCCAGAGATGGAACCTGGCATGCAAGGCAAGAAGCTATCACTGCGATCTATCACTCTGGCCCCAGACATCCTGCTTTGTAGCCTATGTACCTCTGTGGAGAAACATACTGACACATGACAGAAATGTTATCAGGAGAGTATTTGACACATTCCTTTAACCCTTAGCTTACCTCACCACGAAAGCCATACGTAGAAATTTTACTTAAATCCTCAAAGGACTGCAATTTACTTGTAGTGAATCGCTCACATACAATATCCAGATCTTCTTTCTAAAAGATACCAGAAATAGGTAATGATGTATCCTTTAAATCTTCCCAAGTGAACCCAAGGAGAAATCCCTCCTTGGAGAGAAGTTTTGAGCCTCACATGCACTTTCCAATGTGGCAACCATAATGTCACAAGTCCAGCATTCCTCCTTTACCATTCATCTCTCCTATGAGTCTCATTTGTTGGTCTTCATCTCCTCAAAGAGTCAAGTAAGCCCAGAGAGCAGCCTGAGACCTAGGCTGTAACTACATTCACTCTCTTGATGTTCTTACTAAATCTCTCATGACTCAAAACAAAACACTAAGGTCTGGAGGACAGCAAACTTAGTATCTTCTACATGTGCAATGATGTAATCAACATCATCCATCACCATGCATATTTTCCATGATGACAGCATCCCTCTTTTATTATCTGACCTATCTCAGCCTAATGCACTCAAGGTCAATCTTTGTTGTTATAAATGGCAGGATTTTTGTTTTTAGGAGCTATGACTGGAGGAGTTTGACCTACATGTCCAGGGTCCAGGGTGTTTGGGGGCTACAAGGGTGCTACTCAGGGGTGACTTGGAATACATGCAATCATGCAATACCATAACTGCACTTTTTAAAATGACTGACGAACATTCAATTGTCTATACAAGTCATCTTCATAAAACACACACACACACACACACACACACACATACACACACCAATGAACACAGGCGGTTTCCAGATCTTGGTTATTGTAAGAAATGCTACAAAAACAAGTGATTTCACATATTTTTTCCAGATCATTTTTTTGTTTTCTTTCTATATGCTCATAGAAGTTGGAAATGCTGTGTCGCGTGGTACTTCTATTTTCAAGTTAGTGAGAGATGTTTTCCATAGTGGCTACAGCAAGTCGCATTCCCATCAACCCACTGTTCAATGGTTTCCTTTTCTCTACAACTTTGCTAACATTAGCTATTTGATTTTCTTTCCCCCCTATAACAGCCATTTTAAGAGGTCTATGAGTATGGGTGGTAGTGGTGATATCTCATTGGAGTTTTTAACCTACATTTTCTTCTAAGCTTCTTTTCCTGTAAGTGCTGGCTATGTAACTTGTGGGGTAAGGGGATATCTGGCCCACATCCAGCAGTGTGCATAGGAACTTATGCTGGGCCAGGGGTAACAAATCAGGGTTGGGTGGCACGCAAGGCAGTGCCAAATCCCCTGGACTATGTCTCTCTGGCGCCATCTGCAGGCCCTTTCTATCTTCTTTGCAAAAAACCTTTATTCAGGTCTTGGGCCTACCTTTAATCCAGTTTGATCATTTCTAGGTATACAGCTCTGTAGCATGATATGCACTGCTGTGCAACCATTACCATCAACTATTTAGAGAATTCTATTATCTTCCTAGCCTCAATATTCATTAACAGTATATCTTCATTCCCTTTTCCTCCGTGTTTCCTGTAACCCCCATTCTGCTTCCAGTATCAGAATCTGACTATACTCTAGGAACCCCATGGAAGAGAGATCATATTAGATCTATTGAAAATATCTTACATCACTTAGCATATCTTAAAAGTTCATTCAAGTTACAGTAGGTCTTAAAATTTCATTCATTTTCACTTATATTTTGTTTGTCCATTGACATGTGTTGCTCTAACATGGGGGTACTGTAGCACTATAGCCCTGTTCTCCCATTGTTCATTCATTGTGGGCCCAGTAATGTCTTTGTTGTGAGATTTGTTGTTACTGTGTTTGGCATATAGAACACTTCATGGGGAGCTTGCCAGGCTCTGCTGTGCAGGCGAGATACTCTTGGTAGCTTGCCAGGCTCTCCCAGAGAAGAAGAGAAATCGAACTCAGGTCAGCTTTGTGCAAGGCAAACGCCCTACCCCCTGTGCTATTGCTCCAGCCCAACATGGGAGTACAAATTCCTCAACACTAATGCCTTCGCTTTTGCGTCATTTTTACCTGGAAGTGGAACAGCCAGATTACGTGACATTTCAGTTTAAGTTTTTGAGACGTCACCACACCATCTTCCAGAGCAAATGCACTATTTTACAATCCACCAGCAATGCATGAGGGTTACAATTTCTCACCATCCTTGCAAACCCTTGTTATTTTATTATTCTTAAAAAACAGTAAACATTCTAATAGGTGTCAAGTAATATCACACTGCAGTTTTAGTTTGTACTGATGACTAATGATATTGGGCATCTTTTAATGCCAGCTCTTGACTTTTAATACCATGAAAATGCAATACACCAAATTTTTTCTCCATCCCAAATTTCTGTTCTGTATTCTGGATGCACACATGTCCAAGTAACAGGCGCTGAAAATTTAACGTGTTCCAGATGAATTTCTGACGATCCCCCAAGCCTGTTTCTCTCCATGCTCTTTCTCATCATTAACATACAGCAACCTTTTTTTTTTAAATCTCATTTACAGAGACCCAAAATTTGAAATGTCCCCACTTCCCTTCCCTTTGTTGCTGTTGCAATGACGGGGGTTGCACACCTGCTTGTGAGGCTTGCTTGGGGGTCACACGCTTTAATCGCAGTGCTAACATGCGCTTCTTGTTGTGGCACAAGGGAATCCCGAATCTCAAAGGAATGTAGGAACTGAACTCAGCATGGCTGGGGTTACTAGGCATCAATGCCTGCAATATTCTACCACTGAGCTATATCCCCAGGCCTGGAAACCAATCTTCACTCCTCTTAGTTCACGAACAAAACTCTGGAAACGGAGTCTTCAAAATCAATCTAGATTACCACTGGTTTTATTTTTCCTTTTTGGATGGCGGGCTAGAAGGTGGGGGAGGGGGGGGAGGGGAAGAGGTCATATTCAATGGTGACCAAGGACTTCCATTGGCTCAGTGTTACTCATACGGTGCTGGGGAAATATGTGGTGTCTGGAATCCAGCCAGGCCCCTGGAAAGTACAGCAAATGCACAAACTCTCTGAGCTATCTCCCCCATCCCTATCACTGCTTCTCACTTATCTACTGTACAGATGATACCATTACCCTCTCTCAGAACCTCCTCACTGCCTCTATCCTGTCCTACGACTGTCTCTTTGGAGCACTAAAGACAGTTTTTGTTTGTTTTTTTTTTAAATTTCACAGGCCACATCACCTCTTTACTCAAAAACCCTCCACTAGCATTTCATCAAATTCAGAGTCAAAGCCAAACTATCTACACTGGCCCCCAAGGTCCTACCAGCTTGCTTCACTTCTATCCTTCCGATTTCATCTCCTGCTATTCTTCCACTGCATCAACCTGCTCTCACACGCACTGGTCTCTTTGCTTCCATTTTGTGGGTTTTGTATATATTCTTTTCCCTGCACGGAACGATCATCTTCCAAATGTGACTTATTCCTTGATGTCCTTATTCCCCTGGGAGGGCGAGCACAGAACAGGTACTCAATAAATATTCATGGCTGATATTTAACATTTCAGCCCCCCAAATTATATCCACAAAAAAAAAAAACCTAAAAAAAAAAAAAACAGGGGAAAGGTTCTGCCCCTTGCCCACAGCTACAGCACACAAAGCACACAGACATCTAGGTCGTCTCAGGTTTTACTTACCCTGATCCCAGTGCCGTTGTCTTGGATTTGAATCAACTTCAGGCCTCCTTCTTTAACCACTACTTGGATACTTGTGGATTTTGCATCTAAACTGGTAAATCAAACAGGACAAAAGGTCTTAATCCACACCAACTTAAAGGTGAGCCCAGAGATAACAAATTCCAGATACACAGAGAATCTGATCAGCCTGCTCTTCCTGTGTCGTAGAGATTTTAGCTAAACTGTGTAAGCAAACCAGGCTGGGTGGGAGAGGAGAGGCAGGGGAGCATTTTCAACCTGACTGAACAAAATCAACAATCAAACTTACTCTCAACGCAAAGGCTCTCACTGAGTCGCTATGCTGAATCTGCGATATAAACCACTCTCCTTTTGACACGTTTTTAACCTCTTCCAGCACACTTCGAGGTAATTCTGAACTTCCCAATTCACTCCAAAGCTCATGAAAACGGGTGTCTTTGACATGCCCACCCCTACCGCCCAAAGGTTGGGAAAACACGGAGTAAGGAACCCTTGATCTGTCCAACTTATTTAGGGTAAAACTCAAAATGAATTGTAGTCTAGAATATGTCTAGGTGACTTCTGGATTAAGCAAAAAAAAAAAAAAGAAAGAAAGAAAAAGCATGCATTTCAAAATTCACAACTTCTGCACTTCTGCATAAGCAATTCTGAAACGCATCCTCTGCCCCCTCTACACTTTATGGCATCAGTGCAAGAGCACTGAGAGAAAGGGTCCCTCTGAGTGGGCCTGAGAAATCTGCCTCACGAAAGAGTTCAAGACCCTGGGGACCCGGGAGAAGGCAGGAACCCAAATCCTCCGCCGCCGAAAGCTGGTCCCCAGAACGCATCCACCCACTGCCGGGCTGCAGGTACTCGTCTCCCCCGGCCCAGCCCGACTCCTCCCTACACACACACACTCCCACCCATACCAGTTCTCAATCATCTCCTTGATTGCGTTCGCCGGACGCTGAATGACTTCCCCCGCCGCGATGCGGTTGACCACGGTCTCGTCCAGCCTACGGATTACTCCCGCGACCAGAGACATTTTGCCGCGCGCGTCCCAGATCCCAACGTGATGTGCCCGGAAGTGCCCGTAGCCAATCACTGCGGGCCCTGGAGGACACGCCCTTCCTGCAACGCCCCCTTGCTCCGTTCCGCCCCGCCTCTCGGAGCTGGGAAGCTCCTGGCTGGGCATCTCTCACGTCAGTCAAGCATCTGAAGTCCGCGGGTGCCTGGGTCCCGCTAGCTAGACGGATGTGCGCCTGCGCGCTAGAAATCACTGCGCGCTTTTCCTATTGGCTCCTTCCGATAACGCAAACGAAATCTCCATCGTATGGGAACGGAGGAGGCCCCCGCCGGAGGCTGGAGTCCCCCGCTGGGGTGATCAGGCGCAGGAGCGAGGCGGCGCTTGGCGTCGGTGCCAGTACCTCCCCTTTTCTCTGCGCCCTCCCTCGGGTCGGCCCCGCTCCCGTGGCTTCCAATTAGTATGTGGGTGTCTCCCAAGAGGAGCAGAATGGAAGTCGACGAGACCAAGGTGTTCCGGCCCGAGTGGACCCAGCGTTACTTGGTGGTGGAGCCTCCAGAGGGCGAGGGGGCCCTGTGCCTGGTCTGCCGGCGCGTGGTGGTCGCCACCCGCGAGCGCGACGTTCGGCGCCACTACGAGGCCGAGCACGAGCACTACGAGCGGTACGTGGCGGAGGGCGAGCGCGCGGCCCTGGTGGAGCGGCTGCGGCAGGGCGACGCCCCACCGGTGGCCCAGCTCACCCCCGAGGAGCGGGCGGCGCGCGCGGGCCTGGGGCTCGCGCGCCTCCTGGCCCTGAAGGGGCGCGGCTGGGGCGAGGGCGACTTCGTGTCCCAGTGCATGGAGGTGATGCTGCGGGACGTGCTGCCCGATCACGTGAGCGTCCTGGACAGCATCGACTTCTCGCCCGAGATCACCCGGCAGAGGGTCCTGAACATCGACCGCAACCTCCGCGGCCAGCTCTACCAGCGGACCAAGGACTACAAGGCCTACTCGCTGGCCTTGGACGACCAGGCCTTCGTGGCCTACGAGAACTACCTCCTGGTCTTCGTCCGCGGCGTGGACCAGGACCTGCAGGTGCAGGAGGAGCTGCTGACCCTGGTCAACCTGACGCAGCACTTCAGCGTGGGGGCCCTCATGGCTGCCATCCTGGAGGCGCTGCAGACGGCCGGGCTGAGCCTGCAGCGCATGGTGGGGCTCAGCACCACGCACACGCTGCGGATGGTGGGCGAGAACTCGGGGCTGGTGTCCTACATGCGCGAGAAGGCGGTCAGCCCCAACTGCTGGAACGTCATCCACTACTCGGGCCTGCACCACCTGGAGCTGCTGACCTCCTACGACGTGGACGTGAGCCAGATCATCAACACCGTGTCCGAGTGGGTGGTGCTCATCAAGACCCGCGGCGTGCGGCGGCCGGAGTTTCGGGACCTGCTGCATGACTCGGAGTCGGAGCACGGCGAGCGGGTGAACGGGCGATGCCTCAACAACTGGCTGCGGAGAGGGAAGACCCTGAAGCTCATCTTTTCCCTCCGGAAAGAGATCGAGGCGTTCTTGGTCTCCATCGGGGCGACCACGGTGCATTTCACCGACAAGAAGTGGCTCTGTGACTTCGGCTTCTTGGTGGACATCATGGAGCAACTCGGAGAGCTGAGTGACCTGCTGGGCGTTAGTAAGGTGTTCGCCGCCGTCGCCTTCGACCACGTCTGCACCTTTGAAGCGAAGCTGGGTCTGCTGCAGAGGCACATAGAGGAGAAGAACCTCACACACTTTGCTGCCTTGAGAGAAGTGGTGGATGAGCTTAAGCAGCGTCTCAAAGAGGACGAGAAAATATTTGATCCCGAGCGGTACCGGGTGGTGATCTGTCGCCTGCAGAAAGAGTTCGAGAGGCACTTCAAGGACCTCAGGTTCATTAAGAAGGACTTGGAACTTTTTGCGAATCCCTTTAACTTCAAGCCTGAGTACGCTCCCATTTCTGTTCGCATGGAGCTCACCAAACTTCAGGCCAACACCAACCTCTGGAATGAGTACAGAGTCAAGGACCTGGGGCAGTTCTATGCAGGTTTGTCTGCAGAGTCTTACCCCATCATCAAAGGGGTGGCCTGTAAGGTGGCGTCCTTGTTCGATAGCAACCAAATCTGCGAAAAGGCCTTTGCTTACTTGACTCGCAACCAGCACACGTTGAGCCGGCCGCTGTCAGATGAGCATCTCCAGGCCCTATTTAGGATCGCCACGACTGAGCTAGAGCCACACTGGGATGACCTGGTGAGAGGGAGGAACCAGACCCCTCCCTGAGCCTGGGTACTGCAGCACTCAAATGAGCCACAGTAACCCGGTGTGAAAGCAAATGTTTATTCTTATTTTTCAGACTTTACCAGATTTAAATTGATCTGTGTTCAAATTTTGAGATTTGGTTTGTTTTCTTTTACCTTAATTTTTTTCCCCTTCTCAAGAAACCTGGAACACTTTAGAACACCTGGTTTAAAAACTTAATTTAATGACAAAGTCTTTGTCTTTTGCGTTTATGGTATAGTTATTTTTTTTAAGAAGTTTGGTACTGATGATATGTTTGAAGTCTGTTTTTAAGATGTATGAAAGAACATTTAGCTCCTTAAGTGTTAAAATACAGATATCTGTCGTTACCAACTCCTTAAATGTATGTCATTTGAGACAGTTGGCAGGAACTTAGAAGTTCAGAAGTTCCTGAAGTGGAAAAACATACATCCAGGGGAGGTATTTTGTCTGTCAAAATGTTTTTTTTTTTTAATATGTTTCTGGGTCTGACTTGATATTGGTAGATTTCCTTCTTGTCAGAGCCCCTCCATTCACTTGGTGGTAGTGATATTACTAATAGAAAAAGTAATCAGATAATTGTTTAGTGAGAGGAGCAGGAATCATTTTTTTTTTTTTTTAAGTTTTTGATGTAGGAGGTTTCCTATAGTTTGGAGATCAAACTAATTGTTGGAGGTGCCCTCTGAATTTTTCAGAGTAGGGAGCTGTTTGTTTCATCAGCTTACTTGTTAAAGGACTGTGGTAAGTAAGTATAGACTGGTAACGTTTGACCATTAGTAAATCTGTAGATCAGAATTTGGCCTTGTTAAAAAGGATGAGGAAAAATAATTTTGCTGTACAGGGTGAGGAAAAATAATTTTGCTGTACAGGGTGAGGAAGATATTTTAGCTTATTTGTCCTAACTGCCTGGATGTTTATAAAACTGTTTATAGGAAACCATTTAAGGTACTATAATGAGTTTTAGCTCCAGGAAATAAGTGTATTCTAGAATTTGAAATGGTTCCATACACTGTGCAGTTGGCAGTGTACAAGAAGAAATATTTAACTCAAGCATCAGCTTTTTTTCAGATTGTAGCAATTCTCTGCTTCTAATGAGACATCTGCTTTATGCTAAGCAGTAATTTTGAAGTTTCTGTTAACTACGAAAAACTTAAGAGTGAAGCCAAATAATTAAAATGATTGAAAAACAATATCTCACTTACAGATTTTCCAAATACAGTTTGAAAACTTGTAGAAGTTCTGGCTATAACATGTTATTCTCTATAGTCACTAACACAGGAAATTTAAGTAGCCATGGTACTGAGAATTTAGGAGAAATTGATTCCTGGCTGACCAAAATAGGTGCTAAGAAACAAAGAAACAAAATTGTTTCAAAGGTTCCCAGGAAGAGGCAATCACTCCTACTCCCAACAGGTATCAGGAAACTGATGGGGACTCCGGTAGTGACTTTGGGGGTTAGGGAAGGGTTCTGCTCCCTGGTGAGCTGGATGACCCCCACCCCAATAAAACCTCTGTAAGGTAGCCTGACATATGAAGTTATCCTTCCCATAGTGCCCGAGTATTCCCAGTGTCAGCTGTTACATTGAAGGACAGGGAGAATTATCTACATACTACATCACAGAATCTAAATTAGAAGAAGTTGGGCAAACTGGACAATACTTGATAGGGAAGGTGTGTGACTTTGGCTGATAAGATGCAGTAAAGGTCTTCATGGATGTTAGTAGCTCCCAATAGTATTTTTTAATTGGTAATAGTATTTTGAAATTGGTAACTGATAATGAACCAGATTAAAGGTATTATTCTGTTACAGTCAGGTCAGAAGAACAAGTGTTTTATATATATTATACTATATATATTAAGCTATTTATCAAGAAAGGTCAAGTTAGGATTTTAATAGAAATAAGCTTAAATATCTGGAGAAGTAGCACAGTGAAAAAACAGAACACCCTCCCCTCCTCCAAAAAAAGAATATCAATTTCCCAATAGTTTGGAGTACACTTTTGGGTGACAAAAGCTTTATTGAAAGAATGTTTAGAAGGCCTAAAAGCTGCTTTCTAACCCTAGTTCTCCGAATACTAAGGTCTTGTACATTTTATGGAGTTTTAGTATATATTTTGCTTAAAGTGATAATAAAATTAGTTTGCATCATGTAGTCACTGAACAGGGTGGGAGGGGTAGGGTGGGAGACCTATAAATCAAGGATTTAAATCAGCTCTAAACAATAGAGTTTGCTAGAACATAGTCTTGTTTTTGCCTTTTTTTTTAAGTGTATGTTACTGTTTTCTGTACTAAGTATCTAATTGCATGGCAGGTTTTGTTTTGTTTTTTCCTTAAAGGGGTTACTAGTCTTGAATCAGTGGATTGTTAAAATAGGCACGTTAAAAAAAAAGTTTTGTCCTCGTATTTCCCATTCCTGCTAAGTTTTTGGAAATACTCCCATTCTTTCATGTTGCCATTCAGACAGCTCTCATAAGCTTGTCTTGGCCTTGTCAATAGACTTACCCCGCCCATAAAATACTTGTTTACTCGGGCTTTGGGGTTGCCATCTCTAGGTGCTTTTTCTCAGTCTTCATTGCAGGCACTTCTTTCCCTTCAATATGTTCTTAGAGTTTTAAAATGTTGTCTTAGGCTTAGTCTACATCATCCATCATCTCTCTGATTTCATCTTCCATGACTTCAGTTAGCAACTCATGCAAAGGACTGTCAAATTCATACCCCCTTTCTTGAGAGTTCCTAGTTCACATGTCTCATTGCTAACTGAAATCCATTTGGCTATCTCATGTCATTGATCTTCCCCCCAAAACCCACACCTCCTTTTGTGTTTCCTTTTTAATATGTGGTACAACCACCACCAGCCATTCAGTTGCCTTTGCCTGAGCCAAAGACTAAATTATCCATGACTTTTCTCTCTTCATCCATCATCTCCGCTCCCAAAACCATTCTGTTAAGTCTAATGTGTAAAATGTTATTGCTTTCATGGTGATACTGTCCTAATCCAGACTGACAGCTGACCTAAATTACAGCAAGATATTTATGAGTCTCCCTTCCTTGATTTTGACTCTTGAGTTCTAGAAGCTGTAGTCAGCACTCAGCTGCTTTCACCGCTGATTGGTGGTCAGGTAGTGTACAGATTTCTCTTGAGCTTTGCACTTTCAGTTTACTTAGCATTTGCTTGGAGCCCACCTCATTGTCCCTTAGGCCAGATGGCCCTATTACTGAAATATTGTTTACTTCTAACCATATTTTTAAAGCGCACTTTGTTGCTTTTTGTTCATCACTGCTAGACTGTAAGCTTTAAAAGGGCAGACTACCCAGCATATTAATAAATGTTTGGATGAATATATACTTGTTTAGTATTTTGCAACTGTTAAAACCCTCTCCAGAGTCTTATTTAAACCTCACAGTATTTCTGCCCATTTTACATACCACAAATTAAGAAAGACTGAATTTTATGTGACTTCGCATTCTCAAAATTTGGCTCAGTGTGCTGACACATTACTTTCATTACACTTACGTAAATATTGAGGAAACAAACTTAGGTTGCAATTTGCTCTTGTAAAACGAAGTATTAAAGGATTCAAACCCAAATGTACCCAAATGTACACGTAATCCACTGTGACATGAATGAACTCTTTACCTTCTTAGAAGTTTTCGTGTTTTTAAATATTTTTCTATAGAGACAGACTTTCAAAAGAACCTGGATGGAGTACTGGACAAGGATTTAGTAAAAAAAAAATTCCTTTCATAATTGTATTCAATAATGGAGAAACATAATACCACCTACTGTTAATATCCTGTAAGCATCAACCCCAAGAGAAAATAACCTGTTTATTTTTCTTATTTTAGCTTTTCTGGAACTTTAGGTAAATTTTAACAAAATTTTAGAAGAATGGATTCAGTGTTTGTATCATTAGATAGACATTTGGTTCACTTGCTTTTCTACTTGCAGAGAAGAGTGAAAAGAACTCCCAAGGATAATGAGCCCAAGTAACAATGTGATGTAGATTTGCTTTGTTCTTTGCTTTCCTGTTTATATGTCTTAGTTTCTGTGTGCCTGGAGCCTTCATGCTTCATGGGAAAGCCAGACCCTCAGTTCTTTTGAGTTTGTCCAATTGAAGGAATAGTATTTTGCTGTTAACTTATGAATTTTCAGTCTGAGGCACTTTTAATTCATTTAAGAGATCTTAACAGATACTGTAGTCATCTAGTAATGTCATCCTTGCTGCAAAACTGAGTTTTACTCACCTTTGGATTAAAGAATTTCTCATTTTTATCTTGGTATCAAGAAGCGGCCTCATTCTACTCAGTAAGTACTTCATTTTGTGCAATCTGTTTTTCTTTTCTTTTTGTATGTAAATGGAAACATTGTGAGTTCCTTTCTCCAGTATTTTTTTCAGAAGCAGCCAATTACAGTGATTTTGTTTTGCCTATCTCTGCTTCCCCCCTTTTCTCTTTCAGTTGAAGTAAATTCAGTGGTGGAGGGAGGTAGACACTGGTGGAGGGTGTGGTGTCTGAATTATATGCAAGAAACCCTACCATTAATAGTATTGTAAGTCATGGTGGCTAAAAGTTTTAAAAGAGTAAAATATTTACCAGGTTCTCAAGGGACAGTTTTACTGACTTCTTAACATGAATTTTCTCTGCATGAGTTATTTCTTTCATCCTCCAAAAGCAATCTCCTGAATGCCTGCCAATGAGGCCAGTGCTCAATATTTTAGTGTTTTTGAAAATTTCTGTATTAATATAGACTAGTAAAAATTGTGAAATCTTAAGGTCTCACACGGCTTTTCTCTGACAACTTAAGGATTTTGCTCTAGCCTTGTCTGTCTGGTTGCTTTTTCTCTATAATGGCAAAATTGAATCGATGGGACAGGGAGTATATATGGTCTTCAAAGTTTAAGATATTTTCTTTGTGAACATTTTGCACAAAAAATTTGCTGATCCCTGCCTAATTTTATACTCCCTGAATTCGGGCTGAGCAAGCAGATACTAACTTGTTTTGGGTAATAAAAAAAATATGATAGGGCCAGGGAAATAATAGAGAAAAGGTTTTGCATGTGTGAGACCCTAAGTT